TTATGTTGTCGTCCCTGTTCATAGCTGCCTTCGAGGTTCGGCCAAAGAACATCGCATATGTTGTCGTCCCTGTTCATAGCTGCCTTCGAGGTTCGGCCAAAGAACATCGCATATGTTGTCGTCCCTGTTCATAGCTGCCTTCGAGGTTCGGCCAAAGAATATCGCAGATAGCTGGTGAGACTAACCAGATGGTTCTGGTAATCATGACATTTTAAACGCACATAGCACACTCAACCGTTCATCAGGTCCTCTTAATTATCGAAAAAGCGAGCAATCCAACTCGGAAAAGAAGCAGAAAAAGATGAAGTCTTATTTGCCAAACAATGATCATTGAGTAAACCTTCAATAAATTCAATGGACCTATGCTGTTAGATAAGCACGGTGACGTTCACCGAAGGTTGAAGCATTCTTTAATTTATACGTATTAGCTTCGCATTACCTTATGCTTCACTCGCTGTGCCGTTTATATATATATATATATCGCCTATGGCACTAATTGGTAAAACCTATTTACCTTACTGCGAGAAACTTTTCTTCTTAGACCTATCATATTAACTTGCACAAATGCAAAAAATAAATATTTCCCAAGGTGCAAGCTCCCTAAGTACAAATATTGGCATTCGAAATTCCGTTGAAACGGAAGAGGAAATTCAGACAGCGAAGATGGCGGGGCCTCTAAGTACTCTAAGTCGATCGAACCGAATAATGCCCAACAATCGATTGTCTTCCCGAAAATATCACTGTTTTTTCAAGATGCTAATAAGATTACCAGTTTGTAGAGTTCCTAACTTTGTAGTTCGATCAGCAGTGGACTATTTAAAGCATCGTGCGATATACAAATCAGTCGAGCTTTGCTCAGATGTGAGCCGATCAATCCAAATCTCTGCTGCCTCTATGTAGACACGTATTCCGTAGTAATAACAGCATCAGCAACGACAATTCTGAGAAGTACAGTTGACAGCGCAGTTGCCCTCACGAACCCGAAAAGATCGGTGAATGGGTCTTGTGATAATATCCAAAACAAGTGCCGCTTGTACTGTTTTTTTGTTATTATGGAAATTTTAGCAGGATAATTTGTATACCACTTGATAAGTTGGATCTGATTTTTTAGTTTGGGTGAAATACTGTTTGTATGCAATAGATGTGTGTGTCAAAGCGTAGGTTGACGGTTACAAATATTTTGTGTGCGTAACGGCTAACGTTTCTTCTTCTAATAGATGCTAATATGTTTTTGGCTCACTTTCTCTCTACTGACCTATGTAGCTTTATGAAACAACTCGATCTGACGGTACGAACTATCAACAGGATGCATAAGTCCACAATTCTAGCAAATAAAACTCAGTGATAGGCAAATTCAAAACATTGTCGATTTGACAAAGCTACATTAGTGTAAAACGATCTATTTATATATCATTTCTTATTTGTACGCAAATTATACTATACTTAAATACATTGCGTGCACATTTTTGCTGAGCTCTTGCTTTTACCTATATAGGCATATACAACCGAGCTAGCGTATATATAGGCTATTTATCTTGTCTATATAGTGTGTTTTCGCCGTTATGATTTATCTACTGTTTTTGTGCCCTATTTTATCCGCCTGTCAAAATAACTCTAATTACCTGAGTGTATCGCATATTTTTTACCTTACTTCGTAGTCCATTTGACTTGCAGTAACACATTGACTAAGCATATACAGTTAGACAAATTGCACCCCGTATATCCCTTACATTGAGAGACCACTATTACATATAAAGCAATTGCTCGATTTAATTGTAGTAGTATCAACTATAATGAGTCCTTCCATATGTAACCAGTTTAGCTTTGTACTAACTCTAAATATGATACGCTGGGACATGCACGCTTCCCTTTCATCCATATGTGCTCGCATAAGTTTATATTTTGTTCGTAGTTTTAGACTTGCCGCATCGAATAATGAGGTTTTTATGACATAAATATTCTCAATGTGTCTGCAAATAGTTTACCTACTGTTTGAAAAGTTCAAGTAAAACCTCCAATTACAAGCGCAGTTTATCCCTTTGAACTGCAAACTAAAATCTCAATAGTTGTTCTATTATATCAACAAACAGCTAAGAAGCTTCCACGGTAAAGGCCAACGCAAAAACTCTGTTTCCCCTCCGCAACGTCGTTCATGCATTAGCATTGTTTTGCAGCTAACGTAAAAACGGCAGATAGATGCAGACCAAACGGCATCTTTTTGAAACAGTATTTAATTGATTACGAACAGACAATGTGTGACAGACGCAGTAATTTTGCTATTGGATATATAAAACAAACCAAGGCAGACTCTACGCCATTGTTTCTTGTTTTTTTTTTGCGCTTGTAATTATTACAAGAAACTTACTATAGAAGCGTACAACATTGATCAAATAAGCAAACTGGAATAAATGTTTCTAGTTTTACGTCCTATAGACCAATAGGGCATTGCGTCAGACGACTACGTCTGAATATATGATAACTGTAAAGTCCGCTTTCGGTTAGATTACTTCTCGTGTACTAAATTATTGTAAGAATCCTGCACTCCTGCATCCTTATTGGGGCAAATGAGCGAATTTTTAATCCGAAGATGAGCTATAAGCTGCCGAAACCTTGAATCAAAAGATATTACACAGCTTTGTGCTTCACAAACAGCTGATCCACAATCCACATGTAAAATGCTAGATCTTATTCGTGGAAGGGTAGTAATGTAAGTTACACTTACGCATTTGATTATTCGAAACTTCGAATTAAGAAACGAATGAGTTCAACACAAACCATATACCATATGCACAGAATCACGAATTTTGTCAAAGTATTTCGCTAAATGGATGAACACAGTGGTCGCTGAATGTAAATGAATTTAAGCGACTGGCGAGTCGTTGCAGCCGACAGACCGACTTAGAAGAGGGTACCACCTCAGCACGGTGCAAAGGCTTAAATTCGCATTTGGATTTTTCTAAGCAAATGCCGCGTAGCCAAAGGACAGTGTTCCGTGCTACACACAGGTTTACTACACGAGTCAATTTTTAGATATATTGTGTTTAACCAGACAGTCGAAATACGAAATCGCCAGAGAATAGGATAGCCTCACGGTCGGATTACAGTGTATTAAACTAGTGCATATCTGGGCGAATCTTTGATGCACGATTATATCTTTCGAAATGTACCTAATTGTAAAGTTAAGGACTAATGAAAAAAACTACAATCGTTTAGTTTTTATAAAAACTAAACGACTGTAGTTTTTTTTATGAGAAAAAAAGGCTTTTATAAAAACCTTCAAATTTGTGGTAGGTCTCACACACTCACTAGACTTGTAGCAAAATCTGGTTCACACCGCTTGATTTAAAGAAAGGACAGTCATTTTAGATAAATTGTTGGTAACAAATATTTATATTCTTTTTGTTAGCTAGTACTCATACGTAGCGCAGCCAACGTTTCAAAATGCAGTTAATTTAACTAAAGTTGACGTCCCTCCTCCGAGTACTTTAGATTGATGGGCATACAACAGATTTTTACCACAAGTAATGGAATCAACAAGCAAGTAAATCAAGGCAGTAAATAAAAAGTAGAAAAGAAAGTGTTGCCTTGCTTTTAACCTTAAAATATGTCCTATTTCGCTCACACTCAGATTTTTAATAACTGGGAGTAATCTATGCGATAGAAGAGTTCTTACCGTCACTGGATAAGGGAATACAGGTCCCTGATTATAATTGGAACCATAAAATAGGTGCAAAAGATATTCTTTACAGTTTGCTTAATTGTTGTGATTTATTTACTTAAAATTGTGCTTACTTGTTGATCATAAACATGATCTTAGAGTAAATAAAGGTTGTACTTAAAGCTAATAAAGATATAAAGACAAAGGCAGTTTAGCATTATTGTTAAGATAGAATGAATCTTAATTAGTATACTAGGAGAATAAGATTTTTATTTATCAAGACGAAGTGTTTATGTAGATACGTTTAAACCGCAATGAAGTGCTCGAGCACTACGCGTTTGCTGGAAGCTCCGAATCAGTAAACTGCGTACGACAATGGGTCAATTTTTACAAGCAGCAAAAGAAACTTGGCCCCTAGATACCTCTAGATAAGGTACTTAGCATGCCCTACAGTCTTAAGTCTGGTACTAAGTGACGACACTAATGCTATATATGTGATGATATGATCATACGACAGAAAAAATTGATGTCCATTACTAACTGTTATGCAAAACGTGCCAGAAAGCTGATCGATTTATTTATAAAAAAGATTCGCTGAAAGATACTGAATGCTTACTACGATTTCTATGGCTAAGCGAATGTACGCAATATATATTGCATAATCTCGTGTAAAAGAAGACTTTTTTTAGGTGGCCGTGCAGCATCATCGGGCGGAACTAATGTCGAATGAAAAGTTTAATTGATTTTTAAGCTAGCCTAGAGACAAGCTGTAAGTGACATTTTCAACTTGGTCCCCGATTTTTTTTCCATATGTTGCTATTTGGCAATGCACCTTTTAACCCTAATTTTGAGCACATAAGCGGTACCGCAAGTGGCATTCATATTTAAGGTTATTCGACTGTACCTCTGTCCGTTGGTTATTTGATCTACCATGGAGTACTTTCATCCGTTGTAACTATTGTTACCGAATAGCGGCGATGATCACTTCGGACACCTCCACGTTATGGCCAGCAGTGATAAGGTTCTGAAACTATACGAAGCGCCAGGGTCCTGGAAGTAGCGCTTCAGTTTATCGGCTTATTGTGTATGAAACAATTCTGGTCGGGCTGATGCCGATATTTTATACTCGGACGGCTGATTTGATCCACATCACATTCGAATTCAAGTTGTTTTGACCAAAGTTCGACCAGCAGTAATTTTTCAGGCAAATCACAATCTACCAATTTTTTCGAGTTTACGTTAGATATTACTGTTAAGTATTGCTTCAGATGCGTAGCTCCCAGCATGAGAAGGCGCGTGTCATATGTCCAATCTCAAACATGAATCGTTTATTTGTTCCAAAATTAAGGAGGCAAACATGCTACTACTGCACCACCATGTTATCGCAAGTACGGGGCGAACAATATCAGTTTTCTGCGATGGTTTGACCACAAGAACGAGAAAGCCAAACTATGACTTCTCCAGGCGTATTGGAATATGATCCGTCAGCAAAATCAGCATCGTCGGCAAACACGGGTGTATCAGATAAAACCACTCACAGATAAACCGCTTTTAGTTTCTACGTAAGGTCATTTTTCATGGCTTACTCGAACTTCTGGTGGTATATAGTAACATCATTACCCTTCAGATGATATTCTAAGTTTTCCTTTAATAAGGCTATTGGTGTACATTTTCCTGCCATGTTAAATCTTATTAATTAATTCCAACTTTCACACTGCTAGCTTGCAAGTAAACTCCGTACTATTTTTCATTTGCTACAACCCAAACGCATTTATTTCTTAATCAATAACCAATAAAGGCCCTACTTAGCTCCTGCCCAGTTAATCAACACATTTCGGTTTACTGGTTTCTAAGCATACCTAAGCACGCATGATGGAGTAGACAGAAGGGTCGAAGGCCTGAAATCAATAAGTCTTCCAAAGTTGTAAGCTTGTCGGGCACATGCAAATTGATGCAGTCCTATACCTGCGAACTTGTTGATTAAGTTAATTCTTATACTTCATACAATAAACCGCTCTGATATATACTGCTTTGGACAAAGACATCATCCTTCTAAGTGCATATTAAAATGGAACCTGTATATTTTAAAAAAAAAGGACCAAATTGTATTTTCGTATAAACAAAAAAGGAAAATTTGAAAATAAAGAAAAGCAAATATACATTTATATAATCATAATGTTTATTAGAGAATGCGTGTGGTTCAATTATAAAACAGGTTTTTTGTCTATAGGATATTTACAATGATTAATTTTGTTTATGCTGCCATATCCTCGAGATCATACTCAAGCTACCGGCACTCGCCTAGCATTATTGCTTCTTAGCAACCAGTATTACATTTACTCTTCTTTTGTACTTACCTTTCCTACGTTTCTACTGATAATAAATAACACTTCGAATAAATCGGTTGCCATTTCATTTTCCAAGTTGATCATCTACTTCACATAAGAGCAAGTACCTTACCTGGTATACCTAATCTCCATACAAATTGGTTAAATGATGCAGTGCCTGCAGGTGCATAACTAATTCATATACGGACAAAAATCTTATATGACTATTGAGAACAAAGACGAAGAGCGTTCTAATATTTTTAGCTGGTACAAAGCGACGGGCACCTTTTAGAATTTTATTTATCTTCACAAGACAAACGTGGTTGACCAGTTACACTCAATTAATCTTCGCTAGTAATTATTTTAATTCTATACACCTATGTTACACTTCAAGAGACAACGGCGGAGTAACTATATACCTCCATAATAGTTTTCGATCACTAGCAAAAACTATTTAGTTCTTTAATGATAAAGCTACAGTTTATCCTTATTTTGATCGTCGTGCTGACTGAAGTCATAAATGTGTCTTGTTGAAGCTCTATCACTACCTCTCTCTAGTGATCACTTAACTTTTTTCTAGGTTGCTTTAGCGTCAGCATGCTGGCTCCCAATGATAACGTTCTGGCCATAAAAACGATTTGGCACGCTTTGGCCTTTTGCCCTTAATCAATCTTCCTAGCAGACCTGACACTGGTACTCGTCTCGATCATGTTCATGGTGCCGGGAGTGGCCTCCTCGCAAAGACAGACCCTGAATTTTGAACTTTCCTAGCTTGTCGGATTATTGATGACCACTGATCCCGGCGAAACTGTTGGTACATCCCAATCCACTTTCGCTGAATATCACACAGCTTTTTTCCCCCATACTTGCAAAAAGAACAGAAAAAACCATATAGATGTGTCGGAAAATCATAACTTGACCTGATGCGCTTAACGCTTAATCGCGCAACTAAAAAGTACTTTGCCCATAAAATCCTTTCGAAAATGACTTTAATATCGTTACTATAAAAGTTATAGAGCTGTTATAAAAAAAATTCTTCTCCTCTTTAAGTTTAAAGCTAAGCTCGGGGCCACTCAGTTCGTTCTTTAAAGATTATCAACTCTTATCCGAACGACGTCAAACCCTATTTCACCTCTATGTTCTCATTATTGACGAGGTAACTTATACACAAATGCTTCGAGTTATACGTTTGGTACTTAAGTTGTTAGACATTGCCTCAAGCGGTTGGCTCCTAGCACAATTCGAGCTACGTCCAGATTCAAGCCAGGACCACCTTGTGTGTCTAAGTTAGTAGACAAACATGTTACGCCTGTACTATTACGGGGGCAGAGATAAGCAGCCTATATAGGCCTAGCCAAAAAGAGTTTTTTTTTTTTGAACATAGCTTTATCCGTGTGACTCTATTAGATTTCTGTATAGGTCCTGCACCAAATACTCTTTTATATAGGGCCAAAGATAACTGATCAGTAATAAATGTGAACATATTCCTAAATTGAGTAGAAATTTAGTTATAATTTTGTGAAACGTAGCACAAGTCGCTTTTTCTGAAGATTTATAATAGAATACTGGACGGTAATGGTGACTGACACTCGCGATATTTATATAGCTTCTACAGTAGATGATGGACCAAATAATACTTTGACAACATTAGATATATTTAAAAATAAACTTTTTCAACGTTTTTCCTTTTTATTTTCTTTATTTATTACAACAATTATTGCAGTTACGAATAAATTCAAATCATGTCTGTAGGTTTGATCTACCGGATGCATGGCATCGCTCAACCGTCACGCGTTCAGGACAACCGTATCACTGTTCTATGCATACAAATGTGCTTATATGTTTATTTAATATATATAGAATATATAGTCGACCGTATTCCTGTAAGGAGAGACTTGGCATTACATAAATTCGATCCTCTCTCTCTTACTGCCTCATTTGCACAATCCTATATAATACTCATAAACTTATACCACACTATATATCCTGGAAGGTCTGAGCAGCATCCGTTCATGGCATAGTGACTTCGCTCACAAATGTAAAAAAAACAATCATTTCAGCTATTTCATCTTTCATAATACTTTGTATTGGTCAAGTTGAGAACGGTCCCCTCCTATTATGTAAGTACAAAAGAGGGTATGAAAGTCTATCTTATAAGAACTGATATGCCCATATTAAAATACAGTAATTTTGCTCGAGCTCAATGAAACAAAATATTAAAGATATATACACATTGATGTTTCAGTATTTACAAAGCCTTTCTCTATCGGTATATGATTATGTTAGGACAAGCCATACACCATCATAACGTGTTGCAGCGAGTTTTTTTTTTTTTATAAAAAAGAAAATGTTAAATTGTCATTTGCTGTTTTTCAAACTCGACCGCGCCCTCCTTCGGTAGTATTTGATTTGTCTATTTTAATCAGCAAATGTGTTTTTTTCACATGTCGCCTAGAAATATAGGAGCACACTAGTCTAGGAACAGCCAAACTATCATAATTAAGGCTGACTTAAACTGAGGTTTTCTAAAAGGTCAGTCGATTTAGCGTCTTTCAAAAAGCAGGTATATAAAAATTATGCAGTTCCATACATGACTATTAAGAATTCGGCATTCTGAAGGACAAAATATGTTTTCTGAAAATTATTTTTGATGTTTCTAATAATAATTGTTGTTAAATTATAACATTATCATGCTTGAACCACTGTTTGGTCCTGTCTAACCTGCATTAAAAGTTAGACAGTTTTCAAAACAAAATGCAAAGTCTCAAAGGCAATTATCTCAGGCTCGATGCAGCATATCAGGCCGTACTGTCTATATTTATGTCATGCTATTTTATTTGAGCTAGTTCATAGTAGCCCCGCACTAATCAATCCGGGGTGAACAAAACATTTTGCATCTAGACCTATATTTTGGCATGTGTGCAGACTTCTTTACATCTCATGTCACTGAGTCACCCTGTTGAAAAAAATCTGAACGTACTTAAATTAGGTTAGGGCGTAAATAATTAGAGAAATTCATATACGTACCTAGCATTATGTACAGTGCGAGCACACAGTGGTCTGAAAAATTAGGCGTCGCCATAATCAGACTCAACAATATAATACTAGTTTTTTTTTTTTTTTTATGTACAAGCGTTTGAACTGAATCGCTGCAGCTACCGTGTTTTGAATGGGTGGATAGCTGTATATTGACAGCAATGCACTTCACTGCACAGAAGGAACGAATGGGCCGATCAATACGAGAGTAATTTCAGCGATGCGCGCCTCTGATCCACTCCTGAACACTAACAACCACTACTACTTCTTGCAGGTTAAATAGATGGATGAACACTTCATCTCGAAGGAGCCACTGGGCAGTCAATATTCTGAGTAAAAGTACACCTCTTGTGGATTCTTGGTCTTGGCCGCAGCGGAAATCCGCTGTGTGGTGTATTCTGTTTAAAAATAGCTATTCTTTAGCATATCTCTTCAGCAACTGGTGCCCTTTCCAGAATCTCAATTAATTCGCCAGTGTTAGATAATACGTCAGGTGTCTTTATTCTAGCTGTAAATGAGTCCCTCCTCTGTTTTTGTCTCTGCGCTTGGCGCGGTCGTTTCGCGTGTTCATCGGACTCCCCTAGCTGATCGGGCTGCTTGGTTAAACCGACGTCAATATTGCCACTCTCGCAATCACCGTTATCTGGCGTCATCTTCACAAGCTCGGTGACGTCCCGAGCGATCTCTTTGATAACAGTAATGTCTGTGAGATCCTTTGACGGCTCCTTAGCTTTCGTCGACGATCCGTTGCCAACGGCATTGGTCAAACGCTCACCTTCATGTCGTTCTTTAACACCCTCGAAATCACTCGCTTCATCACTAGAATGTATTTGAGCTGTCGTCGTAATAATAATTGAGCCAGCTCCACCCTTTGTTTTTTTCTTCTGTAGGGCAAATCTGGCGGAAGAGCAGATACTTGGCGAGCTTGCTCTACCACTCTCTGGACTAGCGGCCCGTCTTGCCGTGCTTGCTGGGGCCATCTCGGATGAGGGCGTAATTGTCGACGAATAACCCAAGTCAGAGTCAGCACCGCTCGGCCTTTGTCTGTAATTGTTATTTGCGTACCGATAAGGTGAACTAAGCACCGTAACGTCATTTCCATTGAAAGAATTGAGTAGAAGACTTGTCTGAACACCAGGTTGACTTTGCTGGCTTTGAACACCGGCCGAACCACACAACTGCTCGGCTTCCTGTTCTGACGGGATGAAGAGCGGAACTTGCTGCTCCCTACCAGATGTATATGTCGCGGCGTTCCCAGAGCAAATAGTGAATTTTACCACTACAGCTCCAACGATAACGAAAGCCACTATAAACAAAAGAGGAGAAAACAATTTATACGTATCTGCGATACGCTTCCGTGAAATTGGGTTTACAGAGCGATCTTGTAGATTGATAACTAAAATAATAAATCTGTAAAGATTAATGACAACTTTGTGTTGGTATATCAGAATATGTGAAAGCTCAACGTGTGTTTGCTTATGGGTGTTAAGTATCTGAATTAGCGAGGTTTTTGATGAACGCAGCATAATAAATCAGATTTTTGTTTTTTTACTACAGTTTTAAGTTAAATTTTAAAAAGTTGTACAATAAACAGGAATATAAAAGACAAACCTATGACAAGCACAGGTCCGAATCCTAAATTCGAACCATATCCAGTAGATGTCTCCTGCAATACAAAATAGCCTTGGTAAAGTCGTGAAAAATTTTCATGCGATATATGGTAACTTGAAACTAAGTACATATATTACATCGTCTAATGATATTCAATTCGCTTGCAGATACCGAAATATAACGTTTGTAATATATGTATATACCTATATATATTTATATATATTATCTTAATATATATAAATATTAAAAAAATGTTAAAAAATAGGTAACAAGCGGGTTTATCTCAAAAAAAAAACAGTTTTAGAGTTTGAATCGCTGTGGTACCGGCGTTTCCTCCTGTAGTACAGCTCTGGTGATAGCTGAGGCGGTAGCGAAGTAGATATTAAGAGGCTGTTTTGCATAAGTCTCGTGTGCGGACCTGGACGGCCAAGCCAAACATTTTTACGTAGATCTTTCTTATAGAAAAGATAAACCTTTAGAAAGCAAAATTCGCGTCCAGATTACAAATCTGTTGGTATGCCATCCTCCTAAAGTGGCGGAAACGTAACAGGAGCGCAAAGGTGACCTAAGGCCTAATAAAAGTGCAGGAATAAATGGTACAGAGGATACAAAGCTTGCGCACAAAGTGATAAGCAGGTGAGGAATTCGTGTATAACGAACATATATGGCGATATGCAATCCTTCTAACGTGAGAGAAAACCGGAAAGCGCTGAGAGCGTGCACTTCATGGCTCTCGCAGCTGTCACCTAGATCCGGTAACTATAAAACAATCCTCGTCGAGGGTCGGCCAAACAAAAACCTTGCTTTGATAGTACGTACCTCTATGGATATCATATCATAAGGTGATGCTCCATTAACGACTCCTCGATAACAGTGTGGCTGAGCTGCGCAATACGGTTGATCGAGGGCAACGTGGGCCAAATTGGAGACACACCAGGCGCAAGCTGACGCTTCTAAAACAGAAAAAGAAAAAGCATTATAACATAATTTTAGCTAGCATAGAAAAATGTTTAAATGTATTTATGATACGATAAGGCAATGTCAATGATGACGTCCGTCATCAAATCCTTATACCTTAATGAAGCACTCTTAGAGCCATCTCCTCTTTGCTCTCTTAGAAACAAACGACGGCGAAAGCTCTAGCCTCCATAAGGAATTTCATAGAACTGTGCTCAAAATTAATTTTGTAACAATTCATCCATTCGAAATTCTTTAGACAAATATATTATTTATAATGCCTACATACATTAGCAATGTAAAAAAGAAGATTGACATACCGTAACATTCGCTCGCGCTGGCCTTAAGGGGACAAGTTTCAGCAAAGCATTTTTGCAAAACGGTCGGTGATCCTGCTACTGAGAAAAATGCTGGAACAAAAACTTCTTGCGAACGTAGGCTAGGAGCGCATAGGTCTAGAGATCGGTCGGGCGTTGAACTGGCACTGATGTCCCCTGCGAAAGCGCTGCATTGACCAGCACCGCTCATCGTTCTAGACCAGGCGCATTGACAGGGGCACTCTGGATCATCTTGGGCCATTCGACGGCAATTCAGGCACCCGCGATCATTCTGTTTTTAGCAAAGCATTAAAAGACCAACATGATAATTGCAATTGTCATTTATCACATGCAAAAGCCTATTCGAGGGGCGTGATATACTTCGTTATCAAAGCTCGTACGTAGAAGAGTGCAACATGGAAAAGCTATAATACCTTTTAGAGAACAGAACAAGGAAAGCCAAGAATTAATATTACATAGCCGCGAAATACTTTTTCGATGGAGATATATTTACGTCGATCGTTTCGACCCTTAGCTTTTCGTACGCGGCTAAATGCCCCTAACAGTTCGTATCTTACATATATGAGGGATCAACATAAGAAAAGAACTTACCACTCCGCACGGCGTAAAGGCTTGCCCACTATGGCAGGTTTTGTTGATAAGCCCTATGAACAAATTTGACCGCGCTATAGCTGAGACGTAGTATTTGTGGCAAGAAAGTTCATTCTGAACGACGTTTATAAGTGCGTTTGCAAGTGACATCCGCAGCTCATAGGTTCGTTGCACTGTGCGATCTGACGGTGATATACATGCTGATTTCTTTGAGAAATCCTTAAGGCTAAGGATTTCGTTGGCAACTACATGTTCTTTGTGCGCTATATGTAGTGATTCTTTCGGAGTTTTCGGAGGCTGTGGGAATGTTGCATCTATCAGTGACGGATGCGATACAACATATCCTTTGTGGTCCATAAGAAAACACGTAATATCACCAAAGCCAATGGAACGTACGTCACATTCCGGAAATAGGTCTCCCATTAATTTGCTCAAATAACCAACGTTCAAGTCCATTGCTACAACGGCTATTACACTATTATCACGTACCAGAGCGCGGCTCAGCGTGACTACTTGGCCGTAACCAGCCGCATCGAGGTAAGGTCCCGTCAAAACAGTACGATCCGTTAGTTCAGCCGCTTGAGCATACCACTCACGCATAGTGGGGTCGAATCTTTGAGGAATTATTGTAGCAGGCCACATCATCATAACTCCTTTTGCACTGGCTATATACCGCCGAATCGCGATATCCAATGAAGTATTAATGTTCCAGTCTTTCGTCAAATAGGCTAAGAGTCGAACTTCTTCTCTGATATGAGATTTGACTATTCCAGGATTGGTCATCATATTTGTCTGATCGAATAGATAGTGGCTCAATGAACGCACGCTTTCTTTCGTCTCGTCGGTCATCTGATGTGCGAATGGATTAGCAAAAGCCACCTCACTCAAGAATACACCCAGCGCTTGTGTTGATGCTAGCTGATTTGAATGAGTACATTTCGATACCTGAGAGATAAGGTCGAGTCGGTGATATACCAGTGAACGGCCTGAAATTTCCTTTAACGATATGGGACTCTCGAGCGCTAGAACCGGTCGGTTTGTGGTGCGATTGGCTACGAACACTGTAAATGGGGTGCCTTCGACATTTTTCCATGTGTACTGCACAGAGTTTTCTTCGTTGGAGAGATCGAAGCGAGAATATCGAAAGAGTTTAAGAGGTGGCAACTCTGGCTCGAGTGACGATACTAACGGAGAAGTTCCCTCAACGGCAACAGCTTTACCAGAAACAAACATAGGATGTGACATGATATGTCCGGTTTCCGCGTTCAGCAAAAACGCGTAATGTTCTGGAGACTGCTCAGGCATCTGAAGATCTTCAACGAGATAATGTAACGGCAAATCAAATCCCAGCACACCATCAGGCACGGCGCGATTCATGCCCATAAGCTTGACAGGTAAAGCAACCGTAACGAGCAGTTGTCGGCTGATCGGGTCAAACCAGGGAGAAGAGTAATTCATTGGTGGGAAAATATCGGGTGGAGGAAACGCCTCCACAAAACGGCCCGCCGTGGCTGTGAGATTATCTGTTGAATTTACTACAAATGATGCCCCCCTACGTGGCTCAACATAAAAGCGTGAACAAACAAAGAAAAGAGTACAGTTAGATCTATTCTATTAGCGGCTACAGTATTATTTGAAGCACAATCGAAGATATCAGCAACAGGTTATACGTGTTCAATTTTTCGCTAAAAACACAGAAAGGACAAAACTTATAATGGATAATTAATATTAACATCGATGTCAAAAGCGACACAAAAGCTAACGTGCTCCTCAGCTGAAGTTGATCACTAATATAATTCCTTAAATATGAATTTTGATGTTAGAATCTCTTCTCTTAGTATTACCTCCGGCTACCCTGTATGTCGATAGGCGTGGCTGCTATCGCCTCAAGAAAATCCTTAGCAAAGACAATGCTCCTTCGAGAATCACCAAGCATGTATGTGTTGATTACTACTCGATGACGTTTTAATTCCCTTCTGCGCAAACTAATCAAGTCCAAAATTTCCTAAAAAGTCGGATTATAGTAATTACTACAAGTTACTAAATCTTTACAAGTCTTTGGTGTGAATTGTTTAACACTCATATGAAAAGGCATCGAGATATGTTGGAACAAAGACCTTATTAAACATGGGAAGGAGTGGTTTACGGATATTCTTTGCTTAATTATGTAGCTTAAATTAAAATAAAAACTCAGGATACCTTTTTGTCGTGGAGGTGTGAAAACTTTCCCATTGAGATAAGAGCGACAAGTACATCACTGTAGCTATCTTCACTTGATGGCGTATTTCTAAGCAAATCAAACGCCTGAGATAGAGCTTCCTTGTGGTTTGTCAAATCTGGAAAAAAGCAATGTCAGGCTTTTTGTGTGACTGACGATACAATTATAATTCTCTACAGATACACGTTTCAACCATGCGTGTATGCCTATTGTGTGTCATGTTTAATCATCATCAGTTTTGTTTCCAGTCTTCTACAACTATTTTAGCGTTTAATTAATCAATCTTAAGTTGATCGTACATAATTTTAATAAAAATATACTTTGCCTAAGAGGCGGAAGAACTCCATAAAGTTACCACTCAAAAACAAACACTACAACGTGTTTTGCTGGCTATATTATACTTGAACGATTTAAATAATTCTAGTGATCAACAATCTCTCCCGGAAGCCAATAGAGTTATCTGGCAAAAAGTGAACTCATGGTTTGACTGAACAATATGTTAACGATTCTTCCCCAGTAACGTTTTTGTCTTTTGGTTTAAATAATAATAAATGTTATCTTATTTAAGAGTTGCAAAAAAATATAAGAACATAATGTTATTACCATATTTACGGATCTCAATTGCTAGAACCTAGAGTCACTAGCTGTACTATACCACTATATCATGTCACACATGACTTTGCTTTCTATGAAACAGATTAGGATCAGCCATTGCCCTAAAGAGCCAACTCGTATCTCGCAATAGGCATAGTTTTCGGTTTCATTCTGCCTCCTGAGTGGCTTCTCACTCCTACTTTCGGTATCTGGGTATGTAACACCGTCCTCATGTCTTGTCGATTTTTTCTTCTCAGTAAAGGAAAACTGCCTTAGTTCGTCATATGAAGAGTCTCTTCAGATTCGTCTCATCTTTATAGACAATGAGTTTGAACGGAGCGTAAGTACACAATAACACAGGCTATGACAGCGGCAGCGGCACTAGGCGTTTTGCACTATACGACGATAGGTGGCCCCACTTTCATGGTGTGAGTTTGCCAAGGAGCATAATGGTTCGAAAAAGGACAAGTATCTCAAGTAACATACCCTGCACCTACATAGAAAACGGCCAGAGCAAAAACGTCGTGATGCACAATGGTGCAGCGAAACTATGAGGCAAACGTGCCATATTGGTATATGAATGTAGACCAGGCATCTAAATGATAGGGCGCTTAGCCTGTTCGTTGCCTCCTCGATATTTTCTTTCGTTTCATTTTGCTCGCCACATGAAGATTAACTAACTACATGGATACCAAGAGCAGACTGATAATAATTTCGAGAGATTCGTTGGGACATCGGCCCGATGGCAGTAATCACAAAGTACTGAGTGGAGAGTTCATAAGGTTAAAACATCTTTATCACTTAAATTAGGCGATTCTTAGATCCGACAAACAAAATCGCCTCTCAAATTGATAACTCTAAATTTCTGTAAGGTATAGATTTAGTTGGCGTATTCAGACTGACAAAAGATATGCCCACTCTCTGCCTACTTCGACGACTTATTATTGAATTATAGCAGTCCAAACTAATGGAAAAAAAATGACTAACAAAGTATATACTACCTCCGCATATGTTCATCATGAAATACATTTTGAAGAAAATGATATTGCTCAAAGCTAGCATGTAAATAAATAATTTTAAAAACATCAGCCTGCAGCCAGAACCTTTCGGCATCGATATTCGAAAATAGCGAATTTAAACTGGAAGCAAAATTAAGCTATGCACGTGCAGTTTGAATTCTACTTACTTCCTTTCTGTTTTATGTTATCGACAAAATCCAGCATCCCGCGTATAGCTTCATCATGGGCGTAGACTAATGTTTGACAATCAGGCGCCACGGTAGCCTTGTCTGCTACGGCTATAACGGCCAGTCTGTCTTGAGGGCTTAGATTCTGGATGAAGAACCGTGTAACCGCCTGACACCGCAATATAATAAAAATGTTAGGCAGTCAACAGACATGAGCCGTAACAAGCTTTCATAATGGGTTCTTGGTTTTATTTGTTAACATAAAAAAAAGCAATGGTCGTTGCATAGAAGAGTTTATATTTCGGGATTCTAATTAACTGAAAAAATGACAATGGTACTGCTGATCCGAATATGCGACTAAAGCCAAAACTCAGAAAAATAATATACTGACTAACACAAACCTTGCCAACCTCAAATTGGGATTCCGCCATATGCCCTCCGTGGTCAAAAATCATCACCACCTGTTTGGATCGTGGCCGAACTCCACGTGTATATGCGGCCCTGTATAGACAATTTTTTTAAAAACACAAACAAAAACCGCTTACGATATGATAATGATCCAATTATGCACGCACGTTTATTGTACATAAAATATAAGTGTAAGTATCAAGTTATCTAAGGTAAATACATAAAACATTTTCGACTGACCGGTGCCTCGTGACGTCCCCACAGAATGAGCTCGCCCCAGTCACTGCGGGAAATTCAAGATGCGTCCGCTGTGAAATAAAGAATTGCCATCGAGCGGCAGGAACTGAAGAACTTATCCGTTCAAAAATTTGAGTCAGGTCATAGAACGATTCACTTTCCCGAGATGGGGTACAGCTGGCGTTGGTTACAACCTAAAAGAAAGAACGTCAAAGATACGGCAACGCTCGAAAGTTCTTTTCGCCTAAATGTTTTGCGGTTAAGCTCTGCAAACATATACATTTATCTGAACTATACATTTCTTGGTAGAATCCCATGAGAAAAAAAAATAATTGGAATGAAATAAATAGGAGCGCACTGGAAGTTATGTAGTCATACCTCGGAGTTAAAGAGCGGGTCGAACGTTATGCCCACATCCTCAATATTGAGACCGCAGCAGAATTTTGGCCGCACATCGGTTCGCCTTGGTGTATGTAGCATCACATCTCGAATACCTTGTGAGCCGTCTTGTAAGGCCTGTTTATATACAATATACACGTAATTTTTGTCGAGCGTTTCAGTTTTTAGTTAGACATAATCTTACAATTATGCATTCAGAAACCGTTGGTTTATGACACAGCAACAAACCTTAGCTAATTCTCGGTGTTTCTTCTTAAGCGCTCCGTGAACCCTGGACACAATATCATCTCGGCTGAATCGTAAAGGTGTGAAAGACAACCGTTCCAAATTAGCCTGCAATTAAAAATGCATTCACTTACTTTTCTGACGCTTAGCATTATGCTAATAAAAAATAATGGTAATAATAATAGTAACATATGCTATTATTATTATTGAGGAAAAGATTAAAATATTCTATTTAAGAACAAATGTCTTATTCCTATCATACTAAAAGAATCTAATTTATTTAAAAAATATTCTTGTTTAGAAAATCACGATAATAAGAACAATAATTAATAATAATAAATACATTCTTTCCTTAGTAAATCAAATGTATTTATTAGAAGATAAAAAAGCCATATAAATATAATGCATATGTATGTATATATTTTATTTTAACACCCATTAGTTTTACGAAGGAAGAGGAAGAGTTATTTTCTGGCATCATTGCTTGTGTGCGTTAATTAACCTCTGCCCCGAAACATATATGCAACATCCAAAATCTAGCGGCACAACTGTCTTGGTTTTCTGCTCTTTTTTTATACAGGATAAAAATTATACAAAAGTAGCAACAATGAGCAAATATCTCGGACAAACAAAAAAAACACCCTACAACTTTATCGGTCGGATACTTTGGAACCTCACGACGTCATCTGGAACAAACAAACAAACAAATAGAAAAGCTGCAACACTTTTTACAGGTAAAGTACTTTACCTCAGCACATGCTCCTATTGCGAAATTGGCTGAGATAAGCTGTGCAACTCCCAACCAAGCTGTTAGTTCCTCCCTTCATTGTCTATTAAGACGCTCAATTACTTTCCAGCTCGTGTCGTTTTAAAGATTATACACCAGATGATGTACTTGTTAAGTACTTATAGATGCTGATAGGTTCACGATATGATCCCGATTGTCTTTATACTTGCACTACTGATACAATAGGTCAACTGATTATTTCTGTGTATTTGCGGCCGAGTGCTATAGATCACTTCGAACATATCATCGCTCATCAATGACTGTTGTCTCCCGGACGCAAGCCTGCTCACATGCATAACTCAACTCCCTTCATTAATATTATAAAAAATTCATGTATATCTAATGATTCGATAGACTTGTTTTCGACGATCGAGCAATCAATTTCGATCAATAGCCATTAACAAGAGTTCGATGAGCAAGAGAACTAGTGTCGACCGGAAAGAGACAACTAGCTCAACAAGTGGAGAAGGCTCGAACGAAAAAGATTTTACGGGAAGAACTACGCGCATGTTGATTGTAGGTTAGGAAACAACGTAACCTGACTAGGTCTAGGAAACGCTAAGCACACGGCGGACACAGAAAGCGTGAAGGAGGTACGACACGCGAATGTTATGACAAGACATTATATCGTCCCCACGATCGCCATCTTGTCCACACCGTTCAGGCCCATCTAGTGTCTCCAGTTTGATAACACTTTGAGGACGGTCCTTTTAAGTAACAGGCCGTGTGTGAGAGGAAGGGGGCGGAACGGAGATCGTGGCGTACTACTGCTAAAATACGTAGCTTTCTTGTATTTTCAAACACAAGAGGTGCAATGATTAGAACACTAAGGGTCTTTTTTTACTAATGCAATTAAAGGGACGAGCTTGTGTATCGCATAGATTTAAGAATGCAGGAAAGTGGGAACCAGTGAAATTTTTATGATAAAGATCGATGACTATATTGCGATAAAACTATTGAGCCCATGAAAGATTTAAACGAAAGTATATATAGGGTCATAACGAACGAGTTTCAAGAAATTGATGACGTATATTGTTCATAAAATCAATAATACCATAAAATTTTACTTGTTACTTGTTTACCATAAAAGTTTACTTGAGTAAGTAAACACAAAGCTTTTTTTAGTTAAATATTAAACAGATAGATGCGCTTGTTTCAGTTAGCTATTATGAGATACTATATATTTAAGCTTTTTCATGTTTGTTGCTTTCCTTATTTCACTAACGTTTTCGATAAGTCTTCAAGTAAAAATTTCTTTAATTTGTAGGTTCTGTGAGTTTTCTCCACGCGTCGGGTCTTACAGGAGACCACATGATTTCAATGTCTTAACTAAACTCTTATGCCCTATCGCTGAACAAGGACATAAAGGAGTACCCGGAGCTCTTATTTTGCCATTAAAATAGTCTATGTCTGACAGTAGTATGTTGAGCGTCCCGAAGCCAGTTAATTAGCTTCGGCATAAAATCTACCAGTTTTTGTTTATTACTTTATTTCAATCTAAGCGGGAATGACTTACTGCATTCGTCCCGATAAAATTCAGTCTAGTTAGAGTCATGACCGCGCTGTAAAAGGTTCAGAAAGATTGGATGGTGTTGACGCGTTCGTAAAACAAGCCCATGTATCTACAAGTAGGAGACAACGTTGTAGGTGTGCTCTGCTTGGTGTGATTACAAAACGTACATGCATTATAATGGAAAAATTAAACTTAACATCTCACAGTAATTTTACAATTGTTTTTTTTACATCTTGTCGTATTAAATGTTTCAAAACAACGTTGTTGCTTCTAGCGGCTGGCTGGTGGCTCCATAGAAAAGTATGTTGTAATCTGATGTTGACCTTAAATCACCTCACGTGTCTAAATTTAATAGGCAAGTATATCACTACGAGATAATCACAGCAACACATCCTGTTGACCTCGACCCCCCAACTGGGGAATTTCGAGTGTGTGATTTTTAAATACGTGGTTCTTGTAAGTCTCGAAAGCTAATGAATGGATGATCAATTCGGTAATTTATCGGATATAAAAAAAACAACGCAGCGCAGTACTATTAGACATTAAAGTTAAAGGGAGATGCAGCATAGGCACTTCGATGCTACCATGGTAGCCTATAGCGTTGTATCAGTCTCTTCTTGTTCTGCTTTTGAAGTCCATTTTTTGCTCTATGTGCCAAGGGGGAACAAAGATTGGCACGACGAAAAGCTAACGTTGATATGGTAAATACGAACGTGTTCACGATATCAACGTTTCACAGGTCCTGATTATGATGTTTTTAAACAATCGGACTTGGACTGGCGTAATGCAAGTCCGATTGCACCTAAGTATTAGTACTTTGATGTTAGTCACAAGGACAGCGATAGTTTACCTTTAGTTCTAGTTTAGCTAATCGCAAATCACTATCTAGTGGCTGAATTATCATAGTCAAACTACCTAAACTCATTAAAATATATGCTTATTCACCTATAAAAGATATACAACATGATTTTGTGTATATTTAATTACCTTGAACTGCTCAATCTAAACTAAGAATCTGATATGAGTGACAAACAGTTCTTGTCATCATCTACAAATTTTTGTCAGATCACATGATTACGCCTCGTGGGTAGCTAAGACTCCTCTAAGTTGTTGCTATTGAAGCGGTTAATATGCTCCTAATTCTGGGTATCGACATTGACATTTCGTAAATATTATAGTTCAATTGATGAAAGAGCTAGGAAAATGTTACAGCAGTGTATTTGCAGCGCACTTTGACTATCGCTAAAGACTCAGAGCGAATATTATCGATCGCAACCTAAGAACAAACAACGCGTTAACGTTGAGTCAATCTGAATTTAGTTTGCGGTATTACGCCTCAGCCAACGAATGCTGCGAACGGCCAGCGCAAAAATAGCTGATCGTGCCGCGTGCACTCTAAGTTCATCTGAATTAACCTATCCAATCGCTAAGGATTCATACCTAGGCACAATTTTATAAGTCAAGTCTCGAATGCAACATTCTGAAACGTTAACCTAGAGCTTTTCAAATAATTCTACAAGTAATCCATTTAACAATACTAAAAGTTCGAACTATACACTGGCCCAATCAATAGCTACATAGGTCATACGCCGAGCTAGAAGGCTTCTGTCTGTGGAGGCTTTTCTTACGCTTGTCAGAAATATTCTAGCTGTTCAGTTCGACGATCCATTTCAAGTCCTTTAGGTGCCGTATTATCCTCTAGGCATGTCATGCACACAAGGCAATAAAGTTGAAAAAATACACGACTTGTTTTGCCGATGCTGGGGCTAAGCATTCAATCTATATATGTACACTATATAAACAACGCTATACAAAGAACATGAAAAAAAGTGATTGTTTAACGTCCCGAAGCCAATGCTACATTTGTCACGATATAGTCGTGTGCACAATTTTACAACATATTCCACGGTTTTTCTTTTCAACTATATACTAAGTACGTTTTTGCTATGCGTTTGTCCAATTTTGCGTTATTAGGAACTTAAAATCCCAACTGATATTCTATGGTGCAGTACATATAAGTAAAGGAGAATTCCAATATCCGAACTAGGCTGCAACAGATCATTGGTATCCATATAAACGACTAAAAGCTATAATCATTATATAATGAATCAATTGCTTAAGCTCAATTGTAGCCTACCTTGCATTAAATCATTGACACATTTTTTTTTATCTTAATGTCCATCTACTGCATAAGATACACCTGCTAATTAAACGAAGAATTATAGAATGCATGTATGCGCGAAAAATAGTTATTGCATTTACATAGGTATATACTCAATCATTACGATATCCTTCCAGCGCTTCGATGTTTTGCCGCTGTCTCAGTCTGCCAAATGGACATAACGCATACGACTCATTGCGAATAGTTAAGCCGTCATAAATTTATTTATAATAAAATCGAGTTAGCTAATTGAATTCCACAAGTATAAATAAAAGAGGGCACCTAGTACCTTGATCCGACATTATTTTTAAAAATACAAGTAACTCAACCATCGAAAGGGCGATACACAGAACAAATGTAGTGAAGTAAATCTCTCGTTTACCAGAAGGGGACGTCGCACCAAATCGTAATACGACAGAATCGTGCGAAATTAATACAAACAGAATTATGGCCATTACAAATGAATGAATGATAACATAGAAAAAATATCAGGTGAATGGTATGTGGAGTCTAGACTAAACGTCCCCTAAAGAGATCTCAGTCACTTAGTCAATTAATTATATTAGTTAATTGATAGACCAAAGTTTTTACCATAAATTAAGTTACCATAAATTGTATGGCGTATATTCAAAATTACATTGCCCATATATATATATATATATATATATATATATATATATATATATATTGGTGCCTAAAATCCTAGCACACTAGAAGGCCTGCAACACTATAAAAGGTACACTATCTATTCAATGCAAACAAGATCACTCAAAGCGGTTAGAAAGCAGCCAAATTGAAAGCTGGGTACTTACTGCGGGTTGAATTTAAAATTCAGAACAAAGATTTAACTGAGGGACGAATGCCCAAAAAATATGTTGGTCATTTGAAAGAGTAGAATTGGTATGGAAAAAGAAAAGGAATGGTATTCAAAAAGTAATCCGACTATCATGTTAATCGTATTCATTTCTTGTTTAAAAATGTGTTCGATGACATGGTAAGTAATCATTCACTTTAGCCGAATGCTAGTCGGGATTAAGATTGTCTTACTCAATAAAGTTTATACAATGTCCCGGGTGTGGGCTGTACAAGGAAACCGATGCATGCTATCAATAGCCGTGATGTTTCTACTTACAAAAATTTTTCTGTACGATTAACCTAATGCACCAACCTGAATATCATCAAACTTCAGATTCATATGAGGCATTCGTTTCAAGTGTTGGCTTAACAGCTTCGCTCGATCAGCATTTGAATTGAGATCCTGTGCAGATGTTGCGCTGAACAGAACAATCCATGCACAAAGAGCCACGGCTGCCCCGCTTCCGAACCCGCGAAGGTAGCAGAACGCCATGGCGACAATTTAATTGGCAGAATTTGTCATGGAATAACGAAAATAGAATCTACACACTGTTGAACTTCCTCCACTCAATGCTGAAGTTCACTTTTCGCCTTCAGAGGACAAAAAAGCTGAATACTCTTATTTACAACACCCGTTATTGGTACTGACTGCCGAAAGTGTACACTGTATGTACAAGTATGCTCGTTATTACATTTAGAATCCTGTTTCTATTTGAATCATAACACTGTATATGACCAATAAGTCAAACACATCCACACGACTGCACAGTTGTCCTTGTGTGCTCATACTTTCAGAGATACTATAAACTCGAATACATAACTAAACTAAGGAATCACTGGGGGATTTTCCGCCACTTCTTATTCGCTCATCATTTTCTTTGAGCCTGGCTGCCTCAGCTGCTGTTCTGACTTATTTTTTCTTCGATAACCGACAGATCTTCTGCTTCAATACATTTCTGTACGCAAGACTCCGGCTAGAGTCGAACTGTGTGTACGCGTGATACCCACAGAACAACTGCTCTGTCAACGTTCGGTGTCTAATCCGTCCGTTCAATTGTGCTTTTTGACCGGCAGCAATGTTCGTTCGAAATGCAGTATTCAAAAAGGCTCATCACCGATAGACGTGAGTGCGGACGGAGTGAGCACTTTTGGTTATGGCTGCGTCAACCTTTCGACGAACGACGGCCGCAGCCTGCTTACAGGTCTCTGCATATTGTCCTGCCTTTCATTTGTTTTTCTTCTTTCTTCGTCACCTCTTTATCTTTCTCGCTGTCTTCCCTCATCTCCACTCGTCCTGTTGCGGCCAGGAGAGGCCCAAGCCCTCTTATTTGTAAACATTCACCGCACGACTGGTACCCTTTATTCTCTGCGCCTTGGTTGCCCTGCGGCTTTTACTGCTAGGATCTCAAGTGATCAGCCCTTTCTAGCGTAGAGAGGGTTAGCAGACGGTCGGCCTCTCTCTTCTTTAAAGGACAAACATGTTTTGGTTAGAGAAGAGCTGTTGCTACTATTAAAATGTCTCTACAAGTTAATCACAGTGAGGATGCAAGAACTAAAGCGGACGGAAATAAATCATCTATGGTTAAACAAACAGGAATACCAATTCCCAGGTATTGGTAAAATATTGACCCGAAAATCGAACGAGAAAATGAGGACGGTTGAACGTTTTTAGCAGACGATATTGGCGATAGCTTCCTTCGCCTACAGATCGCTGCAACCCTTCATCAACACAAACAATACTCGCTCAGTTGGATGGAGCAGAAGAGCTGGACGCTTAGCTGCATGGCACACGTAGTGGGGTCTAATATCCGCGATGTATTTTAGGAGGAGATTGTTGCGTCTACAAATAGCAAGGAACATCAATGATAAAGGTTTAGTTCGACTCTGCCTCGCAACGTGCTGCCGTACGCTAATCCTACAACGTTTTGCGCCGTGTCTGAGCTTGCGAAACTTTCTTAGTTTACGGTTCTACTTTTGGTTAAGACACTTAACACCATAGATCATTATCTGTAAAAACAACAGACGTTCAAAGCAGCAGTTTTCTGTACATGAGTTCGTGTTGGTTCCTTAGTAATAGCACTTTTCTAATGTTATTATTATGATAACAGAGGGCATTATTACTGTGTAGACATAGACATTTCTAGCTATTTTGAAAAAGTTATATTGCTCATAACTGAACAGAGTTTAACTATTGAACTAAAGTAGTAAATATTGCCTAGAAGCAATTACCCCTTTTTATGCTGATCTTATCACCCTCGCCTGCCTATAAATACTAATGATCGTTTATGCATCACAATCGCCTACAGCGTGGAACGGATCAAATACAAGCACCCCGACTTTTATTTATTAGTAATCATGGCAAAGCTCGATTTTATAAAACAAGCTGCAATGCAATTTATTGACTAGCACGCTCCAATTATCAAATGGTAATGAACGCCGTATCCAGCGAAGTTAACATCGTAGTAGCCGAGTGCAGTGAGTCCGTAACCATTACCAAAGACGGGGACTACCAGAACACGGGCAAAGGCCACAGACAACGGTGAAGGCGGTAAGAAGGGCGAGCTATATCGGCAGCAAAGAAGAAATATACGATAATCGATATTAATATAAAAAAGCAATACAAGCATTAAAGAAGCATATTAAGAGCATGAACTTCGAATATTTATTTGAAGTGTGCTCATGTCCGTAAAGTATATTTAGCAATTTGTTACAATATTGGTAATGATTTGGAGGAAACGATCTCGGAGCAAATCACTTACTATGACTTCGCCCTTACGATGCTTGCAGTTTCAACCTATGTTTCACAAGACTGCTTATATTCTAAACTGATTTTCGGCCGACATGGGGTGATGCTCTCTTCAAGGGACGTTTTTCTACCCTTTCTTTTTTCATATTATCGAGGATTGCTGTCAAATAGCGTTTGCTCCTCAGCGGTTTTAGGGCTGTGTACAGAATCTGAACAGCGAAAGGAGAGTACCGGTTACCTGGCGAAGATGACTAGGACCGTCCATCCATGCGCAGTATCGAAAAACTGTACCGGAAAGGAGCTATCAGTGGTTCTCTCTATTGATCTTCTGCGATTTCCGTATCTGGCTGAGCGTTCTGGTCACCATGCGTAAAGCTGTCGCGACAGCCCAGCTAATTAATCAGCCCATGTGTTCTCGTCGACGAACAGCAAAACAGTTGCGCGAAGTCGTTCTTGTCAATGGTAGACTATAAGCAATTTTCTTCAGTATTCGTTTCTAAAAGGGCGTTTCTCCTGTCGGTATAAATATTAACAGCAACAATTACAACAGCGAAACCAATAAATTCGACAATAAGGCAAGACTTATTGCCTACAATCGCCGAGGATGGTAAAATAGGTGCTGAAGCAATTAGCTTTAGTTACGATTTCATGCGAAAAATCTTATACATTAATGCAAAAGAATATGTTTATCTTTTCCAAAGAGCTTAAGAGAGCTGACCCTTTCCAAGTTTGCATATAAGCACAAGGGTTTCCCGGTTATGCTATAGTTAGGGAAAAATATATCAGCGCGTATCGGGCTTACAGGATCTGCTTACTTGATGCTACAGTAGTAACGTGTTTATCTACTCAGCTTAAAAACACGTGAGCTGCTATGAATTGGAAACCGGTGATACACGCTTTTCGTTTTAACAATACTTACAAAATTGCAAACATTTGCTCACGTTTAGGTGATTTAACCATTACTGCTGGGCAACGAATAGTTCCATAGCTAAAACGCTTCAACACAATACGCATCGTGAATATATCTCTGTCTACAAATAAAGTGCGTAGCGTGAAAGAAATCAAAGCAGGTAGGCAAGCGTGGTAAAGTTCCTTCCTTTTTCCTACAATGGGAGTTCTCCTTTCACCTGGATCCCAGGCCAGCGGAACTTCATGTGTGCTGTTCCGTTCATGACACCTAAGGTGCCACGAGAGAAAGACCAGTCGAGATCTTTATAAATAGTCTTCATTAAAAATTAATAAGTTAACAAGAGCGTTTGGTTTTGTAAACTTACAGGCTATATTATTAGAGAAGTCTTAGAATTTGAGAAAAACTGTGTTTATCGCTTAGGTTAAATTGGACGAGATAGGCTTTGGTAGTTTGAATGAATTTTTGTCACTGACCCTTCAAATATGATTCCTCGGAAAGTTGACTATTGCTATATACAACAATAAACACGTTTTATGCAATTCAATGCTTCGACTTTTACGTTCGATTTTACCTTTCTAATTCTAAGTTCCTATGAAAATAAAGGAAACCTTTATGTATTTGCGGGTAAACAGGAGAAAATTAGCTTTATATAAATAAAAACATTTCTAAATGTTAATTGTTTAATAATAATAAAAGTTTAGTTATCTTTGTCAGATAAAAATCGCCAACAGAGTACACATTTTTGGTTTGTTGTATACTTAGTGTGAGAAGACCTTTGTATTAATCAGCTTTAGTAAAATAAGTATAATAAATGATTTAGCAAGTAGGCTTTAAAGTTTTCGACCAGCCTTCGTAGGTGTGCGGGAATATAGTGCACAAACTTAATACTTTATTTTGCATCCTTTTCCATTTCCCATACTAAATTATTAGTTTTTATTTAGGTATCTCTAAATATTTTGAATGTTTTCCTGTGGCACTTTAGCCTCTAATATATAATTAAAGTGTGTTTTTACCGTACAAAGAAACGGCCTCGAGTCTCATTTCTAACTCAAAACAGAGTTTTTAGCAGTTACCGTGAGGCAACAATCGTGAGGATTCTTAAATATTACAATTTCTTCAATTTAAACATCACACTTATTTTATCGGTACTATTCAGGAAAGAATTATAAAATTTAACTTAAATATTACTGTAGGTCTAAACTTACTGCATTATTCTGCTGTTAGAGTTTCACCTGCTTTATACTATTTGCTATGGCCTTGTGTACCGACGTAATGGAAAGATACCTTTTTCAGTTACTTAACACGGTGTTCGAATTATCGAAATTGAAGAATATTTATTTCAATAGTCCTAAACCTATTTAAATCTATTCGAATGCTGCAATAAAACCCAAACGTTGCCTATGTGTGCTTCAATGGATGTGTTGAGGTCTAAGATGAGGTCATTACAAACTATAAGTTCAAGCTCTGAACAATGTATTTCTCATACGCTAAGCACCTAAATTCAACGGCATTAAATATGAAAGTATACTTCAAAGAACGAACTAATTGCTATAATAAGCTCTAGTTGACTATGCAATCGCCACAGGGCACTCATACAGCTTTCATACTGTCACTCACATTTGCGTCATCGTTCTGATTCAGGCATTTATCCGTAGCGGATTTGCAGCGCAGATAATAGATGTTGCTCTAAAAATTATGCACAAATTATATGGGAACGAATTACACAGATTGTAATAAACAAGCAAAGAAAAACGTACTGGCAAATTAGCTAGATTTTAGATCTATGTGGGATGCCAACATTCGGCCTTAGGTCCTGTGAAACCGACCTTATCGAACTATCAAACCATGTTGCCGATCCGCTATCGACACTTTATTAGAGCTCAAACATCAACCCGGCCATAAGTATTCAACTCTTTTTATTGAAAATTAAGCATACTGAGAACGCATATAGAGTCGTATGATGTCGAATTCCATTTCTGAGTCTCATTAGCTATCTCCAGCTAATACAGCTTAAACAAGCAAGCTTCTCATATACGTAAAGCTTTGGCAAGAGAATTAAGTAAATATATTTACGTACACACTCTTGAGCGCTGTGCTTTCCAACCTGTCCGCCTTATCTATTTTTTCCTACAAGGCCGAGGCCTTAAGGTCGCACTAGCTAAATCTAGCGATAACTGGTTCACAAAATCATAAGGAAGACAAGTAAAGCATTAAAACAAGGCATATGGAGAACGATGACGTGTAAAAAGGGTTGGGATACAAGAGAAAATTCTTAAGTTTTCTTTCACAAAAGCTCCTTCAGCCAAATGACTTTTCCGAGTTCTCCAAAGGTTTTTCTGTCCTATATACATAGCAGTAATAAGATCTATAAAGCATTTGAACAATGGATTTTTCCATTTCTGTATTAAAAAAAGGACACATAGAAGGCTCTCGACACATAATATTTCGACACTATAACGACGGCAGCTGGTCCAGCAATCTGCACAGCGATTGGCTTAATTAGGTCTTTTCTCATCTTAAGCTGTTGATTATTTGACTATGTTTTACTGAGCACTGAAGCTAACAGTTCGCCTAAAATGATAGAAATTATTTGAGAATGCTTTCTGTTTTAGCTTCTAGCTTCACTCTATGCTATATGCCCGCTATCAGTAATGTGCTCGTATGTCTGATAGGCTGGGTATACGTTAGTTAAAACACTGACCCGCTCATCGATTACTATATCAGGTCATCACAAATTTGTTAATCGGAATAGTCGATCTCGAACATACGACGATTCCAATACCCCTAGCGAAAATTAGAATGGGGCATTTTATCTTGCTGTGGTGAACAGAAGCAACGATTTGTCCATCAGTTAGATTGCGGAAGCATCGTGTTTTGTGCCACGAACAGAAAAACTAAAGTAAACTAATCTGACCACTATCGTATTTTTATACCGGGCCTTGACAAGGAACCTTTCAATTTGTACTGGGGCTGAAACGTTGTAACTGTGATGCAAGCATTATACAGCAAAGTGTGAATCATCAGAAAATTATTAAGATCACGTTGCGCAAAGCTCCCGAAGCTTCTACCGTTTTCGTGTAAGACATTCATTGAATGTTGGCCCGCTTTGCATACTCTAACCATCGGTAAATTGACAATCCGTTATGTCGCGAATTGCCGACATCTGAAGGAAAAAAAATTAAATGTTCTTTACCATTAAGACTACCCATCTTACTCTTGATGGCAATTTTGAAAACTACTTTTATCTTGCTTGTTTGGTTTAAATTTAGGCTTAGACGAGCGCAAATTTCAAACGCAGCGGTACAAAGCGAAGATAAGTTTTCAATTGTTCCGGTATTCATAGATTACTATCCAAATTTATATATATATATATTCACACTTTAAATAATATCGGCGCGCTGGCAATCATAACACGATTTTAAGTTAAACTAAATTTAAAAAATAAAAAACGCTTGATCTGAAAGATAAAAAATGGAGGTTAAGGGTAACAGAAAATTAAGTAGGAAAGAGAACTTTTAGGGGAAATGAGCCAGCTATCTATATTATAAGCTTACATTAGTGAATCTTTTTATTGAATACATATTGTGACTATAACAAAGTGATATTATATAGAGTTAAATAAGTACAACTTTTCCATAACGACACTCCAGTTTGTGTAACTTATTATACAGACGATATACAGTGCAGTGATTATTGATTATTCAACATCATCATGCAATTCATAGTTTTTTTTTAAGTATCCTGTTGCTTTCTACTATCTTCGCCTCGGTTATAGTGGAACAGTACTGGCAATAGCTCGACGCGTCATTGAAGAAAGCAAAAGATTTGTGGACTGCTGTTGTTATGTGGTTGCTGATGTATATTGCTGTTATTCCGTTTTCTACATCTCCATATTGTTTTCCACTGCGTCTGTAACTGCCCGGACCATTTATAGCCGGCGCGGTCAAACTAAGAAAGATGTTACTTTCCACTACGTTGCTGGCTTCTTCTGTCAACACACATATGATCAATATCAGTCGCCTAACGATAACTGCAGAACAGACCCAAGACAGTCATCGAGGATAGATCGTATAGTATATCTAAACACCATAATATCCATATCGTATTTATATACAGAATCATCCATATATTCACAGTTTGATAGACATTTTTCTATTCCGACTTTCTAAAGATAAATAAATATATACAGAGACTCGTCGATAATGTTTCTGCTAAACAGAAAAGCGTATTTATGAACACTGAATTTCTGATTTATAATGAGGAATCAAGTCTGGCTTTCTCTTTTTTTTGATAGGATATTTCCAGTCGTCTAGTTCGCCCTATATACGGAAATGTGACTTTTAATAGTCTAATGAAATTTACGACAGGAGATAGTGTCACTTAGTTGGCCAAGGCCGAGATATCGATATAAAGGTGCTGGTAAAAAGGAACACACTGGCTACGACCTGCTGTTGAATTGGCTAGATACAAAGACAAGAGGAAGACATTTTTCTGAAGGCAAAAAGCCTGAGATGTCAGCTGTTCCATATCTGCTACATAACGAACCACCTACAGAGGGAGATAAGCGATACTATAGGTGCATATACCTATAATATTTAAAAACAAACGTTTGGCTAATACTGAAACAAGAAGGGTTATTACATGTCTAATTGCTAGTTAGCGTATTTATTAGGTATTACGGTAGGTTCAATTGGAATTTTATATTGGCGAGTAAGCTTTCCAGAGCCGAATAATCTCGTAATGCGTGCAACACGACAATGACACGCGACTTGCTGTATAGAATTGATGTTAGAGTCTATCTTCTGTATGCTCGCCATAGACTATCGTTATAGACATGAATCGAGGAACGATTGTTTACAATTGCAATAAAATGATACAGTGCGATCTAACCTGACGAAAAGCAGTGTCAACATGGCATTTGACTCATTTTGCGCTATTCGATCCGTAGTATGAGAACCTATTGGAATAAGTACTTTTAACTGTATAAAACTGACAACATGCCTTTTGTTGGTGGCTTGTTGGGTCGACACGAATAGCTAAGGCGGATTAAAGGGATGTGATGACGACGTTGAGGGCAACATCTGCATTCATGCGATTGTTTAAAACTAACTTTTTTTTGACAGAGTGAAAGTTTTTTTTTTTTGGTATGAAGCTCTTACATCGATGCTTAGGTTTATGTCGTTAGTTGCTACAGCGATTTTATACGGAAACGTTAATCTTGGACAAAAAGCCGCAAACTCGTCACGCTGCCACTCATGTTAAGTACAGATTTGCTGCGAATGTTTCTCTTCGCATCAAACATGCTGATAAAGGGTTTATCAACTCGAAAATGTAGTTTCTGGGACTGGGAACTGTAGACTGGGAATTATCGTGCTGGTCTATTGGAATATGCAGAAAAAAAAAGCTTTTAACACTTGTTATAAGCACACCATGTAGGTAAGGAGTGGTGCGTTGATTGAGTGTGGCTAGTCATCACAGTACTATCCATAGCAATAATCCCCAGAACTTGCCGTAGAACCTAACATGGAAAATGGCTACCCAAAAGGCTACGACAGGAGCATCGTGATGATAGCCGAACTTGGGTCATTAAGTGTCACATGTAATTTCACAATGGTCGCAAAACTTTTCAGCCAAACAGTTCCTTTGATTCCTCCATTTGAGTAATGCAAGCAGTGGTTTTACCTGTACCTAGTCAACCGTTATGGCGAATATCAAGTCCTTAACAAACACTAATCATGTGTGACCTGCTGAAGCTAGAATTTAAATGAATTAGTTGGCCGATACTCTTTATTTCTCCCTAAAATAGATATAAACACACTTCGCATCGCTATTTATTGCATGACGATTTTTCCGGGACCAGATCCAACGACGCTGAATAAATATAACTCAGACTCTATATGTTACCTATTTATTCCTACTTTCAGTAGAAGAACAGTGAGAAGAAGATTCAGCTTTAAGTACGGCCTTGATGCGATAATATTTTGGGTTACTGAATACAGGGCCCACTGTGACTACCGTTGCCTATTGTATGAATATAAAACTACAGGTTAAAAAGAACTGTCAACAGTGAAGATATCCTACTCAAAGCTGTAATCTTTTTTCTCTATGTTTTTCTTTTTTGTTTGCGCAACGCAAGAATTCCATTCGAACACTGAACCTAATTTATAAAAGTATTATGCTATTTAAACTAATTACAAAACATACATTCGAAGTTAGATCTTAATTGATATATAGTTCGTTTATTTACAATGTTTGGCCAGCTAGAGTCTCCGGAGTTTACTACTACATATATATTATATGTACAAGATATCTCGCTGATAAGCTCAATTAATTATTAGTCAAATTGTTGCCCCCTCATTCATGAATAAACGCTTGAGATTTACATTAATGAGAAAAATATCTGGAAATGTTAGAGTTGCAATTCAATTAGCTAATCCATAAGTTCAAAAGTTAGGCAAAAAGGCAACCGAACTTGGAAACTGATTACGCACGATAAGTAGCTCTGTGAATGAAGTTTTTTTCCCCGTGAACGACATATTTTACCAGAACAGATGATCTGCAGTTGTGCTTGTCGTAAATTCGGCGGAACATTTTTTATCGGCGTTAATTTCAATATTGTCGCCTGTACCATAAGTACAATATTGTAGTTGCGGTAGTGTCTCCAACATTAGCGCTTGTCACAGGGCCTATTTTGGTAGAACGGCAACAATAACAACAACAACAACACGTCGAAGTAAAAAGGTGCAATTTTAAGTAAGCTCACCCGTAGAGAAATGTGCTTACGGTTAAATTAACTCTATTGGCAACAAATATCACCGTTATTTACGCTGTTTTATAGACTGATAATAGGTTTCGCTCTGGACGTTATGTCTTCGATATCATTTGCACTGCGACGCCGTCATGAAATGGCAAACCTTTTCTAGGTCTGGACTATTCACGAGAAAACGCTCCATAAGCAGCTACTCGTTCTTTCGAAATGGCGTATAGCTAATACTAGGCAAGTTTTCCTTTGCTAACCGCTTGCAGCAATCTTCATTAAGCGGGTTATCATTTAGGCGAATCTCGCAGTTGAGCTGCTTGAGCCGGTCCAACTCCACATCTAGATGACAATATCCAAAAGAAAGAAAGCCAATGAGAATATATAACACAGGACACGTGAAAAACGTTTATTGTATATACACTAATACTATGTGACATGGGTAAAACAAAAATATCAATAGGATGGATGACATGGGGGTGAATATTTGATCTTGATTTTATTAGCTTTCAGCTAGCAGATGATTACTCCTGTAGATGGATGCCACAGAAACGCTGGGTCGGCCATTTACGTACCTGCGATATAGTTATTGCTCAGATCAAGAAAACGCAGTTGTGGCATCCTGTAGATGCACCAGGGTATCGACATGAATTCGTTTTTGCTCAGATCAAGCCTCGAAAGATTTTCCAACGCTGAGGTTTCATCTGGTAAAGCACATAGTCTGCAGTTTGCCGCATATAAAATACATCAATTAACGTAAGTATAGCATCAAAGAACTACCAAAAAGTGGAGCCTAGTTGTTGGCTCGAGCTCAAACCGCGTAGCGATCGTTCGTTGTGTGCCGGTTTACATTATCATTGGCTTTCCTGTTCAAGAAATTCCACTTATTGACCTTTATGTTTTAGAACGCTGTCGAACATTATCAAAAAATAACTAAACACTAGAAAAGAAATAGTCGTTTTTGAGAATCATTGATATAACAAATGATGGTGATGTTGCGGGCGTGCTAATGCGCTAATCAAGAGAGTAGCTGTTCCTATTATATCTAAATACGAAGTAACATAAGTAGCTTTTATGAATAGGTTAAATTTTAAAGTATACCCATATCTTCCCCCCGGGTTACTACCCGGACGTCAGGTTGGAGTTTACGGATGCCGAGAGGCAACTAACTTACCTGTTCGATGACAGATTGAGCGAATTTATGTACGAGAACTTCTGAGGAAGTTTAGGAGTGATTTTGCGAAGTACGTTTTGTGACAGATCGAGACTCTCTAATTGGGTGTTGCGCATCAACATGAAGACTGCATCAGGGAACGACGCCAGGAAGCAGGACGACAGATCTGTAAACGAATAATGAATGAAGATGTTTAGCATTGCGGTGAGCTCGCTGGACGTATGTAGGAGGCTCACAATATTAAAAGCGTGAATCTGACAATGGATCTATGGTTCGCGCTAGCTTTAATTAAAACTAAATGAATCGTACGTGTGCTTCCTCTGCTAGGTGCTAGTGAAATCAGAGGACGTTGCTTTAAGCTTCAATGTAGAAAATTTTGTGCTCGAACCAGCGTTAGTTCGGAGTGGATCGGATAGAAGCGGTGAAGCACGCCAAGCCATAATCAAATTACACAAGAAAAACAACTTTTCGAGTAATCCGACATGAGATTTGTTGTTTTTCTAAAGATTGGTACTAATGTATCCGCTGAGGGCGTGGCGTGTATGGCGATGTGCTATTATACTTCAAATTCATTACGGGTATCAAATGTTATGGTGTTCAAGCTGCAACGAGTCGACATTAACAACTCAAACTATTTAAAAAATTGCTGAGTCTCGACGGGGAGTATGATCCGGAACCTTACGGCTGCGAGTCCAGTGGCCTACGCATTCCGCTTCGATTATATTTAGAAAACGATATTTCACAAATCAGTGTATTTGGTATCGTTGATTAGATCTAGCATACATTGAATATATAGGATCTCAACAAAGTTTTCGAACTTGACAGTCTGGCCAATATTGTGCAGCACGAACAGGTTGTATACATCTGTTTATTAAAATTATGTGAAATTGGCACGTATGTATACCGTATAGTTCAACATGCGATGGCTCTGGCTGACACATATTATTTTCGTTCTAGTTCCGTTACGCTTTAACACACGCTTTTCGCTGGTAGGATAATATCTTCCACCACAGTTACCGAATTATCCTAATTCTTTTCGTCGGTTCGCTTGCTGTTGAAAAATAAAAAAAGCACCATCTTCAAAATCTGACAATGCCCTATTTATGATTGTAGAATAAGCCCGAGCTGATTTCGCAATACGCTTACTATTTGCGCAGTTATGAAAGATTCAGGTGTGAAAAATGCTACCTGCTACCGATATTTGTCGTATAAAATACGTAGCTAAAAAAAATAATAATGTATAAACTTATTTGCAATCTCTTTCAATGTTATCTTGACGTTTCATTGAATGGATTTCAATTTATGAGTCCATCGTCACATTTATAGATTTGCAATATATCCTTACATCGATCGATGTTAGAAAAGTACTGGTTTTTATCTTTTATACACTACATTAATTATATATTACAAAGTCCTAAATTCCCACCTCAATTTTCAATTAAAACTAATATTTGAAATATAATTGAGGTGCTGTTATTAACTTGGCGTAGATTTCCGTTTGACTAGCGTCAATATCCCTATTCATCCTTATATATCATATATAGATGAACGACTACCGCGCAAAAAAATAGTAAATTGACAAAAAAAAACCGACGATATGTGCTGTGTCTAGAACAAGCCTCTCAAGCGCGTGTGAGTGAAGGACTAAGCCAGAGTGGAACGGAAAGAAAGCGATTCTTCCAACCAGACATTTTGGCTTATATCTTTGGGGTGATGGCAGCTGTTTCCGTATTTGGCGGGCATCTGATGTGCTTTATCCTTTCCCTTCTTTTCCCATTCCTAGGCCCTAAATCCCTCGACTTTGCCCTTTAGCAGTGTTACTAAAAAAAGTTGCACCCACTGCGCGTACATAAGTAGCGTTTTTACAGCGCCTTGTTTATTAACCGGTGCGGGACGTTGGATGTTGAGGCTAGTAAAACGATAACACCAATACGCAAAAACGAAAACTGAGAACTTCTTTCCCAAGACTATATTAAGCTCGTCTATTTTTCTCTCAATTGTGCGTAATCCTGATGGACACATACTACTTACTCACGTAAGGCTGCAACTTCATAATCTGAGTAAATGTCTTCATGGCGATGCTTCAAAGCATGCCAAAATGTTTACAATTATTTTAAAGTATTTTTGAATTTTCTACTCGCCATGTATCGACATTTATCGAGCATCAAGCCATATAAAAACTCCAAAACTCTTTCAGTTGCCGATCCGAGCGCTTCTTCATAAACATGTACACGGCCTCATAGACTGAACGAGTAACACGCTCCTCGTTTAGCCGATTGCACACCTTAGTTATCTAGCGAAAGTGATATTCCAGCATTGACCTGTTTTGTCAGTCGATGGACACTGCACAGACGTTCCTATCGCCTTGGCCACTTTTGTGGGCATGGAGCAGAACCTGTGCTTGTGACGGATTTTCAACGTTACTATCTTCAGTTCAGACAACCATAGACACGCATGCTAAACGAATGTAGAAAAATCTTGTGATGCAAACAAAAACAGCAACGATAATCACAACTGGTCAATTTTCGGGATCTGGCGGCCAAAATGGTCTAGCCCAGTATCAGCCAAGTTTCACTTTTGCAGCTGCCAGGGCTTACGATCAATCACGCTGCCACTTCTTTCGGTTAGCAGCTCAAACCGTTATCTAGCAATAGTATCCCACATTACCTTGCTAACTGCAAGCCGTCGTGCCTCTGGGATCGCGCGAGCGGCAGACCCAATGCTGATCCTACCAGTACAGCTACCGCCGTCACCCGCGTAGAGACCCAGTCCGCGCTGCATCTATGGTCAGTTCTAGAGCGGTACGTAATAACACTGCCCATCTGGGATACTTTAACTGCTGAAAAGGGTTCGCACAGTTACTGTGCATACCATCACACCCGTATGTACCGCCCTCCGTTACGACGCAGGTAAAATGAAGTGACTGCGAAATCTCGTCCCTAGACAATTTTTTACGTGCTTTCGTACACAGTAGCCACTGTCGGCTTGCAATTTGAATTAGGTGCTATAAGATGACCAGATGCGAAGCCGCCCTTGCTATCATTGTCAGTTATATAGTCCTGTAGCTTTTGCCTCAGGCCGCCTACAGAACAGCAAGTTTACAACTGACGGCCAAATCAAACCGGGCGACAAGTCTAAGCCCCGCTTAACTAACAAATATAACAAAGCTTTAAACTCATTGAAAATGTTTGAGAAGTAGTAGTAGTGAAGTGGTAATGTTGAACCATCTATTCAGCTAAGTGTTTTTAGCAATCAATTATATTGTGAACAGTAAATGCCCGGTTTGAAAAACACACCGAAAGATAGCTTAATATAACGTAAGGAAGGAGCGGTAAAAATTTTCAGCGGGAGCGCATGCCTGTATGAGAAGTACGCGAATCAGAGGCGCCATCTATCTTGAGGCCGAAACAGTACTTTTGCCATTAGGTGAGTCATAATGGAAAACTGTATCTCGACATTTCTTATCCAGATATCTAACGCATAAATCACCCTACATAATAGATTATACCGTCAAGAGCGTATCAATCGTCTACGCAGACGGTATTGCGTTGATATTGGTATGAAGATGAAAAGCGCAAAGAATGCCGAATATTGTGTCGTTCAAAGAGATTTAGGGTCTAGTTGAAAAACGGCACCTGATATTGTTCGGATGGCGTACTGACGTCAACGAATTGCTACGAAGTGGGTACAGGGGACAAATCAGAATCACAGGCAGCGAAAGCGGCTTTTGTTGTCTGCAGTGCCGAAAACACTTATAGTCGGTGTTGACAGTGATCTTCGCACAATGCTGTAATAGCTGCTTCGGGAACAGCCATTCATTGACTATCAATGCTCATAGTCGTCTTTGTGACCGGACTGATTATTAATTTAAGGGGGCCAGTGTAAACGCAAATATCAGGTATTCAGCGCACCTGACAGATAGCTCACGTTCGGGCTTCGGATAACGGGCCAGAGTTGGGCGGATAATATAAGCGCTATTTACGTACAATCAGTCATCATTAGGATGCCCCATCTGTCTATTGGTTATAGGGAGTGACGTTCGAGCAGATTAGCTTGTGATTAATGTATCATTAATAACATCCAGTTGATTATTATCAAGACCGTTGTCAATGTCGTAAGGTTCTTCTTATTTAGAACTTAATCAAATCACCCCACAAAAATCTACCATATCATTACATTCCATGTTCTCCATAGGTGGCCTCGTTATGAATGTGGTTCCTGTAATTTGGATAATCGTAGTTTAGGGGCGTTACGATTTAATTGCGGGGTACCCGTTCGTATGGCAAAGCATCTAGATGGATGCCCACGACCGAAGCGTGTTTCAGCCAGCTCCCGTTCATTCAATTTAAAAACATACGAATTTAATTTATCAGCACTATACAAAATCTTACATCATGAATCTGTGTGCTGCCCTCCCTGAGCCAGCAAATGCCGACTATATATTTGCAAGGAATCGTTTGCCTACCGTTAGTTATCTCGATGTTGAGCCACAGTCAACAACTCAGTCAGCCAACTAGATGGTGACGCCATTACCACAAAAACTACAGGTTGTCAACTGATTTTATTTGGTTATGCTGATCTGCTCCGAAATCAATTGAAGACCGCGGCGAAGAAGCAAGCAGGGTACCGTTGATCACTTTGCTGTTCTTTTGTTTGTTACCTAAGATCCCCTGATCGGACTGACTTCTCGAGGTCGTAGACATATTTATCTGTCTGTTGAGGTAATGCTAGATCTGTTTTTCATCTTGCGTTGCATTTTTACGCTTGTCCGATATCTCTGATATTACTATGTATGGAGAGTTATCCGCGTTTTGTACGATTTGATAAAGATAGGTGTACAGTAAAAAAAACACACCAATATATTGTCTATGCCGGACGCTTTTGACGTCCATTTTCTCCATATGAATTTTTATGGACAAATACTGCTGTATTCTGATACGCTTTGGCCTAAGCATAGTTTCCTTTTTTAAGAAAACCCGTGTAGTATATGCACTTGTTTTAGCTAGTACTGAATAGTGTTTGTCTAAATGGTTTTGTAAATTTAAGAATATCTGCGCTTTGTGTTGTTCAGTGGCTGTTATATGTTAAATCTGTGAACGACGTCTAAAACAAGTTGTGTTACAATGCTGTTCTTGTTGCACGAATAAACATGCTCCGTGTTGAAGCCTACCTGTGTAGCTTGCAAGTCTACATTGGCGTGTAGCCAATGGAACCGGGCCTGATTTCCACACAATAATCAAAGGAGCGTATCGATAAAAAGAAAACTGAATGGCGCGCCACCCAACAAACGCTGAAGTATTTTCAGAACCCATTGACAGAACACGTTTGCCAAATTCCGCAACGTTATAACGATACACTCACTCGACGGATACCTTTAGCCAAATAGTATAAAGAGAAACGAGCGTAACTGTGTGATATGCAACACGATGTCGTCGTATACGTGCTTTTCTGTGGAAAGTCGGCTGGCCAGTTAAATAGCGTCCAGATTGTTTAAACCTTTCAGGGCCTGTTGGTGCCTAGGAATCTTTTCCGCAAAACATAATTTCTCTTACGTTGTTTATTCATTTATTAATACTATTTTCATAAATGCCATCACTACCCAATACATAGTGCTGGCTCGGTCCAATAGTCACCATTGAATCCCACATGTGTGCAACTCTAGACTACACCTAAATTGATTTTACGCATGATATTTTCTGCTCCCGAATGGTACTGATAGTACCGTTGATAAATTAATTTTATTTAAGAAGGGTGTCTCTAGCAATTTCAAACCCGAAATTTTTAAAAAAACGCCACTTCCTTCCCGTCTTTGTTTCTTCTGGCGTTCCAAGATTGCTTTCGTCGTAGCCAACCTCTTCGGCGTTGATACATTAAATCATGGCAACTATTTACCCGAGATAAACACGCGAACACATGTAAACACGATATACTACACACATGCACGCATGCATAAACACACACTGGCGCGTGCATCGATACCGATGGTCAATTGAAACACGATTCAGAAACAAAGAGGCAAGAAGGAAGCAGGCCTAATAGGTATCGCGGTACCTGTGTACCTTTTTACTATGGTGAGGCCAGCATAAGGTGAAAAAGAATCAAACTTGGGATTTGGACCGAGAAATAGTAATGCAAGAAGGATGGGGTAACGTTAAGTTGGGTCTCTACCCTATATAGCGATGTATATTTGTATCTCAGTTTGTCTGTTTCCATCTGCATGATTTTCTAGAGGGAGAAATTGCCCCGACTGTTAGGCAATCGAGTTGCACCAGAACAGGCAATACAAAAATAGCATCTGTTGCCGCCTTTGCTGTAAATCACCGGCTCTAATGTTGAGGTTAGTATTGGTAACTAAGTAGCCTTGTCAAGAATTAATTTCGTTTCTTCTATGGCGATGGCTGCAGCGGCAGAGCAGCGCAGTGAAAACGCCAACTGCCGTCTTCTCAAGGAATGTTCAGTAGTTAGTTCGTCAATAGTTTCGTTCGTTGGCTAAATAATGGCACGATAACATACTACCGCAAAAACAACGTTGTATTTTGACTGTTTATCTGTCTGCATGCTTGTCTGTTCGGCTTGTCTATGGTGTATTGGAGGTAAACTGATGACAGCAGCAGATATAGAAGCATAGATGTCGGATACTTGTTATTAGGGTAAGGAGTGATAGGGTATTTAACGATCACGAATACTTTACATGACTCTGCCATATAGAGCCAAAACAATATAGATTGATTGATCGATTGATTGACGGGCTGCTCATGCAATGGCCTAAACGAATATTTGTGCGTCTGAAGTTTTTTTATTAAGCATTTCTATATGTCATGTTCTACATGTTATTCATTATGGCTATAGTAAAGTGCTGGCAGGACGTAGATCGTTATTGATTTTGAGTAGGACCTTTCTTAATTTCCGTGCGTTGTATTCGATGCAATGAGCAAAAAGTTTTCCTAGAAAAAATCGTTGTTTGTGGGTCAGTGTATTCAGGCTAAAAATAAATATGAGGGAGCAACAAAAGGTCTTCGGTTTGAGCAGACTGCATCCTGAATTGTTAGGTGACTCCTTTTGTAAATGAGCTTTTTTTTTTTTTACATGCTCTAACCATTAACAACGCATGCTTGCGGGAATTGATTTTACGGTGAGTTTCAATACACGTAGGTGTAACGACAAGTAAAAACTAAAAAATATGATAGTTACAAGTTTAACTCGATACCAAAACAGCGCGATTTATCTATTATTTATTTATTTATATATCTGGCCTCCAGGGCATTTGTAATTAATGGATTTTACATTCTAAACGATTGGTTATGGCGTGATTGTTTAAGTATTCATGATCTTAAGCACATATTACTATGAAGATCATTACGCAGCCGCTTTTTTCATATCGTTTCGTTGACTTCTGTTTCATTTGGGCTATATTAGCATCTTCGCCAAGTTAGCGAGCTTTTATTGTTTAACACATATTATCTGAAATTACGTATATTGATTAAATAATAATAATTAGAATATCTAGCTTACCCAGTTTCTGGTTTTCAGTGGCATCGTTGCAACGTAAAACAACGCGCACAACATCCTTTTCGGCAGAGCTGATCGTATCCTGTAGACTCATGATGATCGCCATATCGTAACGAGATGAAGTAACGGATAGGTACACCGGAGCTTGTATCACACACGCAGCCTATCACGCTTTTCCACCGTGAAAGCTCACAGAAATAGAAAGCAGTACACACAGGCTCTGCCTCTGTGTAACGGTAAATCTAAAGAGTGTATCTAAAAAAACTACTGATGTCGCATAAGGACTGTCTTACAGAAAGGTCGTCGTCTTCTTCCTTTCGGATAACCGTAGTTCGGATAGGATAACTCGAATTCAATACGTTGTTTCAATCATCCGCTTCAGAAATTTACAGAGTCACCCGTGCAGGTACGTATAGATCAGTGGGCACTATGTAGCGGACGTATATGCATGTGGTGACGTTGAATCCTCTGAGTGAATCATTTTATCGAGTTGTTGGAGCCCAGTTAAAGAAAGATTTCAAGCCAGTTAAATTTAGTAGCTGATTGACTTAGCGTTACTCAACCCACTTAACCAAAGTAACCACCTAAGGGTTTTTTGTTGACGTACGCTGTTTACGGAGCGGTGCTGCTCGCGATGGCTCTAGAGCAAACTATTCATTAGTTGCGTAGGAAACGGCCGTTACTCTACATCCGTTAACAAAACAAGCCCAACTTCGAAAAATCGCGCACTCTTTTGCACAGTTGCTCCCCCACATACTATCACCATTAACAATAGTCGCACACTACCGCGAATAAGAGCGTATCACTAAAGCAAGGTTCGCTGCAGCGACAACTCGCCGCTGTGACTACGGAAACTATAATACCAGCATCTTCTCCAAGGGTGGTTTGCGCGTTTGCTAGACAACAGAAGCGATTCGCGCGCAGTTCAGCCTCTCAGCTATTGTAGACGGCTCTTTCCATAGTTTTTTTGTCGGGCAGCAGTAGTCGCTATGTGCGCGATACTGCATCCCAAATATATGTAAAGTTACGGTAGGCAAACAGACGTCCTTACCACGGCGGTAATTACCCACCCCACTACAACACTGACAACTACTGTTATGACTGACATTGGCAGACAGAGACGCGTACAGATGCAGAGAATGTCGCTAACTAGTAGAACCTTACCGTTATCGCTGCTGTTGCTCGTTTATCTACAAAACCAATGGCAAATGGGGTGCAACACTATTTTGGCCACGACTCTGCTGCTGTCGTAGCCGCCCTACGCAAATTGTTCGGGTAATATTTTGGCGTCTTGTCTAATAACAACTGTCTGTCTATCGTAACATGTATGACTTACTTGGCCGATCTGTCAGTCCGATGAGGGTTCGCTTCATAACTGGAAAAAAAAAAAAAAGCTGCTCTTGTCCTTGTAGGATGTAGAAACGATTCATATAACGTGGATTTGGGTTGCACAACATTTTCGGTATAACTAGACCGCTCTCCAGTACATCGATAGTGGAAATGCTGTTCAATCAGTTGGTGTCCTTATGATTACTTCCGAGTATTACGAACGGGAATGGACCTATAAATGGGGGATTGAATCGCCTATCCACGCACTCAGTATACTAAGTTACAGGATTCATCTGTTGATATTTTTCCCGCACGCAGGATAGCTCCCTGTTCATTCGCACCGTCTGTACATTTCAATGAACCGTGTCACAATAATTGTCATCGGTACATTGTATGGCAATCATCCGAAGTTAATTGCAGGTTCATATTGAAGGATTAGCTCTCCACATCATCAAACGGAACTATGCCCAGTTGGAAAAGTGTCTCGGTCATAAATGAGGTCTGATCCACAGTTTAACACCTATAGCCTGAACGATTTCGACGAATCGTCATCCTATAGGATTACGTAAATTATAATAATATAATAAATAAATAAATAGGCTACGTAGGATTACGTAGTCACGGAAAATCGAAGTATTCGCTACGCGTGTACAATGTCATAATGATACACCGTGTGCCTTAAAAGTATAATTTCCTATAATGCTTGAATGAATTTGTTAAATGATATGCTTCAAGACAAGACTCAAGCATCGATCATATATGAGTCGATTTTTTTCGTACCTTTTAGCCCATTTACAAGGAGGAGTACCTTCGCTGGCCCATTGTTACACCGATCCCAAACAAAGCGATGATGGAAAATGGGTACGAACAGCAGAACATAAACATCATATTTGACATTGGTGTCAATATCCGATCTGTTCTGTCTGTGAAGCAACACCAAATGGCTGTAGGAAGCGCTGACGAATAAAAGAAACACAGTTTCAATTTATAACTGATACGTTTGCATGAATTTACAGCACCGTTAACCTCACAATTAAGTGAAAAAGATCGTACAGAGTCTATCGGGGAAAAGGCATCTATCTGTATTAGATACAATCAAGTAGAAAAAAACCTCCCGTGCAGTTGTGATCGTATGGTCAAGCCTGTGCAGTGTGAGGGATCATTGAGTAGCATTAAGTATATGTCCCCAAACAGCATGAAGCACACGTCTAAAACGGTCGATCGTTACACAGTTAACTAACGACATACGAACGATTTACTTGCTTTACGTAGATTGACGTGGCAACAGTCCACACCCGCCGGTTCCAGTCTCGGCAGGAGTACCTGCTAATGGTTGTGCATCAAAGTTTTTCTTATTTTTTGCTGAAAATTCAAATCCTACTCCTGATTTCACTGTTTCCTGAATCCTCCAAGAATCCTTTTGTATCGACCAAATAAAAACTAACCGAAACGTTTCTTTTTTTTTTACTTTTCTTTAGTATTAACTTTTAGGATAATATATTCTTTCGGACTCCGAGCAGAAAATTATTTTATATTTCCAAAAAAACTAAGTATATTATTGTAGTTACAATTACGAATTTTTACATAACACAAAGCGTAAAGTAAGAGACAGCCTTATGATTGAAGGAATAAGGCTAAACAAGGCTAAACAAGACTGCTTTAGACGTCAACAGATGGAGGCAAAAGCAGACGAATTACGCTCTCCTTGAGTCGCTCGGTGAAATCTGGCGTGAACGCCCTATGTCTTCTATAACATCTTATAATGGTTCACTGTAAATGTTGAAAATAAAAAGATAACTCATTGGAAAATTGCCTAATCATGTTGGACTTAGTATTTACTGAATGGAGCTTCTTAGTAAATAATTGATTATTAAATATATATATATATATTACAAATAATATAATAGGTTGTGACTATGACAATGACTAATTGAAATTTAAGCTACGGTTTGTTGTTACCAGCGTCTCCTATCGCAAATCACAGCCCGCACCGCAGACTACTACACCAACCTGACGGCTTACTGTATCAAATAAGAAGAACAGCGAGTTACCAGTGCTAAAACCATTCTTTATCAAGATAATGGTCTTGAATGAAGCTGAACATAGGCTGTACCTTCCATACGAAGTCTGGTCTCTAATTGAGCTTCACGGCAAGCGATAATATAGGTAATGTTAAATCACGCGTACGCTGTTATTATGCTGCCGAGAACCTCTTCAGTCTTAATTCAACCTACCTGTATTCAGTTTTTTTTTAATGTAGTTAGTAAGGATTACCTCCGCTGAGCTTTGAGTTATGCTTATTTCAATACAGATGTAAGGGCGGACGTGCAGAACTAGTCGAATTTCAATATAAGAAGGAAATTCATAGGTAGATTGGTTGAATTTGTTGTACGATCCGCTCTAAAATGAAAGTTTCAATAGAAAAATGAACACAAAGGACTAGGTCTTTCCCCGACTGTAAACTTTTTATTGTTAGATAGCATTTTTCTCCTTCTGCAATGGAAGGTTTAAGTTATCGAAATTATAACGAGCCGAACACAGGAAATATTGTTTTTAACCACTAACAAAATGATGTTATTGTTTTGCGCTCAAATGGTAAGCTTTCAAATCTCCTTTTCACAAACTATTTTTGCCATCAGTGTCACAATTTTTAGTCCTAGACATGACACAATCTTGCCTTTATTATTATCGTTTAACGTATCTAACCATCAGTTTTATTAGTGAAACCATTTTTATTTGGTACGAATGAAGCCGCTAAGTTCTACTTTTCAACCAACTCACCCAAAAAGAGAAAAGACTGATGGAGATAGGTAGGGGCATACCGCCAGCCCTACAGTCTCACAAAGAATAGGAGGGGCTAAAAAAAATTTTGCTATAAAGCTGAGGTGTTTAGAATCAGCAGAGCTTTTATTGTTGCACTATACACTAGCAAGGTTTATGGTCTCATAGTCAATATGAACGCTGAAAGGCAAAACGTTTAATAAATTGAAACGTGTGAATTCTTAGAAATCGTTATAATAATAATCATCTGATCATGCCAGCAAGAGTGACGTCATCATGATAGTCACATCTGCGTGATGATAGGACTTCGTTTACCAGCAAGACCCGCTATTCTATAATAGAACCAAAGAATCGTGCTGAAATGCACGATTCTTTGGTGGTCTTACTCTAGATATTTTAACATCAGTGCTAAAAATCTCGCCGGTAACCATGGCTAGCAAACCCCCCGTATATAAAATTGACTGTACTAGAAACATTTCCTTCTCCAAATAGAATCACTGGCTAGTATCAATAGTCTGATGAACCTCTTCGTTCGTATCCCTCGTCGACACATTCCTAGGAAGACGCATGTCGCGAAACGGGGATTCAGTTATCAGGTGTATCGTTCAGGAGTATGGACTAAGGGTTATCGATTACTGGAAGCAGAAGAGGAGGCTCCATCGATCGGGAGAGAGATCGTATAGCTGCCTCAGCTGAAATTCTGATGAATAGTCGGAACAGCGGAAAAGTTGATCAAAATATACCTGGATTCGCTATGAACATATTATCAGACAAAACATGATTTTGGAATCTGCGGCAGCTTAGTTAGCGATAAGAAAATTATGACGATTAAGGCGCTGGTTAATTTCCCACTTTTCGCTACCATACGCTGGTCTTCTTTTCAGGAGATAGATAGCGACGAACAATTCATTTCGGATTCGCTGTATCAAAAGAGAACTGCAGCAGTGTAGCCAATACATATATAGATAGAGCGTGGGTTCCCTAACATTGGATAGTTCGGGTCCAAGCCCCACTGGACTATTGTTTGCAGGCAGCATTTGATGCTCTTATTCTGTCACTAGGGCCCTAATCTGCTGTTGAAATTAATAGGGCATCGATTATTAGTGCCATATGACAAGATAACCGCCATCCCCCATTTTCGGTGTCCTGCGTAGCCTCTGTTGAGACTCACCCTCCCCAGGAAGCAGTACTGCCACGCTCAGCAGTCGTTGTTACAATCGTTGTGGCATCGTCCAAGTGCTCTGACTCTCTCCAAGTAACTAATAACCGTTACAAACCATCAATGCAATCAGTCATTAAGCTTACGTGTTTCTCACTGTTCCGCAGGGAAGCAGTCATCGTTGTTTACATAAGTATAACAATCATTGACTCGCGTAAAGCAACCAGACAACGATGCAAGAAACAATTTGGTGACCAATCTGCTAGTGAGCCACTCCGGTCTGCCGATACGGTGACATTTCTTCTTTCCTTCAGCCAGTTAACAAAGACGACGAATAAGCCGCACATTCGCCCATGGTGGCTAAATGCCTTATGTATAGAGACATATCATTTACTTATTTGTGCGCGTCGCTTATTGCTTCCCGCCTTACTTTCAATCTGCTATGAAACAGCCGAAAGATGCCGGGACGACGTTACTATCCCACCGCTTACATTTTCATATATATAGCTGTGTGTTTCATTCATCATCACACTCGGTCACTGGCACTCCAATGCACGGGCATTGAGCAATGACATACTCATAAATACAGGTATGTAACTGAAGTTGCACGGATACACGCACGCGTGACAGTATAGTACAAAGACAGCAGATACAGAGGGTTGTTCTGGATGGATCGGGAACGGGTTGAAAGCAACGCTGTAACCCATAACTGCTATCTGCTATGTGCCGTTCCATCACTGCTGCCTTATGGTAACTAAACTGTCCCCTACCCCTTCCCTCCTCCTCCGATTTTCTTTCAATGGCCTCATATATTATATGTAAAATGTATGAAAGTCGAGCTGATGATGAGATACTGCTGCGGTATGCCACTTCGTTGCTGAAGGTTTGTTCTAGCCCGAGTTTATACGGATGTTCTGTGTACGACATATATGTGGAAAACTCGCTTCGCCGGTGCCGACCTGTATCTATATCACCGCTGACCATGATGCTTGATCTGACCCTTTTACTTCACTAATTTATTACACTAAGCTTGTCTTCCACTAGTTTTCAAAACGGCAGAGCATTTTTAGTCGTGGCTCAGAGTGAACTTCACGTAAGAAAGTTTAGAAAGCTACCATGTGAAATCGGGCCAGTACTTTCGCGCAAACAAAGAGATGGTTGCGAGGGAAAGCTACTGTGTAATTTGCTATTCATAGAGAAACCAATGCATCTGTTCTCCTCTGCGTACCGTAGCAGCTAGTGGCTGTGGACAATTTTTCATCTTACCTTTCTATTTTCTACTCTTTGGTCAAAGAAGAAGAATTAGTGGTTTCTTCGACAGTCATGCCCTTGGTCTTCACGTAGAAGCCACAATAGTTTTCGGTCTAACTCGAAATCAACAGGCTCCATACTCCAAATTCGGACTGGACGAACTGGGCAATTCGAGCAAAAAGCTAGCTTAATTTGCTCGCTCACTACCGATGAAAATACACGTTCACCGATCAACGTACAAATTAATTTATACTTTTCAGCCACCCTATAACCGTTTTTAGAAAGCCGGCTCAGCATATGGTCCGTAAGGTTATTCAGGTTTATTTACCTCTTCGATCATCCGGTAGGTACAATCCTGATCCCACATTTTCACGACAAGTACATCTTGAACATTTCTAGTTACCTGTTAAAGAATAATATTTACGTAAACATCTTGCAAGACGAAATTATTTTAAAATTCTTTTCGTATTTTTGCTTTTCTAAATTGTTCCTTGTTTCTAATGTTGTCTATTTTACTTGTTTCTATGGAATCTTAGCTACGGTTATAGTAGGCACCTTTGATTAGGACCACGCGGGATGTTAAACGCCATGTATGTGTTAAAAAGCATCAGTTGGCATTGAAAAAGTCTCTTTGTTACTTAAACGCTCGTCGGTTATTTTACTGGAACACACGTCTTCTACCATTCATTTTATTATACATAAATAATAATTTATAATCTTATGATTTAGCATTTGTCTGTGATTTTGTTGTCTCTACAACGTAAATAACAGTGGCGAAATAAGGAGAAATTTGAATGTAAAGGCCATTGCAATCAAGGTTTTCGATCAAATTTACGTTGCGCAGACTTATAGATCTATCCTCTTATGAATGAAGTTCGGTCGAATTGAAGATCAACTATGTCTAGACATGCATGCTAATTGTTTATGGCAATTGAAACAAAGCTAACGCGACCATAGAACAGTGACTGAAAGGAAAATTAGATCGGGCGAACGCATATCTGAGAAGGGGATTTTAACGGTAGGATGTGTAAGCTTACTTAATAAGTGTTTACAGAGTGCAAACATTCTATTAAGAGACGTTTTTTTGTCTCATCGTATATGTGTATGTATACAAATATATAGATATATATATATATATATATATATATAACTCTTTATTATTTATCTTCAGGTTGACCGGAAATGTATACTGCATTAAATTAAACCTATCAAACCTACTTGCCCAAAAAAGACATTGTCTTCTATCTTCATCTGATCATGCACCATGTACAGCGCCTAACCCACTCACCGACAAAAGGGGAATGAATCGTTTTAGCTATCTTCTGTTCTGTAACGTCGTGTGTGACCGACTTCAGCGACATGAAGCACTTATAGCTTGAGGAAACGTTTCGAGCACGCTTGTCTTCGCTTAATACCCTTGAGGCTTTCATGGCCCCATCATTGGCCAAGCACTTTCCTTTTAGCTATAAGGCAATTTCCCATACGCGCTTCTCACCCATCCGCCCGAACCCCATTCTTCGCTCGCTCATCGCCTATATTATTAAAGCTTTCGAAGATTGCACGGGGACAGCAAGCACTATACTACCCGCTTTTGCTGCGCTCAAAATAGCTTGAGGGCCGACGCCGAGGGCGGGCAATGGCTTGTAGTATCAGCAAAGGAAGACTATGCAACGATGACAGCCACGTACATTAAAAGAGCGATTTTTCGAGTGCCAGTGGAGTTGCAAGTAGCAAGCTCACGCTTTAGTTGGCTCTCAGTCGTTCGGATTCAACATAGCATATTAGCACAGGCCTCAAGATTGACAAAAACCTTTCCTCTAATCGAACGGACCTTTCGCTGCGCCTTACCCAGGTTCTTCATCGTCTTTTGCGATATTGAAGCTACATGATTTTCTAATAAGAATCAGTGATAGTACCGCGGCATAATATATGTGGTTATGTGAGTGAAGTCCATTTCTTTCATTGTTTCCTTGATAGGGCTCCTTCCAATACGAATACACAAAGACCGCGTTTGTTGTATGTTTGTAGCTGTGCTCCTAACGACAGTCGCCGCAAGTTTATATTCGTACTTACAACGTGAGGTGGTACAGATCAGCAAACAAGGGACCGAACACAGCTAGTGCTGATGGATTCTACAAACGACGTCCGGTCTTTCGCACCACTCTGCCAGCAAAAGTGGGCAGGGGCAATCCGGCTTGCTTGTAAAGCTATGAAGCATCCTGACGGCTGGTGACCAATATAAAAGCAGGCCAGCCCTCAGAATAGGAAGAACGTGCGTGAGTCGACTCGGTTAGGTCTGTGTTCCTTAGGACATATACACACACACACACAGACGCGCAAACGTCGACGAGCTTATGCATCGGAGTCCCTTTCAAGGTGTCCTTTGAGAAAAAGGTGGTCCGGAGATAAGGGAAAAGACTCGTTTAAAGAGAAACCTGCGTTTCGTGGCTAGATTGGGTGGCTTGCGTATTTAAAGTGTGTATCGCTATTGAGCCAGCTAGTTTAGTTGATGATCTCGTTAAAGGCGAGCACCAAGCTTTTCTTTCGCTCCCGGTGCCGTCGCCCGCGTCCATTGCGACATATGGCATGGAGGAACGTTCCCTGACTGAAGACCTGCGAGACGGCTCGGTTTCGCCGGTTCCCTACTGACCCGGCCCTGCAATGTGTCTAATGAAAATAGCTCAAGCTGATACCCTACGGCTACAAATGCAAGGAACAGGCTTTGTCCCTTGAAGATTCATCCCCTAGGGATATCACTGACGGCTATCCGTGAGGAACAACAGAACATGGTGCTCCATAGGGACCGTATGTCGGGAGACAGTTTTTGTTGAGCAGCAACTGAGTTGATTTTCTTTCCTCATTCAGCTGCCACTGTGTTGTTATTCAGATTTTCACTGGCTGTCAGTCATTCAGCTACCAGCCATTGTTGTATTCAATGGTTCCTCGGATCCTTCCTTTCGAAACTGTATAATGGCACAAACAATGAGGGTACTAGACAGCAGACACATGACCTTATTCGTCAGGAATAAGAGAAATGAGGGGTACCGTTTTGGCAATCGACTCAACGTTTAAGATCCAATACGCCGTGTAAATAAGTAATAGATTTATTTTAGATCTAAATGAAATCTAAGTTATCTACGAAAATTCCATCCTTCGGTAGCGCACATAACACAGACGAATGCTTCGTTCAAGGCTCAGTTACGGAGATCTCGAAAAGAAGCCTACTGATTTCCTAGCAAAAAGATCGTTGGAGGGATTATGACTGAGTCGCTGTCGCTGGGAGCTCACTTGCAAGAGAAGTCACAGAATGATCTGGTACTGCGTTTTACTACTATTTATTCCATATGTATCTATGGTGGAAAAACGTAGTTTGGATGATATACCTTTTAGTAGCATAATGCGCTGAAGTATCTTAACCTTTTATTTATAGCTACTATCCGATGATGGTATATTTGTACCGTTGCATTATTTATGCTGAACGACGAGTCAGTTGTCCTTCAAGAATTGCTTTCCGTTTAAACTTGTAAAAGAATGAGTGCTTAATGGATAAAACGATTTTCTAAACAGCCTAGGTTTATTGACGTATTCTCGAGATCTAACATAAAAGTTTTTATGGATCTCTCTAGTAATTAGAAGATAACGCTAGTTAAATATTAATTGAAGGGCGCAATTGTACTAAATACATACCGGAACTGCTGCGCCCCAATAGCCTACACATCCACTGTAGCGTTCTGGTATTGCTTCATAGAGGGATATAGTAGAAGAATGAGTCAAAGTGTCCAATGTGTCCGCACCATCAAAAAACGTAAAACACTATTTTTGGATAGCACCTGCTCGGACATGCAGTTCTCTGAATGTGAAGTTATTAGCCCCTGCTTATCAGTGAAATCATGAAAGATTTGCTCAGAAGTCCGTAAATATGGGCTGCTTATTAAATTATTAGAACAGCTTAAGGAGGCTTTCTTCGTCATTTACATAAGGTCTACTGAATCACTCTGAGCAGGTACTGTTCAGCGGTAACTGAAACAATAATCCGACTCGTCTGCAGAGTTTCCTACTCTTCTTATATAAGATAACCATTGTGAAAGCGCTTACACCGCCTTACGTTGTCGACGGTGTCCTTCAGCGGTTGCCGTGCCGCCCATTGGCTTAACGCCTCCTCAAATAGGATGAAGATGACGATAAGCAAAACCCTCGGCTGAATTGAAAGACAAACGGGCATCACTTCGTATGAAAGTGGATAGCAGGGAAGGTGCGCAACAAGGTTATCTCAAACATTGAAAATATCTGTACTTACATATGAGCGCGTGCACAATTCGTTTTGTCGGGTTAAAACATTTCACACACTATACAAGCGCCAGATCGTTCACTATGAAGTGTAAGAGGACTTTTTAAAAAGCATAAATATTTTATTCCAAATTGAAATATACACCATTATTTATGACTCTCGACCGGTTAGGTGGCACTATATTTCTTCTGTCTCTGTAGAAGTTGAAAATATGGGAGTAGATCAAAACTTGGAAAAGAAATATGACATTGCACTAAAATTTGAACAAGTTTTCTACTAAGTTTTTGGGCGAAATGATTATTCGTTGTACCAACATGTGGTGAGTATGGCTGATAAAGGAATGCCCCCAATTATAATTCCTGCATTTTTCTACCGTGACTCTTGCACTGCAAGACCGAGCGTTCTCGTGCATTGGAAGTGGTTTACCTTTTGTAGACCGATCGTGGCTGTCTAATACGAAGTTCGTTCCTCGAATTTTGCTGTCAGTACATTTCAGCCGAAGTCGATGAACTAGAATTCATGAGGTTGTAATAGGTGTAACCTGCATTAGACTGTCTGACAGACACATGAGTATTTACAGCTATACATTTGTTTACTACATCTACCCATTCATGTGGCCGCCTAGGATCATCGTAAAAGATCAATTTATCATCATAAGTTACACCTCGATGTAAAAATGGTTCATCGTTGTAACGTGAGAGCAAAGCAAAGCCCCCTCAGGCCGTACAACACCCAGTGATCGGATATTTTCTAGCTTATTTATCTGCTCACACCATGTTTAGACGTACATTAGGCCTAGCTGCTATGGTTCGTACGCTGAGTGGTATCGGCCCCTGCTACAGCTGTCAACGTTTAGTTAGCGACTTTGAGAGATGCTCTTGGTCACTAAACAACGATTTAAAATCGAATTTAAATAATAAAAGGTTTATACGACGAGTTGTCTTTACCGCTGTAGTTCTAAGCCGGAGTTCGTATCCGTACGACTAATGCAGGGTAGTTTACTGATTCCTATGGCTTAGTGCAAGCTGCCCGTTCAAACCCTGAGCGACGATATCCCAATGAACGGTATCAACATCGAAGAAGTATAAGTGCATCTTGAAAATACAGAATATCCAGATTTGTCTCATTTCGTACTGAAAAACCTTATACGTTCAATGTAATCAAGATAGTCTGGCCCTTGTGCACAGTTCAACCAAGAAATCGACCCAGATAAATCAGCTGGTCACTCAGCACTGAGCACTCGGAAAGTAAACGCATCCCGAATCAAGCCGGTTTCTGTTGATAAATATATAACCTAGGAAAAGGAAAAACGTTTTCAATGTTTTCTGCGAGACGCTGCATTTTATACCGTAGTTATTCGAATTAGGTAAACATGGGGCTATCGTTAATCTCTTCTGCTTATTGGCAATAAAGAACTCAACGAATCTGCAACAGATCACTACTCAAGAAACACAGAAACCTGTTTTGATGCAGGTAAATTTGATGCTTTATTAACACAGTGTATGTCTGATCACTTCCAAATTTGTTCATGTAAAACTTTTCTCTTAGGAACCTTGCATAGGCCGTGACCGATCAGAGGATCCCCGCGTCCCAAGTCCATTCTAGGTTAGCAGTAAAAACACGAAACAACAATTGCTATTAATGCCGTGATCATCATCATCATCATCATCGTCGTCGTCATTTTAATGGATATATATGTTATGCATACGCCATATCACTATCACCCTATAATAAAGTTATGTTATGGACATTAACATTCAATAAATGTCCTCCTTTCCACATCAGAGCTAAAATAAATTACTATTTTTACTTTAGTCTTCATTTCATTGGTAAATTTTACTGTTACCTGATGTTAGCTATTTTTATCTTTTTCATATCATCGAACGAAAAACAAGTCCGCACCTTAGACAAGCCTAACATCTATTTGACTTAGCAAATTGCTTAACCCCGAGCATGATCGTATCGAGTGTTTTGTGGTTGGATTACAATAGGTTACTTGCGTCGTAACGCTACTAATGTATCGCTTAATGGTATGCAGTTTCGGCTGGCTTCACGTTTATCCGTCCGACCGTGTGCGGTTCTATTGATTACATTCTCGTGTTTTCCCTGTCGTCCCCTTCCTCTTTAATCGGCACCCCGATGGCGGGAACTTCGTCAGTCTTGTAAATTTCTGTTTCCACTTCCTGGATTTCTTGAGCGCAAATCTGAAGCGGTCTGCTCGACGCCGCACCACCGCGTCCGTTCGTATGATCACCAGTACAAGCCTCTTTAGCCGTCGGCGACGCATCGTCTACCTTGGTCCGTCGGTCCTTTGTTTGTCCATGTTTGTTTTTGGATGTGGCCTCGGGGGAGTCGACGGAGTCTTTTGAGTCGAGAACACTTTTCGTTGAGCCCGGGCTAAGGACAAGCGAACTGCTGGCAGAGGTTGGAGAGTTACGGCCACTTCCGCTTAGCATCTCTTCAGAAAATGCAGAAAAAATGCCAAAGAATATAGAGAAAGCATATTAAAACTCATAAATGGAACCACAAGGCTGTTTGAGATGTTTTTCTTTTGAAGATCAGGGTAAGTTCTTTTTTGCTTTTGTTCTACGTGCCGATTGAATGCGCCGTATACTACTTTCTCACGTTCCGTTTCCAGTACTGCTGAAGCTGCGTACAAAGAAAGAAGTTGTAGTAATCAACTGACCTTTCGAACGCGGCAAAACTGTGCCATCCTTGGACCACGTGTACACGATACGTTCACGCGATTTCGGTGGTGGCGTTGGCGCACAGTGGACGTGAATACCCTGGTCGTCTTTGGATTCGCCTGACTTCTGCGTTTCGCTGGCGGAGTAGCTCGAATCTCCCTCAGGACTCATTAACTCATCCAATGTTCCACTTCCTTCGACGAAATTCTTGCGCCTTCGTAAAAGCTCCTCTAAACCATCGCTTCTGGGCTTATACTGCATAAACGACAAAAGGTATGATAATGTTTTGCGCACTTTTTTTGGTGTTGTGAAAAATCTCAGTTTGCCTAACCATGATAATATCTTATTTACATTTACTTCGTGTGCAGCATACTAACCCCACAAAGATTCTTCTGAACTGTTAGGTGACTGATAAGTTTACGTAATTCTTCGCGAGTTAGTTGGGGATGGTCCGCGAGTGTTTCAGTGGTCAACGTAAACATCTGCTTACCAGTGCGGCCTCGGCAGGCTTCAACGGTCCTACAATAACAACAGAACATAGATGCTTAATGAAGATTTATTAGTAGATTTCAAAAGCATATGTACACGGCTTTCCGATAAAGTTAAAACAACGAAGTTTTAATTTGAAATTATAAGTTTTAAGTATAAATTTGCATTGTCGTAACAATGTCGTCGTAATTTACTTTGCAAAACGCTCCTACGGGATAGTCATAGCATTAAAGATAGATATAAACTTGGGCTTTATCTTGTTTATTGTATTGACTGTTTCGACTAATCTTCACGTAAACTTCGAATTGCAGGAATTAAAACATTCGATATTTTACTAGAGTTAACCATAACTTTATATACGTAATACGCTAATACTGACACGCCTGTAGTGCGACACTGTATTAGAAAATTATCTTTAGCGATGTTAGGCGCTCGCCTTCCTGGGTTGGCCTTTCCCGCAATCTTGTGCGCTGATACGGGCTAGTGAGTCCAGAGGACTGAACCGCCCTACACTTAAACAGACTTAAAGAAAGGGGTGTCTGACATCCATAGGCAAGTACATACTCTATTGGCTTCATGATTGCACTGGATTCAATCAAGTTCCAACGAACTTCCTAAACTAAGCTATATGAACGTGTCCGTAGATCTTTCTTTTCCTGACCGCACTTCTACCGCTTTCTTTTACCTTCGTTCTTCGTCGTTTCAATGCAGCTCCTAACCAAGACTTAAGTCACAAGCGCATAGGACACTTGTACGGCACGATATCTTCTCAAGCTTAGCCCCAAGTACGTTAAGGCACAATATCCAATGTAGTTCCACTTTGTCTATTGAGATATAACGCTATAAGGCTCTATATGCTGTAAACTGCTACCCTCAGTGTTTCTACATATATACATACATTCAATTAAAGAAAAAAAGCTTTCGAATTTTACGCGTGTAAGCTCTGGAAAATATCTATCTTATGGCTTCGGCTAGAATATCAAAAAGCTCCATATTGCACAGAGCTCACACAGAAAGCGTGTATTTACAAAGCTTTAGCAAGTTATGTGGCCCGAAAGTATTCGCTGTCGGCAGACTGTTCCGTCGCTAGTGGACAATTGTCTACTTGAAATGAGCGCAGAAAATGAATTCGAATTACGCGTATGCCCCGTCTCCTCGCGGTTTCTTTCTGAAACTGTCGGAAAAGCGGACAGGCCTATCATGTCCGCTTTGCTGCTAGGGCAATTTAGCCACAGAAGCGAAGACGACAGAAAGGTTTATCAACACACATAAACGGTGTCAATACGCAAGACGTTAGCCAGCTTTTCTGCGGTACTGTTGTATGAGTGTTCGTGAGAAGTTAGTAGAAACACAGTAGTGCGCTGGTTTCATACGAGTGTTTGATATAGCAGTCATAGCTGCGAGGTACGTGTTTACTAGGCACCTCTAGTTAGCTGACCGGGGGGCGCATCTGTTGTGAGGCAGAGATGGCGAGATCGAGGACGAAAAAAAAGAGCGGTTGGACGTGAAGGTTCCCGTGATCACCAAATTATACTGTCTATCGCGGTCAACGAATTTTTATGAGATTGGATCCGCACGCAGCGAGTCATAGCCCCTATTACATTCAACAAAATATACGGTATACTTACATCGTATGACGGAGCAGAGCAGGTTTACAAATAAGAAACCCAGATTCGTTAATTAACCACTGTAACGCTAAGGGCGAAACGATAGCCCATTATGTGTCGTTTGTTATTAAACGAGAAAATAAATATCTGATAGAATTGCGTCACGCAATAGCAGAGTTATGGGGTTCACTGTAAGCTTAAGGGAAATGCTAGTTGGAGGCCAAGTCGTATTTGAAACGCGTCTGCTGTCATGATACATGGTACAACTTGTATGAACATCTATTACATTTAGATGTTACTATTCAGCGTATGGCTGTAAGTATCATTCCGGTTGAATTAAACTTTTAAAACCGTATGATTTTATGTATCTCTGAAGACCTGCAAACTTCAACGATAATTCTAGCAAGGGTCTTACCTAGGTTAAACAGGTAACGTATATCTTGAAAAAAAATGTTTATCAGGCCTCTAAGCTATTGGTGCGTTAACAATACTTTAAATGATGCTTGTTGGTCAGACCATCCACTAAAAAAACCCATAAATACGCTGCTGACACATCTAATCGATAAAATATCGCTATGATTAACTAAAGCCTAGCATCCGGTAGCGACATAAAACTGAGCATTATCTCACCGGAGTTGCCAGACAGTCTATGTAACTTTCGAACAAAACCTATTAAAATTCAACACGGTATTGAACTGCTATTACGTATACCACACTACAAAGTATCTCATAGTGTCTGAGCAGTCTGACTATGGGTCATTTGTATTGTTCATATGTATTACTGTGGTCTTTCGTGCACGGCTATTATGTTTGCTGATCCAGCAGAACCCTTTGACAATGGCTGGAAAAAAATGCAACTTTGTTAAATATGGCAAGATACGTAATAATTAAAAAAACATTTTAAAGGGAAAAGATTTGCCCGCTCGGAGCATCTAATAGTATATCCTCAATTTTCACAAATCATTTGCATAGAAGACTTAAACTTGGAATGTTTGTATAGATTTTATGTGATAGACGTTTATATAGACTGAAATGAAGCAGGAATACATTACTATAGTCAGCCGTAGGCAACGTGAGAAAGTAACCAAGTCAAAAAATCTATATGTAATCGGCGACACTGAGCAAGTTGACAGTCAATGTAAAGTTACCGCCTGCATGTTTGTCTTTATCGAAGTGGTAGCTTCAGGTAGAAACTTCATTACAGCCTAAACGATGCAACACTTAAATAATATTTAAATCATACGCTTTATATAGCCAGTACGAAACTAATACGTACGTTTTTTTTTTTTATAATTGTAGTAAACTAATTAGCGGCAAGCCACGTAATTTAATATAGAAAAGTCGCCTATTTGTTCAAATATCCTCATAGCACGGCCTGACCCTGTGAAATTCAGCACAGTACTAAACACATAGTGCTAGACCCTTAAACTTAAAAAACCCTAAACATGTAGTCGTTTTAAATTCGATTATAATTTTTTTCATGCGTACCGTTGCTTAAAAGTAAATCATATTAGCCTTACTTAGGGGGGCTTCATTCTTTTTATTACGCTAACTCGGAGTATTATATTTGATTCCGACCTGCTAACCCATCCTATTGTGAGCGACAAATAAGAAGCAAATCTGTTTCGATGGAAAGACCTACTGTCCGCTCCGGAATTCTTGCCTTCGAGCACCACCCGCTGAGTCCAATCCTTTTAGTCCTTGTCTTTGCCTGACAAAATTCCTTAGTATATGAAGGTTATAGTATCCTGGGAGGGTTAAAGCATTTCTCCCAGAAAAAACATCTCACGCAGCTTCTCGAGTATTCGCTTAATATGAAGGAAATTGTCGTACAACACATTAAAATACAACAATGAAACCGTAGTCGTAGTCACCAAAACAATTTGCGAGGGATAGAAAGCGAAGTTGGCCTTTTCCTTTCTTTCAAAGCATATCAAATGATGTATTGTAATACTGAAGGCTACACCACATTTCCATTTTGATAGAAACCTCTTAACGTTCAACATAGCTAACTTGCCAAAGGTAATAAGATTCTATGCTATAAGACGCTGGCAACAACGTGCAGCTCAGATAAAAGCTTAAACAATCGCCATTCTATTTAGCGAAGGAGCTAGCGGGTCGCCCGACTTCGGGGAAGAAGATTCCCCGGATCTAGCCCAGACGATAATGAGGTCAAGACAAACTGCACGTGTACACATCAAGCGCAGACAGTCGGGATAACAAGATATGCTTTCGGGGCCGTAACGTGGTATACTTAAGAGTTCCCTGAAATAAGCTAACAAAAATTGCATTAGCGTAATACTACATTTATTTTTTTAACGTATTTTGTAGAGAGGCGAACTTAAATGGTATATCATATTAGAAGTATATGCATATTGTCCTGTAAATTTGACACCGTTTGTCAAATTTGAATTGTTAAATATATAAATCATTGTAAAAAATATATACTGGGCGCGATCTGTAAATGAAACGTTTACCTGTTTGGATTTTTGGACAATTTTGGATGACTGCCCTGTTACTGAGAGAACCATTTGTTCCAGGACCGATCTACTAACGTACTAGTATCGTATGTGATCCGATTCATTCGAAAAGCTTTTCTAAACTGCAATAATTGTATCGGAATCTGTCAGCAGTAGGCTATTTCCAGTCCGCTAAAAACAACAAAGCTACGGTTAGTTTAGTTCAGATACCTCGAAATGACTGTCCAGTGTTCGATGTCTTTAACAGATACAGAATTCTACTAGAAAGCGGCCAGCTTCTGCTATCGAAACCCTGTCCTGCCGATTTTCACCCCCGAGACGTTCCTGGAGAATACCTGTGTGGACTATATGCGGACTGATTTAACGTAGCTATTATTGCAAGGCCTAGGCTAATTTGTTAACATGGACATGTTCGAGGAAGTCAGCATTCAGTGATTAATAGCTTTTGTGTGTTAGCCATACGTTTCATTGGGTTTAGTGCATATGAATGGTTAGTATTTCGCTGTTTAATATCAGTATCATGAAACATCACCCAAACCGTTATTTCCTCACGCTTAACATTGCGATAGAAGCCGAAGACCTCTTCTGAGGCTGGTTTGTCCTTCGTCAAAGCTAGCTTGATGGAATAAGTATTTTAACCTTGAGTTAGTGGACCGATTATGTCCTGGCGTCCCTACTTATTTTGATTGTGACATAAAATCTGTGTATACCGTGGATATTTCTATCATAGGCGAAGCAAAAGTAACGCAAATTTGCCCGCGCTCTATTAGAACTATACGTCGGTGAAGGGTTTTGCCTGCAAGAACTAGTACAATAAAGAACCTAGTATATTGAAAGTCTAAAGAGCAACGAAGAAAATGAGTAGTTTCATAGTGTAATTATTGTGACCGTCGAACAACGATAAGCGGATTATAACAGTTAATTATAACGTCAATATGATCATGGATTTCATTAGTACTCACGCAGGTTCGAACCCTTTGTCAAGCATCCACTCTCGAACCTCCTCGGGGTTACTTTCCGGTGTGATGTAAGTATAAACCGTAGGTTGAAGCAGTTTGCGACGTCTCGTGATCGTCAGTACAGGATCTCCTTCGGCACCTAGTAAGCCATCGTCGTTTCCATAGTCTTTTGTTGCTTGCTCGCGTTGGCGTCTTAACAATGTAAGTTGTGCTTGAAGCTCCTCGTTTAGCTGGTCCATGGCCGAAAAGGATGATGGACTAAAGTTCCGGATTTCCTTCCTGATGCATATCAGAAAATTATCGGACACGGAGTTACGTGACAGTACCGCATACTAGCAACGCCTTCATATTAGCCAGTATTAGCGTTATTGTGTATATATTTACGTAATTAGCTCTGTGCGTGCGTACAAATCAATTGTTCAACGATACCAGTATGCGAAGCAATTAATGCTGCAGGTGAGAGTCTACCGCCACACACAGCTTTTCGTGTTTTGCCGGTTTTAGATAGGCATCAGCTAAACTCCGGCTAAAGTAGGTGGCAATGGTACTTTCAGGTTCTCACCCTCCTTCCCCCACAAAGCGCTTTTGTATCAAGGAGGTGCACTACCTAACGACGTACAACACCAGTTTGGCCCACATTGGATTGATGGGATACATCTTTCATTCAGGATATGTTTGCTGATTTTAATTAATTACCTAATATAACTAATCCAGATCTATATCGAAGCATTTCTTCGAACGTGAATGCCATTTGAATTATGAAAAATGGGCGTTGATGTGTGGCGTAAAACCAAGATCGGTGGACCCCTAGAAGGTTGCGACATTTTTTTTTTGTTGAGAAAAGGAACCAGCGTGCTGAGGCATTTCACCTAAATAATTTTCCTTGTATTTATAAGGTACTTTTCAACACAATTGAACGTAGGCTGACAAACGAAGAATCAATCGAGCAGAATGACGAGATATATCCAATACGAGAAGTCTTTGGGAGGGTTTTCGTTTCGTTACTGAAGTACAAGTGTGTACCCGAATATGGAAGTTGGTTTGTAAGCTCCTAACTATTGCCAGCCGTTAGTGACACTGGCTAACAGAATGAGTGCAGGAAGAATTTTGCGTAATGTACATGCATGCTTGGTATGAGTGTATGAAACGTGCAAGTTAGCCACGGTAGCACCACCAGAATGCAGCCATTGAACTAAGGAATGGGTACAGGGAAACGATTCTGACATACATACGCTAGCCTGCTGTGAAAAAGAGACGCGCTTAATACAAAATTTTAAGCATCGAACATGCTTCTCCGAATAGATCCGAAGTTATGATTTGTTTGTCTCTTCACCGCAGTACATCCCGACAAATGCTTACCAATAAAGATAATTGCAACTAATGTTATCTATGAGAGACACGGACCTTTTATCCTGTCAGTCTAATTCATAACCCTTATTCAGTAAGCGAACTTGTTACAGGTTGGAGAAAATATTAATTACTCATATCCTACATAAAAACAGATCATATGATCAACAATACTGTTTAGGACTGTTACTATCTAGAGGTGCGAATATTCAGCAAGAGTACCGTCGGGTAGAAGGCTATTTCGATGAAAAGGGGCTCCACCAAGATACAGGAACAGGTACGCTTGGCTGTGTGTGTACGTACCCCGAGAGGAGCTAGAAGAATGTTTTCGGGCCAACGCGTCAACACACGCTGCAACGCTCAAGATGCCAAGTTTTGGAATGCGTATCGATGTCAGAGGCGATGATCCCCGTTGCTTTGTTTTTTTTTAGGGGCACTGATTACATCACCACGATACGCCATGAAAATCACCGGAACCGGAACCGTACCCGAGAGTGCATCGCACAACAAGCGTCCTCATAGAATATATATATACTGATACTGTTGTAGGCTGGGCTTGCAGGACGCGAACGAGTAAGTTTCTCACGGGAACTTTGGAAAGAGCAGCTAAAATTTAGGGTTGAATTTAGGTGCAGGCAACGATTTACCCAGCTCTATTGGCTTCAATCCTTCCTCATGGGTCGTCGTTGCATATGTGAGAAACGAAACGGTCTCGGTTGCGAGGGTGTTAGCAGCCATTGCCCCAAAGCAGTCATTGCTCGGCGTTGTAGTCCAAAGCCTATATATACAGGACTGCTTGCGAACTACGACCATTACGACTATCATTGGTATTGGACATAGCCATGGATTTGACTGCCTCGAGAAGGCGTAGGAGAAACAGGACACAAATATCGAATATCAATATACACAGGACAAATCTGACCTATGGGATTACCAAGCGCCCCGCAACCAGGACACGAATAGGTATGCACGTACGATTCGTAAATTCCTGCCGCACGTTTACTTCTAGCGCATGTACGTAGTGGCAACACGGCTTCTATCTGCAGTACTCGTAGTGCACGGCCACTGTGAGTGCTTACCGAGCAGCTTCTCATTCCACATCCCAAATTAAAGGGAGGAGATCGACTGGTAAATACGAAGACTTGACAGCTAATGAAGCGAATGGTCCGTATAGCACCCACAGATACTAGTCGATATAGATAGCGCTGTCGAATGGATCGTTCATTATATCGTATCTGAATGAAGACCGTACGAAAAAGGCAAATCCAATGTGTAAAAGAAAATCGTTGAGAAGTCGGATAAAAAATCAAATCTGAAGGTTTCACCTATAATGTAATTTATAGCAACATATATACAATTATTATAATTAAAAATCCTGTAACAAACATTGCACTGACTACGCAATACTGCAGTATGATACAACCGTCGTTAGGCAAGCGATATGGACCACAATGAACTTCTGTTATTCCTTAGTATATTCGGACGGCAAACACAGTAGATGGCTGTCGCAGGCAGTGAAGCGGTTGCATGGGCAAAATCTCTTACACAAATTTCTATTTGTGCTTCGGTGAATAAGGACGAGAAGCTTCTGAGCTATTAACAAAAAGTAACTTCGATATTGACCGTACGCTTAATTGCAGTTGATCCAAGATGCCTATTGTTTATTCAGCGTTTACATGCGGTTGCGTTAGGAACCTGATCCAGCATGAGTTGTCTAAATTTTGACTCTTCAACATCTGTAGAAGAGTCGACAAATGATCGATTCCCTTCTACGACACTCAGGTTGTCTGAGCCACATGCTTCTTTTTTTCCACTGTTTTAGTCATATAGTTAAAAAAGGTTAGCGTGACCTGACAGCATCGTCTATTTGAACTAAAACCATTTTTTTACACCAACGCTGAGCCGGCTTCCATTAAGTGCCCTTACCTAAAATAACATATTACGAAACGCTCTTTTTTGCTGCGTCCATTAGCCTAGATATCGGTACTTAAGAGTATCTAAGCAGGCATAGAATTGCCATCTGTATTCTATCGACAAGCTACCCTGTATGACAAGGAATTGGTGTTTGTGCAAACGTCAATCGCCGTCTCAGGTCAGCATTAAGTCAGCAGTGTCACGCACAAGCCATGGTCAATTGCCAATCCCATTGCCAAGTTGATCGATTATAGCTTACCCAGTGGTGCTATGTGTTAAAATAGGATTTGTACTGTTGTTTCCGCCCGCTGCCTGGCTCAGTGCAGGTCCATTCTGACTAATGGAAACATTGGTTTCAGTGCGCGTGGAGACGGAGTCCATGTCGGAACTCCTTCGGCGCGCTCGTAATGAGCTCAGACTCCCATGACTGCCCCGAGGCAATAGTGACATTTGATGAGCCAGGCCGGAACCGTGCGGGCCGTGATTTAACGCGTTCGATGTCTGTGACCAGCTACCGATACTTTTTTGCTTCTCGAGTTGACGCGTGGTCCACTTTGGCAGCGGGGGCGGTGTTGGAATCACCAGAAATGAACTTGATATGGTGGACATCGCGGACGCAGCAGCAACACGAGCGGCAATAACGAAAAAACGTAAACAAGAAGGGCAAGACGCACCCACACAAAGCAAAATAGCACCGACAGCCGTAGGTTGTACGTTGTACCGGTTGTTAGTAATCCAAATATTGTTCTAACAATGAATAGAAGTGTGGTTAGGAGTGCACTAGTCCGAAGGGTATATGAACACGATATATACAAACACAAATTGGTACGGTGCAATCACACGAGTTCAACAAGGGAGCTTTCGTATTTTTTTTACCAAGACGAATTTGGACAAAGACGCCACGTACCAGTTTAAAATAAATATACGCTACCTAGCATGTAACATGAGAAAGATGTACCTTTACGTAAACTTTTATAGATATCGCGGTTTTGTATTATTAAGAAAATAGTGCCTGTACTAAAGCATAGACAATGTCTGTCAATGAGCCTTTCACGACAGTTATCGTTATTGAAAGGGTACGTCATTTGGTTAGCATGGCCAATATGTAAGTTAGGATTAATCAAATCAAGAAACAAAGGATTATCGCGAAAAGATCCAATAAATCGTGTCTGCTATCCGTGCACACGGACTCATACATTCTGCGGTCCAATGAATCTTGATAATTTCGCGTATAGTTCTTTCGCCATTTTGTTCGTTGTGCTGGAGACTTACTCATGTGGCTGTTGGTGGTGACGGTTGTGAGATTTTCCGTCATGGTGGTGATGATCAATCTCCTGCTTTTGGAGTGGACGGTATTGGCCCCTGCCGAAATGGTCAACAGAACCGAATCTACAGGGATCACGAGGTCCAGCCTCGTTTGCCATACTATTGAAACAACGCGGCGCGGGCTGATGCGATCTTGGCAAAGTTCTACAGTATTTAGTATCCTCGGAAGAACCAGATTTTGAAACTTCGGGTCTGATCAAAGGAAATTCATATATTCATTGAGTACGTATTTTTTTTTCGGGTTACATTAAGGCTAAAGATGGGAACGCACATTTTGAAATCTGCCCTTTTTTTTTTCATCTATCGAACTCGTACGGTGTAAGCAGTCCAGTTTTTAACAAAATGAGTTTATGAGGTCGGTGGCAGCCAATAAACGATACAATAGTTTAAATGCTAGTTGGTCATTCAGCCTGAGAGTTCGTGACCAGTCATTTAACTTATACAACGAAGCTTGCGTGACATACAATATGAAAAAGAGAACACATGAGGGTTATAGTATTTAAATATTCTGGACGATTTCGATCATAGTCTAAACAACAAACCTTTCGGTTCTATCTCCATCTTACTCCAGACCGATACTTCATTATGTATTCTATGGAAAACAAGTTCAGATTCCTCTTTAGACTACTGATTTAAACCGACCTGTTCATGTCGTCTAAGGCTCGACGTAGAACCGGTGAAGTGTACCTTGACACCGCTTCGTGACTTTTGTGGAGTGAAGGCGAGTGTCTTCGGTTTTCGCGATGCCGTTCGCAAAGTGGCGGATACCCAGACGCAGCATGCCCACCTGTCATTGGTCGATTGCCCAAATCGGCTGTAGCTAACGATGACGTGTTATGGTGTTCTTCCGTGACCAGCGAATGCGCCGACGTTTTGTCCAGCTGCTGAAATTCAGCTCTACAGAAAGGTGTCGCCGATGGTCCGACATCGCCGCAGGCGAACGATGGGTTCACAGCGACGTTGCTGCAATAGGCCGTTTCTGCCAGGGGGAAGTGGAGTGCATCAAAGGAATCCGCAAAGCCGCGGTGGTTCTTGCACATCGTAATCTGTTCCGTGTGCAATGAACCTCCTCTGGTAGGAAAGCTGGGTCCTGCCGGGCAGATGCGGGGGTGAGAAGTTAATACGTGGGTAGTATTGTATAAGTGTACACAAGGTGTGCTGGTGGCCATAATGCAATGAAGTCGTACACGCAGAGTCTATGATGGCTGTGACTATGCGTACCAGTTAGATGAAGTTACTAGCGCGTAAATACATGCGTATTCGAATTTATGCAGTGATCGATTTTTCTGCTAACGATGTGTTAATTATATTCATTGCATAGCGCTGACAGAGTTCACGAACGCTTTGTGTTTTAAGACCACAATTCCATACAAATCCAACATAAGCGGACACTTTCGTGTCGTCGCATTGAGGGATTATCAAATCAAAGATAGTAAACCAAGAGCATAACTGCTACATTTTACAAGGTTAAAGTATATACAGAAAACCTAACGTGGTACAAATGAAGCGTTCGGACTTCCATCCAGACTACCTCCATGTGTGCCTTTCTGTTTAAGTACCAGTTTGACGTGTTATTTGTTTTGTATCTTAAATTTATGGTCGGTAGTCACGTTAATTCCAGCGCGTAATGATCTTGAGTAGTGTTCTTTTATTTAGGAATGCAGAACAACTAAGTACTCGATAATCCAATAAAACAATGGTAAGGTAAGCATAAACTGTACATGCAGATACTACCAAATACAGATATCGAAGAATTGGTAGGGTGTATTGTCAATTACATTCGTTGTAGACAATAACAAACGACAATCTAACGCCCTAAGATAAACGGAGCTGCCTGCGACAGCAGAACGACGCGCACAGAGGGGCAGCGGAGCGAATGAAAAGCTCGAAGAAACCGATTGGGCCAGGCCAGACAAGCTTAAATCTATCTGGAATATACCAAATGCTTAGAAACAAAGATTACATCTAATGCAGCTAATTAGACAATTAAGTTAAGGCAATACGAATAACAATTTTTCAATTCCAATTAAGAAATCAAAAACGAATTAAGTGAAGTAAAATAGTATTAAGATAAGAGATATCTCGGACAAGGTTTAGCTGCACACAGGTATGGGAACTACTGACACGAAAATGTGTACTGCCCGTCTTATACGATGTACTACGAATGAAGTTTTTCTTGGAAATCGGCTTAACTTCTCCGTTTTTTGTAGAAATTATTTCTCAGATTGAGCCATTTTATGTCGTCACACAAAGACTTTTATAAACTGATGGCACAGTGAACCGCGCCAACGATACTTCGTAAGGTAAACGTGTGATAACAACCGCTCGTCATGTCTTGCAGCAAAACAGAATAACGTTGTTCTGTTTGGGTAATGTTTTGCTGAGAGAGTACGTAGGAGCTAACGCAGTGTGTGCAACGACGGGTAGGCGTCCCACTGGTATTTTTGGTCAAGTCGATCAATCCAAGGAAAGACGACTAACCCTTTTTAAAGATGGGAGATCACTGTGGCAGTGACAGATACATGAAGACATAGTGAGAAAGGGATCATACGATTCTATGCTGCGAATGTATGCGACTACAATATTAGGGTCCATATGTTTGTCATTAAGGTAGCTGCGAACCCGGAGGTTGCCTTGTGGGTGGAGGGTAGACTTACGCCATCAAAGTGCACCTATTCGAGTAGAGTCAGCCGAGAATGACAGGGGGCTAGCATGAAAGAGAAGGATTTAAACCTGGTGGCTCAAGAAGTATACGATGTATGTAGGCTAGTCTTTTTTTTTTTTATTTTTCCCGCGTATACGGCAGTGAGATAGCACCAATCAGAGCGGCAGAGGCAGCGGGTGAAGCGAAAATCACTACGTTAAAAAATGGCCGCATCATAGTCTACTTCTTGACCTCAAACTAGCGGCAGAACGATCATTGAGACGAGTGTATTCTCGTACAGCTTTTTCACGCGATAGTTGAGTAGCGCCTAAAACATTTGGGTTAGCAGTGACTAACAGATAAGTGGTAGAAGAAACGGCAGAACTTCTAACTCAATAGCGGATAGTGATACATTAAGAATTGCAAACACGGTTTCAGGACCAGCTTTCAAAGCGACAATTTCGAGGCATGCGAACAGCATAGGTGGGAAGAAGGCAGATGAAAGAAGCGAAAGGTTGGGAGCGACCCCTATGTGAAAACCATGGTGCCTTTCATCCACCCCTTACTTCTCTTGGCTTCGTATTGTATAGTCGCCAAAACAAAAATCATCAAATAGGCAGAACGAGCAATGTGCGACAACGTGGATCAAACGGGGATGAATATTTAGTGTACAAAAGACGGCGGTAGGCGACACACAGGATGGTTGAGAGGCGAACATTGAGCGCAAACGTCCTGGGATCGTGAAAGCAGGCCCCTTGGGAGAAGTCGAACAGAACAGGGAAAAATCGATTGGTGACATTTTTGTATTTTCGCATCGATGCTTTTTGTGGACTCAGTTGGCAACGTAGCAGATTGCGGTGGTGATATAGGTAAGCGGTGCATAATTGCCAGGGGAAGAACGTACAACAGATAAAAGAATGCAAATGTATGCAGCTACCAGAGATTTACGTTTTTTCATTCTCTTTCCTGGGGTATGGCAGCCCCCGAAGCAACGTAAGCTGAAAGATGGCATCACTCATCCCATCGAATCAGGTGATAAAAGGAAAAAGAATTTTTTCATTTTATGTTTCAGGTGTTGATACTACGACAAATTCACAATAATGAATTCTGCCAACGTTATTTATTTTCTATTTGTTTCCAACTGTACCCTCAACTCTGGAGATTCGCTTTTGAAGTTCGTTTTTGAAATCGGTGGTTATATTGTGTAGGATCCGATATATTATATCAATGGGAAATCATAAATTATCGCTGCATCAGAGTGTGTGTCATATAATGATTCAGCACTTGTGCTGATTCTTTGAATCCAGTGTGTCTAAGCTCATCATGTGGGTTAATGGTATTTACGATCCTACCTGAAGGTATTCGGCTTCCCGAAGCAGGGGACGATGAGGCTGACGACTCACAGTCGCCTGAAGCTACGATTAGTTTCATCCCTTCTAGACAATTACAGGAGCAGGGCGAGAAAGCAATATTAAATAAGTTAAATAGCACAGGCAAGAAAGAATAATACAGAGGAATCCGTCTTATATGGGCGCACAAGTGGATGAAATGCGTTGAGTGTATCAAAAATAATAATGTTGATTTCGATATGCCTAGTCTACTGCACCCCACAAAAAGCACGAATCGGCGGGAGCGCGGAGCAAGCATTGCAATATAAATTCAAAGCTCCTATTTAATTACCTATCGGTTTACTATTATAGACATAACTTCGGAGAGCGAGTCACGAAGGGGGCCAACAAGCTGTAAGAAGGGGGAAGGAGAAGTTGCACAAAACAAGTGAGAGCATTCTTCGTCAGAAACTACTTTAATAAACGTACTGGTAATTTTGAGTTTGACCGTTGAATTTATCAAAGAGTTACAAAAGTGGGATATTATGAATGGGCGGTGCATGATAAAGAAAATCCAAGGCACAACGAATTAAATACGAAGCAACGATGGCGTGCACTACCGTACCCTCTAAAGATAAGTTAGTGATAAATGTTTGTTCTGATCAATATTTGATATCTATGTAATGTGGGTACTCTCTACCATACGTCAGCAATTGGTGTAAGCCTTCACGGTAAAACAGCGTACGAGACTACAACAAGCACATGTAACACACAGGGGATGTTCGACTTTGTAGGGCGCAAGCGTTTATTTATCAGTAAATCATATTGTCAATATAATTAATGTTACTTGTATTACTTTACGTAATTATTATCGACGGTACATATAGTTCCACGATCAGTGACGTTGTTTTTCCTTTGTGTGTATTAGTGACCTGCTATTTCAGCGTCAGAAATGTTATATACATAGGGCTTTCAATCAGCTTAGCTCTTCAACTTATCGAATAAAAGCTCATTAGATCCCTATGAAATTAATGGTGGCTTTGTTCAGCCATAGGTTGTGACCACTTGACATTCTGTTCGTCTGCTTTGATGGATATTCGCATTTGGCTGTATCATCACTCGTGCATTGACACGCGCGCGGCATACGCTGTACCGGCCAATGGATAGTACTTTAAAAAAAATCATCCCACAAATGTGAGCAGTTCTAGAGCAAAAGATATGTGCGATGCCGTTGTGGAGCCAACGCGTTGCTTCAGTTACCTAACTTACATACTAACAACGCTGGCCCTGTCATCACATCCGAAACGTTGTAATCGCGTGACTACGTTCCTGGTACTGAATACGGTGCCTTGTACGTGTTCTGTACGGCCAGCGTGCTACATACGAGCAACAGAAGGAAAATCAGTTCTGACTACGCAGGCGTATTTATTTGGTCATGCTGCCATACATCGACTACGACCATAGCTAATAGCGAATAAATCGGTATGGTGGGTCTACCCTATGGGAGGCGCTCACGCTTGCAGGCCATATATATATACTCCTAGACTGTGTTTGCCTAGCGGTTACACAACAAACAGACGAAAAACGGATGTTATTTTGAGCACTAGGGTATATACATTGATTTCGATGTACCATCATAAGTGGGTTATGTTATTGCACCTTCGCAGCTCGTTATGTACCTGCTGTCATCCTAATACTAATAGCAATAATACGAATATTGTAGTTTTAAACACATTTCGATAGCGCTTAAGAATCCGCCACAGCCGGGTTAGTCAGATGTGGACCCGGACGCCCACCTGTCAAATCTCAACAGATGTAACACTATCGTCTGCGAGTGCTGTTAATGAATTTAATGACAATAGCCGATCGAGTCGTCACTTTCTTTCAGTCACCTTTTAGCGTCTGCTACTGATAATGTCATTATATAACATAGCGTCAGCGGTACCCGCACCGCAAAGCCCCCCGCTAAATCATTTGGACACTGCTTGCGCCTTCACATTGCAGGATAACATGCATTTCAACGAGGCACTGTGCTAACATTGATGCTATTGTCCACTTCTTCAGACAAGTGCCTCCTTAGAAAAATGCCTCTCTAGTATGCGCATAAAGGGGATACTTCGTCTTCCTTTATATAGAAGCAAATATGGTCACCATATTTTTATGTAGCAGCAGTCCACCTGTTAGAACATTCTGTATCAGCGTGCTGTTTCTTGATTATAATCATTATTATTACTAGTATTGCATATTATATACAGCGCCCTTCCTTTTTGTTAGTCGATTGTGTATTGGTTAATGGTCCTGTTCCGCCCCCTTGATTTAATCTATGTTCTAACAGACACAAGCCGCTTCTATTAAGGTTTATTAATGGATTCGTAAGCAATTACTAGGGCTTTGATTGTCGCCGTATATCGTTATGGTGTTATATGCAATGTTGTTTTTGATTTAGTAGACGTTATAGGTATTCATTTGTTTCAGGTAGTAGTAAACGTTCCAAGATGGGTACAAGGGAACGCGCGCATATAGAGAGAAATGATTCTCGGGATGCGTAACTCGCTAATAAATTATCTAATCTAACACTTTCATCCATAATAATATACCTTGGCCATTACTATGCCCTTTATTAGCGGCACCTTTAAGTTTACTTGTAAACAACAAAATCATGTTTTGTAAACAGACAAGCAACTATCTGGGCTATCGATCTGACGGTAAGTTTTCAAATCAGCTATGTTTAATGGCTTCGAGCCAGTAAATAGACATCGTCCCTTTGACGCTTTAATGCCACTTTAAGCTGGCTGAATTGGCTCAATGAAGTCGTGACAATTAGAGCTTTGTTTAACTATGAATTGGTTCGACGGCTACTCGCTTAACAATTATTAATTGCGATTCAGATATCACGATAAAAACTGAGGACTGAGCTGAAAAGTCAACCTTCATTAGCCTTACATATCTTCTTGGTTAGAGTCTGATTCTGTCTTCAAGGATGCTGCTCCTAATAAATCTCTTCGCTCAAACTTCTCTAAAGGAATCCGTATGACTACATGTTAAAAAAAGCCTAGATCTTACAAGCTGGGTTTTCTGCACGGATCTAGGTTTTAGAAGGAAAAAGTCGTCCGCTTGGATCAGCACCAGTAGGCGATTATTATACCGTCTAACGCTAGTGGGTGTGTTCCTGAACAGAACTTCTATATTACTAATCACTTGTAACACTCGACATTTACACGCGGCTTAAGAAAATAGTAGCGGCGGTAGCAGTTACGTGCACTGATACTGGGGACCCCTGCGGGCAACGAGGCGAGAAATGGATATTATTCGCTTGCAGATGGCAGGTAGGGACGTATGTGTGGATGACGAAAGGTACGATGTAGACCATAATGAGACAAACATGAACTCCCTATTTCGTGTCTTATCCGACCTGAGGCCGCAGTTGCAGTCGATGTCTGGAGTACATAGCAGAATATGGTAGCGGCTGTGAGACTATGGGGTCGAGATGAGGGTGTTGGGTCGAATAAAGGCGTTCAGGACAGAGAAAGATGGCGAGGAAGGAGGTGGATGGTGGAATCCGGAGGCTCTGAGGGCGCGCGGGTGGGAGGGGTGATCCTACAATACCTGGTCGTACTCTAGTCTCAATGCCATGACTAATGATTTTTCCTAAGATCGACGCAAGTAGTTTTATGGGTGTCTGCTTGCGCAGCTTTGTCAAGCGTCAGCAGGAGCAATTGCTGGGCTCAACATTGAGCAGCACGTCGATTGATAAGCTGGATAGTAGTCTCAGAAGTAACGAAATTCACCTTTCTTGCCCTGGCGTTCGCGACGAACCCACTCGGCAGGAGCTGGCTGTGAGTTGGGTGAACGGGCCATCGGCCCCATTTGACTTCCGATACGACCTCCTCCATAGCCGTCGACTGGTGACTCGCTCTGCGTAATGGGAACATAAAACATTACCCATAGTAAAACATTCAAACTCAATTCAAGTTTTTATTTAGTAAACGATTAAATAATCAAAATCGAAGGAAAACAACTACCAGCTATATTGGTTAGTCTATAATAGAGAGTAGATGCCCTCTGGTTCATCATGTAATACTATTTACGTCGAGTGTGCAGATGTCGTAACTATCGAATCGTGCTTAATTTCAACGCTCGCCAGCATTGATTGTTCCCGCGGACGCTGCAATGACTTTTTACTAGAATGCCCTGTGATAATTGTTTATAGCCTCGACTACGTCTGACGTTGTGTACAAATAACACGCTTCTAAACGTAATATTGAAAATTTCGAAAATCGTTGCGTCCATAGGATGGGCGGTTTGACAGTTGACAATAAAGTATTACCTAGTTCGACCAGATCCAGGTTCAATATTTGGCACCTTATACCGATGCAGTGATGGCCATAGTGCTATAGGGAATCCTTCGGTCAAATTAACCGAACGTGCTCATCGATTTTCGATTAAGCAGCAATGACACATATCTTCAAGTGAATATGTACATTTACGAACTACGTATGTATGACCTATATCGGTGCGTAGTACGTGTTGACGAAACTTGCGACCTTTCGTCAACTATGGTGCACGACTGCAGTATTGAGCGTCCGTGCCTGACAGCTTTCTTGGCAGTGCCTAAAGTACCGGAGGTCGGCAGACACTCCGAGCTGACAACGAGCCAAGAGCAAGACTTAATTAAACGCTTAGCGGTGTAATTTATCGCGTCGACCACTACAGTAGCTCTGTAGGCTGACAATGAGAGTTGATTTATATACATAAATTAAGCAAAGTCCTACGTTTTGATACTCCCAATGAATTTGCCTCACTCGAAAGAGCTCATGTTATCATTATTCTATTTTGACCATTGGATTTACCGGTGTTTATCAAAGAAGGAGAGGATACGAGATTAATAGATTAGACATTTGCCAACACTGACTTGTCACTCCACGAATGTGTTGATACAACACAGAAAGGTATTATGTCCCAACAGGAACTACACATCCATAGATAACCCTGTGACACGTACGGGGCTGTAGTTGTTGGTGGACTCGTATCCGTTGTTATGATAGTCACTGTCGCCGACGGGCGCTACAATCGTGTGTGGAACATGTCCGATTTGGCCACGGATATTTCGGGTTTTCCACCACTTACGGGAGTCATCCAATACCTGTAAGAAAAAACGCACACAGCCCAACATATATTCTAATTATAACAACGTATGTAGAAGCCCATAACCATTCGTTTTCTGAGCTGAATAATATCAAGTCGCGCGTTGTCATTTTAGCCGTAGTGCATGGGACACTTTTAATAAAGGTTTATTTTTAAAATTGGGATGGAAGTTTTTTATGCGCGACCAGAGCCTGTTGCAATGCTTTGTTCTGCGATTTTCAAGCACCTACCTCAAGGTACTCGCCACGAATGACAGTCAGCTCCTTATCGTTGTTAGCTGTTCGCGGGTACATTACCTGCACGCATTTGGCCTGTGCCGCTTTTAGCTCATCAACAAATAGCGTCTGCGAGCGTGGACAACAGAAAAAAGATGGACGATTGTTATTTTTTGTCCTCACTTTGCCGTTACATTAGCCTTAACTTAGGCATATGGAGTAATAAAGTGCTGAAAATGCTGAGTTCGGACATACATCGTCATGAGTTATTTGGTTTACCATTAAACGTGCGTAGAGGCCGAATGAATAGCATTATCACGTGGCACTTCGTCGAAAATAGCTTCTATATGCAGCCTGTTCACGGCACGACCCTATATTATACATGAGTGCCGGAGCCAAGCAGTAATATGGCCGCAGAATGGCCAGTAAGCTGTCGTATTAAATGGCGACTGTATCAAAGACACAGCCATACAGTCCTTAAACTGGTGATTTCCTTAATATTTATATCTGTCAATATTTAGCTATTGACCCAGCTAGTGATTCGCATCCGGACAGCCGCTGCTGAATCTTAGAGGGGTTGACTTGCGTAGAGTTTCACTGCCGCCAATCGTACCATCATTGTACCAATTATGCCGCCAACCTGTACATCCTTTTAAACTATTTCCAATGTTGAGGTTGTCCAAATTAAACGTAACGACGTCTTGCTAAAGATTACCTGGTTTCAGTAGTAGTAAATAACAGCCAAAGGACCCAGGTTCAAGCTAACATCTTAGATCTGTGCTGTTACAATGTACGCTGAGATAGCGCTGCGGCTATCAATTGCTATGACCTATAAAGCAACGTGTTACTGTAAAAGACAACGTTCTCGAAACATTGGGACGTAAACATTTTCTTACTCCGTTTGTAAATTACTAAAACGGTTTCTCTAAATTTATAATCTGCCTAATAATAACGAATTATAGTATATATAGTAATTTCTTCTCTTACTTTATGTATCTCCTACACACACACTATTTCAACATCCCTTACATATTTACGGCTTTACCTGAGCACAATTTACCGAAACGAAGTAGTTCGTAATCACATTACGCACGCCTATGGCACGTTAACTCTATACGAAACGTTTTTAAAAGCCTTATAATTTTAGGAAACCGTTTGCAGCGATGAAAAATTTTAGATCTTATATTTTCCGTGCCTTAGCATTGTCTTTATTAATAGATTCTCTTCCTGGCTGTACCTGCTGTCGCTCGAAGTGTCTCTGAGCGTCGATGCCTCCGGGAGGTTCCATCGAATCACTGCTTACGTCGGATCTTTGCACGAAATCGTGCTCCGACGGTGTTCGGGCGCGCTCCTCTGGGAAGCTCCGGGCAGAATGACCGTACAACGCCGCAGGCGAGTCGGCACGCATCTCATATCGTTCGCTGCCTCCCCGCGCGTATTCCTGAAAGAAAAGTCAAAATATGAAATTTATCAGTGGTCGAGTGAATACATCGTACCTGCCTATCAGTTTAGGTATTAAATTTAGTATAAAATATTGTCTGCTAGGAAATGGTAGAGTATTTGAGTAGTTCCAGATATCGACAGACAGGCGACGATGGACTACACATAGAACGCATTACTGATTAGAGCAAGCGGCTCAAAAGAATCGAATCACTTTGATGCGATGACAGCGGCGCTTGAACACAACTGGTCCAGCTAGAATTAGCTTCATCACTGGCGTTGTCGCTAGTGCCCCTTCAAACAAAAAATGTCGATAGAAACCCCTGGGGGCGTTGTAGTCGCCGGCGGCGAGTCGTTAATGTATGACTAGAAATGGCCGTTCCAAATGCTGCCTTAGCAAGACACAGTCTCGGGGCAACACAGTGTAGCAAAGACGCATGTGCATCGAGAGCCATCGCGTAGCTATTGAGTACCGACTACGGACACTTGTCGTTTTTCAACGACCACCCGGTAATTGCATAGCAGCTGCAGTCGTGCGACGCCCGAGAGAAGAACTCGCCGACGGAGAAATAGCAGCGTCGGTTCCCAACAATTACAAGCGATAGTGCGTTGCTCACCAAAGTCCACGAGGCTACAGATTTGTTTGAAATATACGTTGCTTGTGGGTGTCGAATAGACAAGCAGTAAGACACTTATCCGAAGGGAAGTCGGCCTCAACAATGGTTATAGTGAAAGAAAGGAATGACTACCATACACGAATACACACACACGTACACGAACAGACCTCTACATGTGGCCCACATCGGACAGGAGAACGTTATCGCCATCTTTACCAGTACTAATACAAAATGGAGTATTGGTGATAAACTCGCGGAAATCTACAGAGTAAGGTGATTGGTTTTCTACCAACCGCGGACCTCATGTACCGTAAGCTCTTACTACGACGTGACGTTACTAACCAGCAAATAATTGCGTGGAACAGAACAGCGAACCAACTAGCATGAATTAAAAGATCTAGTTACACCTGTTTTCTGTTCGTCCGCTGTTGGCAAGTTTGTTATACTGTTACATAATACTTTCGTGAGGCAGCGTTTCAAGGCAGTCAATACGTATGCCGTGGTGTTTTTAGGAACGTACTTCCGGGCGGCGTCGTGCGGTCAATTCTGGCCCGATCTCCTCGGGGAAGTGCGGATACTCAGGTGCCCAGCCATCCGTGAATACCGGCTGATATGTATCTTCGTAGTTCTTCCATTGGTCTCTGCGGAGGTAAATATTAAACGTAGTCTCCCGTTAGTAACCTTCTATCTGCATATCAGGAGCGAATGAACCCAACGAAACTACGTCACTTAAAAAGGCTTTAATATTTAATGTAATGTTAATGCCAGATGCTGACGTTAATTAATGTCAATTACATGAATAGCGGTAACGAAATTATTTCTGCTAGAGACTGACAGGCTTAATAGGCTCGCTCTGATGTCCTATTTGCTCGAATTTCAGAAAGCATTTCAATACAAAGGTTTATCCGTTTTGCGTTGACATACAGGATTTTTTATTGCTCAAGCTTAAAACGAACGCCACGAGTACATTCGGTTTTAATTCGCTATCTTTTCAACTTTGGAGAACGGCCTCTTTGTGTTCTATTATATGCTGTCTTTTGACCCTAATATAGCAAAAGAAAGGCCAGGGCAAGTTACCAACATCGCTATGACAAAGCGTGTCATAGCACTCTAAAAAATTATAGTACATAAGTAGACTCAAGTTTGGCCCGATTTTATTTTACATCTTAGGGAAAATATAAAGCGAAAAGATTCAGAACCCGCAATCCAAGAACGTGGGCCCAGAACTTCCCCTGAGCACATATGCAATTTTCGCTGACGACGAAGTTGAAACATTCATTGGTAATAAATCTAGCAGTAACTCGGTGTATTTTCACAGTTGTAAGTCAAGCGCAGAGAATGCAATTACTAGATCGCCATAGGTCCTATTATTATTATACAATGCAATAATAGAGTATACAATATATTTTTAATTTGTATTCTAGTTTACCTTGGCACAGACCAGGCGTCTCCAAGGGAGCGCCAAAGGTCGTTTTCTTTAGAAGTGCAACAATTGTCCAAAAGTTCACAGGCATCTCGTGTAAGTAAAGGTGCCACTACTTTGGAAGCAAGGTTTGGCCCAAAGTTGAAGTCGCGTGCGGCGTCAACGATTACGGCGAGCGGCGTGAACAGGAAGTGAATCAGTTCAGGAGAATTGGGATCGTGGATATGATTACGAAGCTTCGCAAGCAAATTGAACGACAGTTTAAACTTCGCGAGTATGTCTTCGAATTCTTTTTGTGGAGGTGGTTTAGCGCGCATACTAAGTAAGCCCTCTGAAGTTATAAAAAAAAATATTTGTACTATTTATTACCTTATATATGTGCATCGTCTCTTACATTTTTACCCTTTTTAATTCAATGCTTAATTTTATTTTCATAGTGTCTAAACGGTGGACAATACACTAGCCGTAAAGAGAAAACGCAATATTTATAATATTCACTGTATGTTTGTTAGTTTTAATCTCTATCTAAAAAGTCCCCCCTAAGAGGCAAACGCTTACCTCCCATATCTTTTTTGTTGGTCTTGTTGCCACCCTTCTTGACTTTCCGTCGCTTCTCTAATTCTTTATAGGCAGTGGCAGCATTCTGAAGACGAGCAATAAAGCGTTCGATATCGTCAAAGCAGTGATTTAAAATAGCGACATCCTTTTCGTAGCGTTCGCTGCCGGTGGACGACGAGTCGTCATGTTGCCCGCCGGCGCCGCCAACGTCCGCGGCATCACTGCGACGGTACTGTGCGTGCTGCGATGAACGAAGCGCCTGCGCACCCGACTGCCCGATAGAGCGCATATCCTGAGGCCGAAGCTCATGCAGAGTTCCCGCCCCTCCCATCGCACCATGTCCATGCCCGTGCTGCTGATGTGGGTGCGTCGAGTGGACGGAGTGGACTGATGGACCACCGTCCGAGTCGCCTCCACGGTTCGAAAGGCTTAGCCGGGACTCCGATTTGACATTATTGAAAATACTCACCTGGTAGCAGATACAGTAGAATGAGAAGCGTTTAGATGGGTACGGAGTCAGTTGACGGAGTATGCTTTGTATAATTCCTGCTCGTGCTAGACTGATTTTAACAAGGCAGTAGGGACATTCGAAACTAGATGTACTTCGTTACAAAAAAAAGAACATAGCTTAATTATGTGGGAGTGTATTCTATGTTCGCACCATTCGTCGAAGTTTAATTTCTTTTTCAATAGTAGTCAATGGCAGCAGTGCCAGCAATAGTAACGTTGTCACTTATAACAATAGCTATGATGAAGAAGCGAACTCCCAATACCAGCTTTGTCTATAAATTGTCTGTTCGCGGCATTGAGGAAAACGTATAAGGTGTATATGAATAAGGAAAATAGACATGAAACTTGTACTCAGCCGTTTTATATAGCGTCTAACGTCAATGCTAAAGACAGAGCCCGGAGCATTTAACTAGTTTTATCATCTGGCTTACCTGTTCCCTGACATTGACTCCGCCTGTGGGAGGAGGAGAGGTATGGCCTTGGGGGTGACCAGGCGACACACTCCTTGGCGCTCTCCCGAGAGGTGGCATATTGACTTGGCCATTCTTCTTTGGGAGCCCTTTACCCATCATTAGGGTTTTCACATCACTTACAACCTCCTGTGCCTAACACCGTAGAAAAATAGAACCGAAATTGCCTTAATTCGCCACTCCATTTTTGAGGCTAAGTATCGCATTTACAATATAACAACCATAATATATATATACTCTCATTTCACGAGCAAACAATTGGTAATTATCATTAATTATTATTGTTCAACCTCAGTATCTAGTAGATTGCTTGGCTGTCTAGAACTTCAGGTGCATATTTTACAAGGATTTTTACATATTTTATCCTTTAGTAAAAGGACTGCATATGAATTTACTAAACTAACTATTCTTAACTGATCTGATCAACAAAGGCCATTGCCAATATGAGAAGGATCCAGTGTTGATTGTGTAAGAAGGAGTTGTTATTAGCACCATTTTTGTGTGCTAGGAGCCTAGTTACAGCATAGAGCGGTGGTGGATGATAATTCATATTACTGTGACAATCCTACGCTACTTGCAGTATCAGCAGCAGCACAAATAGAAGCCTAAATGAACGAGTGCTCTGTAGTCGGCGATTAAGCCACGATAGCGAATAAACACCGGAAGTAGCAGTAGCTAAGCATGTTCTATCCCTTAATTTGCGCTTAGTGTCCTTCATGATCCTGATAATCATGTACGCTAGCCGTTTAGCTGCCACTTACACTCCCTGTTGCCGTTGGTAGGACTGTAGCTACCATGGCTACCATGCACATAGTGGCGTCGAAGGCAACAGAGCCTAGACGAAGGTCATAGCGGCTGCGCCCTGTTCTAGATCTAGTAGGGTTGTCGTTAGCGATTTGTTTCGCGGTCATCAGCATGCAATGCTCTCGCAATTTAGCCTCTTTTTTTTTCTGTTACTTGTTCTATAGAAACCGGCTGGGCGTTATGGGGCCGAAGTCGATATAGAAGGGAACACGAATGTTCTTCAGGATGATGGGAACGCTTAGGACGGAGCGGCGACATCATTGAAGGACACGAAGACGGAAGAGAAACATAAACCGAATGAAGGATATGTGGGGGGTAAACGCTCCAGAAATTATTGATGACGACTTCCTAATTCGAGCCGCAGCTAAAGAAAGATCGCCAAGGGGAAAGGATGGAATGAACAGCCACATCAGCGTCATTGTTATGGAAAGCGAACGCTAGCCAGGAATACTCAGCCTTTTTTCATTCGGCCTAGAAGGGACTGCCAATATCATAAAATCGTTCTAAGTTCTTGTCGGCATTTCGTCCTTTGTTTGCCGACTGGAGTTTGCTCCCCCTACGTCCGCTCTTTCGAACTTCCGATATTTCTGATCCTGTCTAAAATCAACACCAGCGGCTATCGACACGTACGCAAAATAATGCATTAGCAGCAACCCACCCTTGCATTGGAAGCGTATGGAAAACTGTAGTCTACCAAAATACAGAATAAAGATTTCCTTCAGGTACTTTCCTCTTGCTTTTCTATTTCTCTCACTTTGATCTCGTGCAACTCGAAATATGAATGAAAATGAAAAAACATGAATTGAAAAATATGGCCTACCCAGTTGAATTTAAGAGTTGGTAAGATTTAATAGGTGTGCATACGGGAATATACGAGCTCGAACACTGCACGCATGTATTTAGAAGAAAAACAAGCACTGGCAGACCTACTATTTGTTGCAGCTATAGTGATCATTATATATATTTTTCATAATTAAGAGAAAAGGACAATTTCTACGACAACAGCCATCGCTCATTATCTATGGCTGTCATCGAAGAACACTGACTTCTTTGCAAGTTTTTTTTTGTTACAATTATATATTATTTTATATGATCAGTTGTTCTAATGGACGTGCGGCACCTCTTTTTTTCGAGTGTTGCAACACTTTCCGTTGTTGCCTGCTGCTTGCAGAGGTATCTGAATATTTCTGTATATTTAGGTCCACAGCCGTGCACGCATGCATCTGTATTCCAAGCAGCTCTCGGCCCGACTGATCGTAACCAGCTGTAACGGCAGTATAGTCTATCTCATTCCTTCGAGGGTCACTGTACCCATAACACTATAACAGCGATTGTGACGAAGCGACGCAGGAAAGCAATGCAACTGGTAGCGGCGAGCAGGCTGCAGGATTAACACAATCGTTGTCCCGCTTTCCTCCCCTCACTTCCTGTGTCTCGCACTCGCAAGGACTAGTAAGGCCACCCGTAGCATCGATGAATCGATAATGAATGAGGGTGCTTTTTCGTGTTAAAGCCGTTCCCAACGCGGACACGTGGTCGCGTCACGACCATGCACAAGTACTACTTAAATAATTCGTTATCCAGCCGGAATCTGCAACATCAACCAATATGGTATGTCGGAATGAACGAAGTGCGAGAGAAGCTTGCGAGATGGATTCGGACCAACGGGGAAGTTCAGGGACTGCAGGCGTCAGGGCAAACTGATGATACTGTTCTTGTACAATTTCGAAAAATTCCAGGATAGTCAGTATGAGAGGCCTACCTACGTAACTCTCTCAACTCCGATGAGATAGTTCCCGTTTATTTACTAGACTTACAGACACATGGTCGTTTGAGTCCGAATTCGGACGTGCTCGCATATGTTGAACGGCTTGAACACTGGACAACAAACTTCAATAAACTTCGCCATTTTACCATGCTTGTTCGCATTTTTACTCCAGATGTTGCATCTTATTGTATTTTCCATTGTTGTAATGCATCCGTAGAACCTGCCGACACTATGTGGTATTCTCAAAAATTCACGAAAGGGAACAGACCGCTATAATCGTAATCACAGCAAACCGATAACAGATACCTTCGCGAAAATAAGCCAAGTGTTTTCCTCGTTTTTTATGCTTATTCCTAGAATTAGGCTGCAACGAAAGGAGATCGCGAACAGTCGCGGGGCAAGCGGGTACCGACCGGAGGTCGTTTTGAAAAAATACTTTAGGCAAAAAATGTGGAATTGGAAAAGACATAGGGACACGTGATAAAAGTGGTTGTGCTCAGTTTGCTATTGCTTGAATGACGCGAGGATCAAAACGCAAATAGAAATTTTCTTTCATTATACATTTTCATATGACAGAAGTGGTTTATAGCGAGGAAACCGAAAGCTGAAGTGACACAGTACAACGGAAATGAGTGTGTTCTGAGTGAAGGTGCTGTTTATTTAGTTTTTCCAATTATGCGTAATATCCCCGCTACTTAGATTAAAAGAGTTCACTGGGCGCCTACAGTTGGTGCAAGCTATAAAGAGGCGACATGTTTCAATAGAGGGCGGCTCTTAGAGTTGTTAAGTATCACTTTCGTTGCCACCACTTTGCACTAAAGCAACTAATCAACGTGGCGAGAGGCAGGGGGAATACTGAATGATGAAACGAATCAACAGCCCAGCATCACTTCTATTTTTCGTAGCCTCTCATTGCCCCTCCCCTCCCCTCCTTTACTTCAAATTTACCCTCTTCTTGCCCTGTTTACCTACTCCACTCCTGTCAACTAAGACAATTGGTACGAGTGAGGTCGATGACAGCACTTACTTGCTCTAATTTTGTCGTATTCTCGAGCATCATTGATTTCCCTGTTTGGCGGCTTGATTTGGAATTTAAAAACATTTGCCTACAACTCTGTAGTACGTATGCAGAGAATAGCAATTATTATTATCTAGTGCTTTGAGGTGGTGAGTGTTTCTCGTTCTGCATTTGTTTGACGAAGCATTCTTGTTGAGTGCTTCTTTACAAAATATTTTTCAACGCCCTTTTGGCAAAATATTAAAATGTCAGAAACGTTTGTTCTATGCAATATGCCACTTACTTACTGCCAACTGGTCTGAGTAAAAACACAATACATATATTTACAGTTGAGCGTGGACGCGGCAAAAAACCCAATGCAGTTATTTTTTTGCGGACGTTGGCATTAATTAAGATTTTTTTTGCGTGGGTTTCTGTGTGGGCAGTACATCTCAGCCCCACTCGAATGCTTTCAACGAACTAAATTGAAATATCACTTATATTCCTCAATGTTAATTCCAATTTTCGAGCCACAGATGCCGGAGCTTTCTTTGACAGCGATTGTTAGGCAGATTTCGACAAGATAGGTAAAAACGCAGTGCACGTTTTCGTACCTGAAATGGCTATTTTGTAATATGTAAAAAATGGAATAAAAGGTCATTGTGATGTGTATTTTGCTCATGTAATATTAGAATAAAAATAAGTTTTGAAGAACGGTTTTTAAGCAAATCTATAACAAGCAAGTGCTTATAATTACTATTATTATTATACCTATATTCAGTGTATATCGAAAAACAATGACCAAGCCTTAGTAGTACCCTGGAAACACAGTCACACAAATATCAGAAAATATATAGTAACAAATTACAGTCCCTAAGCTTTATTTAAAACGTCCCAAAAACCGAACGAATTTATTAAGAAAATATTTAGGAGACTCCCGAAGACTAAGTCAATACTTATTTCCCAATACAGTATGCGTAAATAATTCTTATCAACTATTCTATAGCAGTATGTATGTATGTATGTATGTAAAGAAATGTATCCAGTACGCTCAAGCTGTGCCAACGTTCAGAGAACAGAGTGAATCGATCAACCAAAATATATACATAAAGCCTTAAAAAAATTAGGCATTGATGGCGTCCCAGAAATAGAATCGAGGAATCAACATTGTCTTTTTCTATATAGATAAATAGATAGTAGCTGGTCTGCTATAGGTAGGTACTAAGTGATTCGGTCGGGCAGTCGTTGATGCTACTTGTATTGTACCTGTTGTTTAGCTTCTGTAGGTAACCTAGTTCGAGCATTGTCAGAATACAGAAGAAAAATAGATGCGGGTTGAATTCTATAGCCCAGTGTTGCTTCGATAAGTGCTGCTCAAATGGTGAGTGACTTACAATAGCACGTGGCTAATGTCTGTAGCCATGTAGAAACTCTGCGTAAAATAGCCTTATGGCAGCTTTCTTATCTAAAGGCTAGTTCATACTTGTTTCGTTTGACAGACAAAGAAGTGGTCCGACTAACAAACAGCAGTCAGTCCTCGACGGAAAAATGTTGGCGAAAGCGATTTGTTTGTTCATCTACGTTTCGTGTGTTCCGCTTCGCCATCCATTCTAGAAAACGGTACTCATCTCTTACAGTGCTGATTGGGTCGTCACAAAGGAAACGTGGACGCCAAGTCACGAGTAGAAGTTAGATCAGATATTTTAGAGTCGTGTATAACTTCCAAATAATGCGATACAGCGAGGACTTGAATTGCCAAATGACAAAGTAGTAACTTGTTTACAAACACATTTTGATTTTTTGCTTTTATACTGCACGCCGCTATTAAAATTGCTGGACGTGACAGTATCTCGGTTCGTTTAGAAGGGAAAACGGCCTTAAGTGCGAATTGAGCCTGACAAACCTTTGTTAGTGCTAAGATATTCGTGCAAGCAAAAAAGAGCTACGCCGTTACCTTAGAAATTTATTCTGCCTTAATCGTACCAGAATTGAATTCGTGATTTTATCATTCTTATATTCTTCTTATTATGCCCAGGCGGAAAAAAAAATGCGAAAAAAAAACAGCAGGAAGATACGAAATTTGCCGCAGGATACTAGGATTACGGCCAAATGACTAATGGATAAAATAATGACTTACTTTCTCATAGTCTGAAATCGCTCTATTTATTTTTGCATTGCAACTCCATTGAGCAGTGAAGTTGCATTCAGGCTTGTATACGGTCTTACTTTTTTGTTGAGTTTCGCTACCTACTTTAATCTCTTTGTCATCACTCGATGGACATCTTTGCGTCTGCCTGGACAACCGTAATTACTATTTTTCTGCGTGCCTTTTCACCGACCGACGGGAGAACACGAGCAGCATTCAACAACGTCTCCCGTGCAGGTTGTTCCTTACACTGTGAAAAGTGTGGCACGCACATTGGAAGAAATAGCCGCGCTCACACTTTTGAGTGTTTCGTCACGACTTCAGCTTGACTTTTCTTCGTTACTGGGCTGGCCGTGACCGCTAGCGTCAATATCAACACTGCCAATCACTACGAAAATAACCCTATGATATTTACAGCAACAGAAATGCGATTCTTCTTTTCAGTTTGCCATACCGTATTATCGGCCGGACCTGAATGTAAAGTAGCTGGGAGAAAGAACTTAAGGACGGAATCTCATATTGCCCAGGGGACGTGGGGACTCAAAACATCGAAATCTAAGTAAACGGAAGGCACCAAAAAGCCGAACAAAGATCATTGTATGAGTAGAAGAGAGACATTGAAGCAGACTTCCCTTAGTTTTCACCCTTCGTCTAGTATGTCTGTCTGTCTGTCGATCGCGTCACCTCTTTGCGCATAAAGCGGCGTCTCGCGCAGTCTGTGGGCACCCACGAGATCCAGCCTCCCGTGCACATGGAAGAGTGGGGTCCGAACGGAACGAGAATGCAAGTCAAACAGTTTCCCTCTGTGAGGCTTCACCGTCGAGAGCGCTAGCGATGGAGGAGCATCGGGCATTGGGAAAGCAGGAGCTGTAGAAGGACATGTACCTAAGCCAGCGAACAGCTCGATTAGCAACGACGACAAAGCAAATGCTGGCGTCTTAGCTTAAAGCAAGGAGAAATAAAAAAAAAAAAAAAAACAGCAATTTGCGTGCGCTTCGACAACAGCGGCAGTGTTGAAGACATCAAACAGCTAGAGGAAAGAAGAAAGACTCGGTATATCCTGCTCCAGCCGCGCGGTGCTGTTGCTACAACTGCCTGCCATCACTAATGCTACAGCGGCTTTGTTAACCCAGAGCAAATAACAACAGGAATAGAAGGCAAGAGAGATGGAAGAAAAGAGTCTAGAGAGAGAGAGAGAAAGAGAAAAAGAAAGAAAGAACGAACGCTGAGGCGGTATAATTTAGAATAACACCGAATTTTGTGGTTAGCTTTATGGCACCAGCAGCAAGTAATTTTTGCGTGTGGTATCCATATGCGTACACACAACTATACATAGAGTATCAAACGACGTATAGAGAACAGTCCGAGAAAATGAAGACGTAAACGACATCGTAACTGGCCCTTCTCAGCATGATCAGAAGAACGTCGAACAATTTACGAGGTAATATTTTCAATTCAGAGTGTGTGCACCAAACCTTCTGTGAAATAAACAAAATGGAAAACAATTCAAAGAGCAAGCGTATATGTCACCATTTGATGCACGCTGTCATAGCTTTCTTCTCTATTCTATAGGATTAAAAGTAATTTATATTCCCATGCACAACCATCACAACAGCGAAAATCACGTATGTAAATTTGCTTATATAATTATTTTCATTGTTGTTTCCTTCTTCATTTAAGAACACGATCAGTGGTCAGGTTGACAGTAGAAGTAATAAATAAGGGAAACGTTATAGCTAAATATAGTAATGATGCTGAACGGCATGACCAGATAGTTGTAACTAGAGCTCTTGCGAATCTCTATAGTTAGTGGGGTTTCTGGAAAGCACAGGCGCGCACGCAAACAACGAGCACAGTAACCGCTATAAGGGAATACTAATGATGCGTAGTGCTCGACCCAATTACTACAAGTTATATATTCACTAACTTGCTTCACTTCGGTGTATTATACGTGCATTCTATTAGCAAATAGAGCAACTTTACCATTTTTATTAGAAACAAATAAAGGCTGAATCTTTTAGGGCAGGGGGACACCAATGAATGGCTGAATGAAAGGGTCGAACGACACAAACCGAAGCTAGCCTGCCATTCATAGTGAACGCAAGTACTACAGGACAGAACGGGGAAAAAAAAAAAAAAAGATGAATGACAGTACAGATGGGCTTCAATGCATCACTAAAATATTGTGTTACAAACAATACTCCAATTTCGATTCCTCTAAAGCGTTCGGAAACTTTTGCTTGCACTATTCTTTGCTCTGATTTTGCTCAATGGCACAGTTTATTGGACACTGGCCAATTTTGTGCACGAAAACATAGTCGTCTGATACTGCCTCAAAATACAGACGCTGCAATATCGGCTACGGGTAGATGTCCGTACTTGTATATACTATGACACGAATATAAACTATTAAGTTCTGATGATACCCAAAAAATGTCTAGGCCAGTTCTCTATTTGATTGTTTCGATGGCAAAGCGATGCAGGGAACGTACCAACGACCCTGAAGTTTTCCTGAGGGACAGCCTAAATTCTCACTTTGTTCCTCGTATGAAGTTGCAATTTCATGTTCAATAACCACTGTCCCACAAGCTGAAAGGTTTAGGTCAATTATAGGCAATAAAGCTGGGCTAGTTAAATGGCTACCGTTTATCAATTTATTTCTCTTCGCTATAAACAAAAATATTTGCCTTAGGGAAATAAAAGAAGGATGATGCTAAACTGGTATGAGTCTCCATCATAACGCATTTGCCAAGTAAACTAAAGGACCCGTCAAGAGACCTTGATTTGAAATTCTGCGTTGAACACTTGTTTCGTTCTGGTAGCTAGCTACGGTGCCTAATGACGGTGCTAGACATAAAAGATCATAGTACGAACAACTACTTTAATAAAACACTAGACAATCTATCTCTAGATAGTGTCTGAGCAGGAAGCGAATCTGATAGAAACTTACGGATGTCCTGACACACTGGAAGATATGCATCTCCGCATCAGAATTAGCTCCTTTCGGTTGATCGTCTTTGACGATAAACACGAGAATGTTATTGTAAAGTTCACGCGGATCGTTTGAGGTGAACGCTGTCGGTTCAGATATCAGCGACATCGGGAACCTCTCCACGATTTCCTGTAAAAGACGAAAAAGCAAAATGATTCAATTCTTTATTTGTACGAGGATGATAAAATTTCGTATTATCTATTTATGGCGCTTGCGGTCCTGTTCTAGCAACTAGATTCAAGGTGGCTCTAGATCTCAATCACGCTAATTTCACCAATTACATTTACTCATTCGTATTATTCATAGTGACCCTTGACTAGACAGTCAGGCAATGAAAGATGACATATTCGTCCAGAATTTGATGTTTTTCAGTACTTTTAGCTGCCATCGAAGAAATGTCATGCAGCCTGATTCGGTTATTTGCTACAAATATTTAGTAAGAATTGTGCTTAAATGCACACTGAAGGTAACCGGCCAACATCTGCATGTGCGAGTTGTTTGATAAGGCTTATTATCGGTCACCGTATTAAGTTAAGCATAAACAAAGACACATCACACGCTAAAAGAATACAATCTATATTTACGTATAGTTGACTTATGTACTCGAAAGAAACATCTGCGGTCACCTGAGTTCGTGTTTTTTTCCAGCTGAGCAATAGTTATTTCAACATTTGAGCACAGCTTTATTCTTCCGAAAAACGCAAAATCAGATCACGAGGTTTCTTTGAAATAAGTTTTTTTACCTAAATAATCTGGCATCATGACTGTACACGTTAGAGAACATAGATTCGTGCGGCGCATACTGTCCTCTTGCACTCGTCGTCCACTTACGGCGTCTTAAAGCCCCGCCTCGGCGTCTATAGGATCAAGTGTCGTTCGAGCTGTCCTGAATGATCAAATGCTTGGTTAATCACCTAAAAACCTCGGGAAATGTTTGCCTTACGAAAGGGTTTTTCCATACCGCCTGGTCAGCGCGGTCAACCGTTGAACGTTTCATTTCGTGTATGATTCAGCGGCATAATGAGTTTTATCTTCGCGCAAATGCAAAGTCACTTATGATTCCAGTCTCACTTGAAAAAATACGACCATAATAAGAGTAGCCTTTACTTTTCAAGTTTTACGTCTGGTATCGCCGTTAGGCATTCCATCTCCGGCTCCCAGCACGAAACGGGCCTATGCCCGGGTTCGAACCCAGACCACAACATGTTCCTAAAAATTGCCTACCAGAACTCTAATTCTAATATGTTATACATCTGTATTTTGTCCACAACGACGCCACATTTTAAATCGCCAGATAGCGTCTCAAATAAGAGACACATAGGCATGTGGCTTGGTTGACACCCTCGTAAAATTGGAAAATTGCTTTTATTCGCCTCATTACTCCAAGAACAAAATTGCTGTCTATATAACTTAGTAATCATTTAATTAGCGCGCATAGCTCATTAGAAATGGCATTCTGGCAGGGTCGAGTACTTCTCGTTCGACGCTGCTCCTCACATCGTGTGGCGGTATAGGACAGACTTTCCGTCTGTGAAAGCGCACGAACAATATCTCGTTGCTCGTGGTCCCAGCAGTGCAAAAAGGAAGGTACCGAGACGCCGGAGAATGGTGGGAGTCGTTAAACTCATTCTTCCTGCTTTTTATTTGCCCCTTCGTCCATCATTTCTTGGCTGGGAAAATTAGTTCAAATCGGGAAAGAGGAAGTGAGAGCACAGGAGAGGCCAATATGCACACGTCTCTACACCGCGCGCACGGATATGTACGACGTAAAGTCTGTTTCACTTGTCCAATTGAAACGATCTTGCCAAAGAAGGTCGACATTGACTCAACTCGTCAGTCTGACCAGACAGGCAGACCTCGTTTACTAGGTTCATCGCTATGATGCACAGTGCAGCAAAGGAATAATTTCATAACAGCCTGATACAGGAACCTAGCACAACGAGGGAGAGCTCGAGTCAGCAGTACCCAAAAAAAAAGCCAAAGAATAATTCTGCACCAAGCTTACTTTTCCAGAAAGACGTGAGATATATTTTTTAAACGTTTGATTTTTTAGCCGTTAGGCATGAGTTAACGCGGGTCTAGCACTTCGATCCTTTATATGGGTTTTTTTTCCAATACGAGGTTCATGTAAATTTAAGCATGTCAAAACGAGATTTTTATGCTTGTTTGTAACGCCGAACACTTTGTTACCAGCCTTTCTAATAGTAACATAGCGAATTACGAAGTTCTATTATACAGTAAGGAACATAAAAGCTCTTGTAGTCCATATTAGTACTAATAAGCGATTTTAACATACAGTTGACGCGACTGTATAATAGGACAAAGCCGACGAACGAACAATTCAAAGGGTTTAATAGCATGGCCTAGAAAAGAAATGAATACGAAGCCTCGCGTACTACAAAGTTTGTAGTTGACTACGTGGGGGTAGACTCCAGAGGACAATTTGAATTAGCTAGTTTGAGGTTGATGACGAAAAGTTCTAATGTCAGAAGTGATTATAATATGATAATGCTATGGGGACAGAAGTGAATACTCGCATCTAAATAAAAGGATGACAAGCAGAAATAGATTCAACGCAGAAAACGTACGGATCAGCTCAGAGTTCTTAGTTTCAGCTACGGCATAACAATTACAGTTAAACGAGTGGTAATACATTCGAAGACTAAAATTTCAGTAACTGCAGTAGTAGCCGCATGGTGCGACTGTAAATTATATTAATTCAAAAGGTCCAAAATGTCGAACGTTCAAGCCAAATAGGCGAGTTATAGTAAACGGCAAAATAAAGAAGGGGAACACTTTCTCAGGTGTGTACATCAGGGTCAAACAAAGATTGCTCGAAACAGTTGATAATGCATTCAGGGACGAATTGAGAAAGAATATTACGGACACCGAGGTCGAAAAGAAGATTATCTTAGACAGAGACGAATTCCCAAACGACTTCTGCCGGAAAAGCAACGTTTACTCTTCAACCTGTTGCAGATAATATCAAGCTAATAAACATTTTTAATAATAAGCGTCGGTCTAGTTCAGGGAATATTTAGTGCCCTTCTAGAAAGCAGGCTGCAGGACTGCACAGAAACAAAACACATACATTAAAGGTTCTTGCCAAAATGGTTTTCAGATAGAACAGAGCATAAAAGACTTCCTTTTTGCAATCACCGACAACAACAAACTGGGCTCGACAGAAGAAGCGAGGCTAAATTGCAACTCCCAACACGAGGAGCGTGTGCAATATAGTAAACAGTAAAGAAATTATGGACGATGGCTCGGGGATAGGCTTTTTTGAAGGGCTATATGATCACAATTATTTTTTAGTCAGAGCTGGGAAAAAGCAGTTTAAAATCGAGATGATGTCCATAATGTTCTTAAAACAATAGCTAGAAAAATAGATGAAACCAATCTTTGTTTTTATACGCCATATATTACTCAAAAACGAAAAATTGAAAAGAGACTTGTTGACCCATTGTTATTTAAAAACGACAGTCAGGGCCATAGCGCAGTATTCAAAACCGTTATAGCAAATGCCGAATAGATGCGAGGATCATTAGTGAAATACCGAAAATATTGGATGATATTGACAAGAATAAAAATGACTATGCAAACCTGATATTTGCAGCAAGGAAGACCCTTGAAACTGGAAAAAAAGGCAACAGAGTATGAAGACGGACACAAACGTTTAAGATAGTAGATGATAAAACAGAAGCTTGTAATGGAAGAAACACTGTGGAGCTAATACGGAAAAATTCACGTGTGACCGCGATAACATATACTGATTAGTTGTAGTGCTGGACAGATACACTTTTGAATAGTCTAAGTTCAGAATCGTCTAGCAGGCGGTCCATGTGTCCGACATCGTGGGCAGAAGGGCGAGAGGAGGCATTTTTAGCCCCACTGCTAGAGAAGTCAGAGCAAGCGTATCAGACGAAAAGTATTAATAGACGTGAGGGTCGGTCCAATTGCAGTAAATAAATTGTATGATAAGGATACAGTCAAAGCAAATGCCCGTGAAACCATCACCTAAAATTTTTCAAAAAAATATATTTTTAGGAAATATTAGAAACAGTGTATGAAATAAGGACCAAATGCGTCAATAATAGGAAAAACATCTTGTGTTATACGGCCATTCAGCTTTAATATGTGGTCATCTGCAACAGAAACGTCTATATTCACTGATTAGAAAGTTGGAAAGTTAAATATCATTGTTCTAAGTGTCGACAAAATCTATTGATTTAATAATGAAGAAAAACAGTTGGACCGACAGGTCAGGTGGTCAGAGAATTAGCCAAACTGAAGCATTGCGGTGTTCCCTGAACGAGAAACAATGAGATAAGATCAATGAGATATTATGAAGACTCACGAAGTGGATTGTTAGAAAAACAGTTATAAGATACTTTTCAAATATATAATATATTACCATATCATATATATGGTATATATAATAAAAGAATACCACATAACTAAGACAATTTGTGTTAGTAGCGTCCTTTTTGTTCGATGCGAGATCCTGTACAAAATCTCATATATATATATATATATATATATATATATATATATATATATATATTCAAACTATACCCGCCCAAACGAGCAAATAGAAGGGCGGGTATAGTGCCCTTCTATTTGCTCGTTTTTACATATATATATATATATATATGTAAAAACGAGCAAATAGAAGGGCGGGTATAGTTTGAATTTCAATTTAGAAGATAGTTATTAATAAAAATGTTTTTGTTAATAACTAAAATCGAATAATTTTTCAAGTTTATTAAGGCTTATAAAGGATTGAATGAACGTTCACAATCGTCATTCAGTATTGCAGACGCTAATAAAGTGAAGCACCTCACACTGAATATGACTGGATCCGTCAAGCGCTCTCTTTTTGTTTATGAGTCGACTTTCGTTACTGCTCACAGTGGTGACTGTCTAACTGTTTTTCAGTACGATTTCGGCGTACAGAGCACGTGGATGAACCTGTACGTATGCACCGTATCAAAAGACAAAGACGAAAAACCACTATCTGTTCTAGTATTTATGATACACTGAGCTAGTTGGTAGAAATGATTGCACAGACGGTGCGTGTCCTCGTTCATGACCAGCTTCGCCTCTCTTTGATGGTGAGGCAACATGGCCTCTGGCACTAATGGCCGAAGCTGATTAGGAAAGCTAACTTCGTGCAGGGATTTCTATGACAATGCTCACAATGTTCCTCAACAGTAGCAACAACCGAAAACGACACGAATCGCAGTACGAATCGTTGGTTAGTGAATATCTTATAAAAAATCACCTTTGTCACACGCACTCTATGTAAATCGCTATATCTACACTGGTTCTAGAATGTCTACACTATACGAAACGCGATGATACGATTAAGAAATAGCGGACACGCCTAAAAGCAAGCGGTGCAATACTCAGCTCGTTGAATCTGCTGTCTACCTACTATACAGAAGAAGTCAAACGAAACGATGGCGATTTCTCTGCCAACGTAAGTATACCACCCACTCCCCCTCTCACGCGTCCTCGTCTCCTTCCTCCTCTCGTTCTGGTGCCAAGTTGAATATGAGGTCGGATGCTTCGCAAACAACAACAAGCGAACAGACCGTGCTGTAATGGGGTGATTACCGTTCGTTCCTGAAGCAGTAATAGCTGAAGCAGGTAAAGTTTTGTCTAGCACGTCCTAATAGATGCGTTGGGGTCGACGCTTTGGCCGGCCTGCGATTAATTGGGATGGCAATGACGCTGCTGCTGCTGCTATTGGTGCCGATGATTCTAGCTAGCAACAGTTGGTACACTGGTTAGCCGATAGCGTGATCGAGCTAAAATGGGTTAGTTGGTATTAATGTTAGAGACGCCTTCACTGTTGATGTTATCACATTGAGCTGTGCAACTATACAAAGGCAATAACAGAAGTTGTTCTTTGGAAGAAGAAGAAGAAAACGTTTTCGTTCGAGTCGTTTGTTGCCCTAGCTCCAACGTTCTTGTTCTTTTTAGTTGCGAACAAGTGTTAACCACGTGTTTCTTTTTTATTGCGTGCTTTCCTTCTCTTCGATCCTCTTGGCGCTAGGTTCCTGTCTCCTCGACGCCTCCTCACTAGCTAGCTATGTCAGCTAACAACCACCGTCCATTCCGTTTAACCTCGGCCGTACGCATTTCCATAGAACAGTTATCCTTCAGGTTTTTCCATGGCTGCTGCTACCGCAACCACTATTACCACTCTTTACTTACCATCTGTTACCGTCCATCTGTTTACGTCTATCTGTGTACGTACGCATGACTAGAGCAGACTTCACACTCCAAGCTGTGTCAAGCTCAGCAGGGAGAGCAAGAGGCAGCGAATCGAAACGCAGACGCATGATGTAAAAAGTCTTAGGAAACAAATGTGCACACGATTGCCTCTAGACAAGGTTACCTAAGGCTACAGAGACATGACACGCTACAGCATATGAGAGCGGACTGATGAAAATGGAGAGTGTTATATATAGGTTAGCTTAAGGAAAAGGACTGAATAGCGTCGTAGGGTTGCACTGCATTTGTGTTGGCTAATCTGTTGTGAACGCACGTAAGTGGTAACAGTTTGTCGTGCAGTTCCATGGTGCAACCGCAGCCATATTTAAATACGCACCCCGTTTTCCTCGTCGATAATAACCATCCAGCGCGTCTCTAATCGAATGCTCATCTTCTGGGTCCATATTCCCTTGGTCTTCTCCATCTGGAAGAGTTTCCGCAAGCCGTCTTTCGGCGACTCGACCTCGTAAGCTGAACCCACTCTGTAATAAACGAAGAAAATAGAAAATGACAAGTTGCATGATTTGTACACACAGAATAACTACAATAAAAGGATAAGCTGAAGTCTTCTCCACAGTTGTTTACCACAAAACATTGTGCCCGCTAATACAGTGTTTACTGATACGCATATTAAGATATCCAATCTCCACTGAAGGACCAGATCAATTGATTATCTAGACCACTAAGTCATACATGCAGAAACAGAGTAGTTCTCGATTGTTGGTTTATCATGTCCGTAACGGTCTTTGGCGATGTTTGCTCCGACTGATATCATCCTTAACATGGCAGACCGGGGTGGGGATGTCAAAAACGTCTCAAACACATTCGGATGGATATGGGAAAAAACAGCAGTTTATAATTCAAGTACAATTGATCGAAGCTCGCCACGCTTCGCATAAATAAATGCGCAAATAAATGCATGTATTTTTCGAAAGTAAGATGCCAAACGTTCATGTTAAAAGTACATGCATGAGACCAAAAAATCCTGGCCTTTCTAATTAAATTCGACGATATACATATATATATATATATGTATCATGTTAGTGAGAAATATTCTCCTCTTATCTCTATCGTTATTTTAATCTGGATTCTAGTTCCTTAACCCTTTACGCCACATCCTTTCTAACGATGACCTTCTCTTTATAACGTACTCGATTATTAGCACGTAATGCCACGTAATACGTCCGGATGAAATAATTTGGGACATTCACTTCAGGCATTCCTTTTTGTCATTGTAGCTTTTTTAATCCTTTGCAGACCTACTAAAACAGCAGGTTAACGTCCGCGAGAACGCCAATATCATAACAAATAGTAACTTATGTTGAAAAAAATTTGCAGAAAAGATAGCGGTTTTGTGCCGGTGTTCATTAAACGCTCAAACATGTGCTAAGTAGTTTCAAAGCGAATGTCAGGTTTCAGGCCCTCTTTTACGTTTTGACATACGTATTTTCGCTCTGATTGATGAGAAACAAAGACACAGGTTGATAGCTGTCGATTGTTTCTCGATGCCATCGATATCGAGGGTCCTTATTAAGTAATGGCCGCCTTCGTGTCTAACGTATCGTACCGCAAGCTCATCGTCCTATACTGTACGCAATGTATACTAGGTAATTTAACAGTATGAGTTTTATGTTGTATGATAGCACCCCTAACATAAGCTTCTACGATATTGTTGGATTTGTTGGTCTGCGAACTACATGTGCGACTTAAGTCGTCTGCCGCTCTTGATAAACACAGTATTATCGCGATATTTTCACTGGTCAGCAAGAGGTTCCCGACGTCCCGACTGAAAAACCAGTGCAAAGTTTGTAACATGTTAACTGTAGGACCATCGGAAACGAGATCCAAAGTACTTAAAACATTCAAGGATTCTAGCAATATAGATTATAGATTTTTGTATAGCTACATATATATCTCGTTATCATTTAGAAACAACAATCGTTAGTCTACCGTAAATTAATCCGTTATATGAAATTGGAACATTATCAGATCCATACTGGGTTCATTAACACCTATCAGACATTGATTGATGTGCTTCCCTATTTCGCATTTGCTCATTCTCCACTATTCCATGGAGTAGGATAAATTGTCCACGACAAAGTTAATTTGCTCATTAATATTATGCATGTCTATGAAATTGTTTAAGAAATTGCTTTACAGACGTTGATTGCCGTCCGCCCGCCCGTCCGTCTACACAGGAGTACTCGTTCTGGCTTTAGAGCACGTGGTGACTGGAATTTAGTAGAGTGAGCCAGGCCCACAATAGCTGTTGGTCGATAAACAATAGTTTTATTATACACTGCTATATGGAGGGCAGTTGGTTGAACTGCGTTGATTGGCGAATGGCTGCGCTTGGGTCGTCGGCCCAGTGGGCTCTAGCTAGTGTCGAGCTCCAGCCCGACGGGAACACGGCGCCCGGACAGCAGAACTAGCAACGTTTTCTTGAGTATGGAACTAAGGAGCGAACATACGAGCCCACAGAGAAGAGCGGGCTAGTCGACTTCTTTTTCGAAGGGGGAAAGGGGAGGCTTTGTTCGGTAGACCGAGAGCCGGAAGAGCGCGATGAATGGCTGTGGAAGCTGCGACACCAACACCACGGTGCTAGCTCCCACGCCCCTGTCATGCCCGCCGAGCTCTCCATTTTAATGTATGCAAAATGTCGGTTCGTCACCCTATTAAATCGTAGCTCGGTCGCCGGTTCTCCTTCGCGCTAACACTAGCTTAACAGCAATATATATGTAAATCAGCAGCCGTAGGGGCGAGTCGAACCTTAGTTCTAACGTCTTCATCCATCTCACTTAGCTATACTATTCTCGAGGCTAAAGCAAAACTGCCGGCGACATCGGCAGCGATCGTCACGACTGAGAGGAACCGACAGTTCTGTTGCCTCAGAGGGTAGAAGTGGAACACGTCATCCATAGCGTTTTCATGGACGCCAAGTGCGGCCTCATCGTACTTATTTCTATTTTTCCTGTTGTATATTTCTTTTCACAGATTTTCAGTAAAGTGGTAAACAGGGTTGAGAGGATATAATGGCGTGTCGCTGGTACGAGTACCAAGTAAGGCTAGAGCTCCAGCACGCGTGCAGCATTCGCAGGTTTTTCCTGTAATTGCCTTCTCTAGCTCTCCGCGACATCGTACAACTTAGATTTTTTTACAGCATCAGTGCGCTGGTTGTTTTCTGCCTGCCTAAAATTGACATCTGGTAGCTAGCTACCTATTGATTAATAGAATCCCCATCTAATCGCATGGCTGAAAACGCTACGGAAGCCGAATAATGGTCTTTAGCGGCAACTGTGTTATATTTCACAGCACTTCTAAACTGTAAACAGGAACACAGGAGTACTGGCAATGACTGCGGGCCTTTTATTGCTAAACATAAGAGAAAAGGAAGCACAGGATACGTTCGCTGTAGGGTTATCCATTTAGTTGGTATATCCTTCGCCCTGACTCTAACATGAAATTCGCCCTTCAAACCCTTCAATAAATTGGTGGAGGACCGCTTGAATAGGATTAGGAAAAGAACAAGGTTTGCTGAGAAGTTCTACACTATAAAGTTAGGTCACAAGTTAACCTTGCCTAAGCACCCGAGCGCCTGTGGAGAACCGTTTTTAGATGCAGGACAATGAACCCCGATTCTAATATCAGAAGTGTGGTAAAAGCTTTTTTGTTACGGATAAAACTTCTCAGCCATAATGGGCAAGCAATTAGAATAAGCTAGAATAAGTGACTTATCCCTTAGCAACAACTAACCAGTTAATAATAACGATCCATTCTAAAATCGATGAACCAATCACATTTGAAGATTTTTTCAGTGTACTCGAATTCGGGGTTAGTGTAATTCGAAGGGAAAAACTTTTGTAATTATCAATCGAAGTGAACGTTTTCTTAATTTCACAACTATTATAGGCACAATGTAGGCAGTGTGAATTCTGCGACCCTATCTTACGATGCTGTAAATGGTGATTGATGATCGTAAATCCGTATTGATATCTACATCTTAACTTGGATATATGATGATAATCGTTCTCAGAAATCGTTGCTCTGGCTGTATTTGAATAGGACCAAGCAATTATCAGTCGGTGAGGCGCGATGGGTGAACATCTAGTGCATGCGTGTTCAAGACCCTCTGTCTGTCAGCTGCCCCATCCTACGTCTCTAGTATCGAACTGGTCGATTTGTCGTTGAATCGCCGGTGTCCACGTCACCAAAGAAGGTCCACTGTTGTGGCCGCTTCTGCGCCTTCAGCTGCATCTTGCACTTCCTTAGCGTCACGAGCGAACGGACACGATGCTGCTGCTGCCTGCCTCTACTGGCTGGCCGTTTTCCTTTCGGTTCGCAAGAGTCCGGAGCACCGGATGGCTTGACCGACGCGGAAAAGAACCGAGGCTTACCCCATAATAGTACCGCTGTTTCGATTGTGGCGAATTACGAGGCTGCTCGCTGGCACACGTCCTGGCTGGCACGCTGATTCACAGAAAGCTGCTCGTCATCGCTCGTACAGCGAATGAAGCGGAGTATAACTCAAAGCTAATAGTTAGTACATCGTGAACGGTGAGCCTGATTCGCGACTAATGAAGAAATCCACCTGCAGGTGAATACGTGAGACCAGAAAGGAAGATGTAGGAAAAGAACAGAAGATCAGAGCAAAAACGAATCGAGAAAGCAAATAAGGGAGAGGACGTCAATACGAAAACGTCCGTCGACTGTCCCACGTCACGAGAGCTGCTGCGCGTAGTAGAGACAGCGAAGCAATAGGGTTAATGACAAAACGGAACCGTCGATCGGTCACATCTTACGCCCAGTAGATCGCTTCACGCTGCCTGCTGTTGTGGCTGTGTTATTGTTTTTAAAGTACAAGTTACCAAAGCAATTGCAAAACTTGAAACAGATCTTTGTGGACATTGTAGGGTTAGATAAACCCGCTGTTGCTTTTGTCTACGTCAGCAGTGCTGACATCATAGCGTATCCAAGCGATGCCGACGGACCCCCTCTTTGTACCAAAACCGTAGTGACTACCATCGTTGGTCAGCCGTATATGCACCTTTTTTTTTTTTTAAAATAAGAAAATAGATCACATACACCAGATAGCATATGTATGCTATATACGCACTTAATGCGTACGTGCATACGAATGGCCTGTAAAGATAAATATTGTGAGAGGTTGCCATCGATGTGAGCGCGTGCCGTACGCTGTCTTCAAACTTTGATAAAGAAGACGTTGCGAATGATCGATGGCAAGCACAAGGGCGGTGCTAACCGAAGGAACAAGAAGCAAAGAAATGCCGCTGCGACAAAAACGGAACAAGATTAATGTCAGCTAGTCAATCTTTTGAGGATTTAATGAACTTTCTGTTCTGTTCTGTTCGTTGTTCAATCACGAACTGGGAAGAGAAAAGTGTCGAGAGAAGGAAGGGGGGGGGGGGGGTATGAAGGCGAAATTTCAAATCGGAGCTAGCAAAAAATTTACGGCATACATTAGATATAGTAGAGGCAATGCCCCACAATGTCAGGATGAATAAATGCTTCCCATAACGGTGATCATAGGTAATCCCGCATATGACTGTTATTCCCAGTGTTATGCATATAGGTGTCGTTGTTGGCGAGGCTCGCTTCGTTCAAGCAGACGAACAATGAAAATTCGTGAACGCGATCCGGGAAAAAACAAAGTATGATTCGGGTATAGGATACAGCTGGTGGTAAAGTATGTATGGACTTACTGTGCTCTATAATGATCTATACACACACATATATATATAGGTGATTCGGAGACTACGAGGAAGAACACCAGCCCGTTCTTACATCGTGCTGCCTGTTCTGCCATTCTGTTGCTCATCGGTTCTCCTTTAAGCTCTGTTCGTTGCATGCTCGTAATATTGGTTGGCCCAGCCTGTGTTTCATACTGGGGTACATTGTTCGTCTGCTACTGCTAGCGGTGGACGATCGTAAAAACAAGAATTCATCAGCCATCTACGATTAGAAATCAAACACGGGAGTTATTACCGCCATGAAAGCCGGCTGGCTGAATCCAGCGGATTCGTATTTATGATCCCCTGTTATCGGTGTCTAGTGATCCGCACATGATAAATACAGAAGATAAGTGACTTGTTTGATATTGGCCATTGAATTATTTGAAACTGTGGAACGGTTCAAGTTTTCGTCAGTTATTGGGCGTGTCGCTGGGTCATAAACGTCCGAAAGAACGAGAGAACGCGTGTAACTCATATCAATCAATGGAATAACCCATATAAATGAATGATTACTAGTCTCGCTGCTGATATTGACCTTGATAGATATAGAATTAATGAAAAGACAAAGCAGTGAAACTACCATGTTCCAATGAAGTTCAATTGAAATATTGCAACGGATGATAACCACCGAACTTGTCAAGCGTCTTCTTTTCTTGATCTCCACACTATCACATCGATCATATTGACAACAATAATAAATCCCATTAGAAACAATTAACACTCTCCGTGTCGCTTATTACCGTGTCACACTGTAATTATGTTACAGTAACCAATTTATACTGACAAGAGATTGAGGCGAGCGAATATCGATGCCCAACGTTCGATTTTTGCGTAGCAACTTGATTGTGTTCCTGTTAATACGTGAGTAACTCCTACCGGGTAAACAACTCGCGAGAAACGGTTCTTTCGAACTATCATTTCAATGGCAGCTTCAAAGAGCGACGACGAAGAATTCCGCAGACGCCCGCGGCGATTAGATAAAAGCTAGCTGGGTAACGCCAGGTGATATGTAAATCTAGGTGAGTTTAGCCATTATGACACAACCTGTACGAAGACGTAACAGCTTTTCAAAAGGAACGCTTACGACCTGCAGGCCAATTTTTTCCACAGTCTCCATAATTCGCAGTTGAAATACATGGCATTATTCATTATAGTGTACTCACGAGAAGCTGGATCGACAATATATATGTGTAATGGATTGAGGTTGTGGTCGTTAAGATGACTGAACCTATGGTTGCTGATGACAGGACGGAATAATGCTTGTGACAATACACTATGACCAATGTCGTCAAAACGGGCAAGTCATTTTCGTGGGGACGCTGAGGCGGCTGGGCAGCCACAGCGTCTTAGAGGGACAACCATTGTTCCCACGATTTGAAAGATCATAAACCTTGCACTGGCTGGCATCAAGAGATATACTATCAACGAAACGAAAGGCGTTCTCCGTGTAGCCTTTTAAGCCAGTTTTGGGTGCAAGCTTTTGTCGCATCGCCCTAGACCTCGACACAGCTTAAGATACCGCAAATATAATTGAATCGTATTGCGGTAACTTTTGTTCAGCTATAATAACTGACCAGTTAATTATCGGCAGTCTGTGATTTGCCAAAGGCATGTTATTGCAATGGCTATTTGTTTCATGTCGTCTTACCTTTGGCAATAGCAATCCTTACGCCTTGCCACAATAGACGGAAGGTCCAATTGAATATAACGAAGTGCTATAGAATAATGTAGCTATGAAAATGTCTTTGTTGCCTACATATATTGTTATGCTGATGTTTTGATACACTCCTTTGTTATGTTGACATAACGGTGGACGGATCTATTACGATTAAAATCTATGTGTATACAAACGGTACAAGTTACCTGAAAGTAGCAAGATGCTCGACGAGATAAGCTGGCCCGTGGCTGTTACCGGCTGCTTCATCGTTCGAATCACTCTGCTGATCTGAAGAGTAGCCATTCGAGTACCGTGATGCCGTCATGGCACTGGACTCCTTTGGAGGAGCCATCCTGGCGGGGCCTGACGCTCCTCCAAGACCTCCTCCACACGCGTCGCCGTTCACGCTACCGCTCTCGTACACTTCGTAATCACTGAAAAACAAAAACGGCTCATTATGCACAGATAAACAGGCGTATATTGACTACCTTTTTCGCCCTAATGTATTTGTTCGAGGTAAGCGGTGAGTGTGTCTGAATCATCGCAACCAGCAGTACTGCGGCTGTTGCTCTCAGAAAACCGGCCACTTTTCAAGTGTCTGATACCACTAGATAACGGGATCGACTTAGAACAAGAAAATATTTGTCAATTCAGTGAAGCTTGCCGATATGCTGATAACGGTTAAATTGCACCGGTTTTAACCGGTTAGAATAAAAAACGGCTGACCAAGAGGCAGCTCTATAATCTTTCATGACTAGCTGGCTCCTAGCAGTACAATATTTAGGGTGTAGCTCTGTATTGCTATGTACGAGAACGTTTATGGGTTTAGATGATACTAGGCAGCAGATGGACAATAGATAATATTTTTAATAAGTTATTATAATGTGTGAACGGAGCTTATATAAAGTTCAAAAAATGATGAGGTAACAGTTAATTGTCTAGTTCCGTTTGCACAACACCATAATACACAAATCCATGTTAAGAGTATGAAACGTTCTATAAACGCGATGCACTTGATATAAATGGAAAATCTGTCGTCACACAGTTAGTCAATTAACGCTTTTCATTTGTGAATCATTTTGATCTTACTACCGCCGCCACTACATGAGGCAAATGCTCAAGTGATGGCAGATAAATGACTTCATGATGGAAACACATGAGCTACGAGTAACCGCACTGAGTCAGTCACTCACTCATCACGGTGACCAGCTCAGCTTAAACGTGGGGTAGCTGAATGTAGAACATCGAATTCACCACTTGGCACTATCGTAATGCCTTCTCACGTTGACACGCCCGTAAGACGAGGCTGTAGTGGCCCTATCCATTATCCGTATTGCTGTTAGGTAGGCGGTACCTCTTGACAGCGCGGCTACTGCTATGGCAGTAATTCGCGCGGCTACCGACAGCGGCCCGAGTTGTAAAATACCTTAGAGTTCAGTTAATAACCGAACAGACGATTGGATGCCTATAACCTAAGGTTTGAATGGAGAAAATGGCAGCGTTCGAGAGAAACGATCGCGCCGTAGTTGCAGCGTGAATTTAGAGATAGGGTAAATCTCCCGCCATGTTCGAGTGCGGCAGTGATTACAGATCGTGAGATAACTAAAAACAGAAAATACTGCTGTCAAATCTGTTTTGTTTTTTTTTTTTTTTTTTGTGACGAATTGAATAATGTAAAAAATGACGTGGTTCACCGCGCGTCGGACGCACGGGGGCTTAGTCATGTCATATATAAACCTGCAGTTCAATCTTACAACACCTAACAGGTACTAAAATATTATAGCCATCAATTAATTCACTGTTAAATAGCAAACAAGTATGTGATCGACGCAATATTACAGGACTTTGCCCAATCAGAAGTTCATCGAACAAAGCCATTTATCCTGTATGAGTAAATTCATTTACCTTCACTAATTTTCCTTCCAGAATTCATTTCCCTAAAAGGTTGCTAACTTTTCTCTGCGAACTATGATAACTGCGAACATCATACCTCTCTACAACGGCCTCCATAGTGGAAATGAAGTAGTTAATTGCAATTTCACGTGACACTGCAGCTGACTTCGGTCTGATTGACCGAGGAAGCTATGGGCGTACTCTACAAAATTCTGCGGCGAAGTTCACCTAAATAATATCTACATATACAGCGAGACATTCTTCTAGAACTGATTGGGTCTACATGTCAGTAAAGCACGACCACACTGTAGTAGATTCATTTCTACCAGTCTCAATAACAAGTTGGGGTGTTGCATCTATAATCGTGCCGGTACACTACCACAACTAATATTTGACAAGTTCAATAAAATCGAATACTTCATCATATCGTATTAGTTTCACGACTTCCGTAGAGAAGCCGAGAATTACGGTACGTTTAAAATGGCTCTAAAACTCACGGTTTTAATAGCTATGTATCGCTACAAGTAATGTTTCATTGACAATTGTTTCTAAGCGCATGTAGCTCGAGTTAGCATATCCAAATCACCAAACTGATCCCTAGGTACCTGTTCGTTTGCTTGCTAACTTGTCCACCGATCAATCTTTATGGAACGGGCAGGCTTACGTTTCACGTCTTTGAACGCCTGTTTCTGTTTGCCACTAGATAGCTTTGAAATCGTAGATTATTAACAGTAGCAGCGCCATAACAGTGCCTGCAACAAGTGATGTTTACAGACGACCGACGTTTCTACTGTTGTAAGCGTACGTGTCGTCAGTTTATCATTTGCTGGCGACTGATGTCGAAATTCGTACCATTGCATTCCTACAAGCGATGCAACGACTTCAGACAGCCACGGCTGGCTTGAATAAGAGCTAATTATCCGGCGGTGGTTAGTGCTACAATACGATTTTTCGCCATTTCACTCGTTTATTGTTTGTTAACGAATAAGCGTCGATACCCTGGGCCCGATCCGTCATTAGGTCTGTTCCGTTTCGCAATGTCGACAGCCTCTGCGCGGTCCTCCTGTTTCACTGTCGTGTAACGAGGAACGCAGGTGCTGCCTTAACTGAGTTGCTGGAGTACGAGAACGGCCAAAATGTTCAAGAGTCTATACTATTATATGGTGATTATTACGTAAGAAAAAATTGCGTTTGGTGCATACATAGGAGGGGGGAAGGGGGCACGTTGGACATGTTAAGCTTACTTCAAAGGGGTATGAACCTGTTATATTTGTCTCCATCAGACCTGAACGTGCTAGTAAACAGCAAATTTTTACGATGATTTGCGACTTATAAATAACAGGTATAGTGCATCAATTAGACGTAAAAGAGCACGTAGTCAAGTGTTGTTTTTACTCAATAGCGTTAATGCTTTGTTATCACTGACATTGAACTGACGAGGACTGATTTATATTACCAAACTTCATATCGGGTCATTAGGTCTATATAGACGCAGATAAAGCTGTCTAGAAGCTATTTGCAAAACTGTGTGGAGTTGTTGCACTCCAGTTGATAATCTGTGTAAATTCTGTTCAGTAATGGAGGCCGGGCAAATGTAGAATAAACTCGGGGCATACTACCCACGTTATCTTATGCATACATCCATTTCACGAGCACGTGACTGTAGGCACGATTCCCATATTTCTATTTTGCGCTTTCGGTTGTTCCAGTGCTTTATTACGTGAAACAACTTGTTTACCTGGACGTGAACAAAGTATCGAAGTGCTAATGCGTTATAGTTTTGAACTACATTGTAGGTCCTGCTATAGCGACGGTACAAAAGCCTCGGTGATCATAGGTAACGCAAAGAGCACAGTCAAGCCTACCTAAACTGTACATATAGAAGCTATAGGCGTATGCAAACTATGCGGCACAGTTTACGCTCTTCTTGTTCCCTTTGTAGGATCCGACTTGAAAGGAACGTCACCGCAAGAGATCGTCCCTTTCGGATATTCGCTGGATCGACTACTCTTTGTCTTCGAGTAGGGTAGCTGGCGTCGTTCCTGTCTTCGCTTGGTGTTGTTAATGCTTACCGTGTCGCACATCGAAGGTCCAGGACTACTGCACCGCACGGCGTTGCGTTACTCGAGGTAGCGTTCGTCGTGCGCGAAAAAGAGTTCCGGGCCCTAATAATTCTGCTGGGAGTTCGTTAGTCAGAAAATATATAAGCACTAGCAGCTGTAGCCGCGATAGTACCAACTGCATAAATCTCCACTGATCCCTATTTCTGAAAAGTCTAGCGAATCAGTCACAGCAACGCTATATGATATCGTTATCATCCATTTCAAACAACACAATGCGGATGCCCTCCCCGCTACGAATCTATAACCGATGGGTTGTTTTAGAGCCCATCGAAACCCGACGGCAATAGAGCTGTCGGGTCCGGTCGGGCCTAGCTACCGGTCGAGCTCGACAGGTTCGGTGCTGTACAATGTTTTCAGACAAAAGCGTGAAAGCTCCTTGGAAAGTTTTCCGAAAATTTCATCCGCGCCAGTGGTTGCGGTACAGGAGGGGGGTTTGCCAATAAATTCGTGAGTTCCATTGCACATTCACTCGGTAGCCGCTCTCGTAGCTCAAGCGGGCGGGTTGCCAAAGAAAACGACGGAAGGAGAAAAAGGGAGACCATTCGCCCTTTGCGGAACCTAAAAAACCTAGGGAACCTTATTTATCGTTCTAATGCTATCACTGCTACGTGGATTAGCTGCTTCTTGCCTCGGCTTCACTTACTCGTGCTTATCCGCTTGTATCTGTGTGTTCAACCTTATAGAATTATGAATTGACAAATCGCAGCTCGCTGCGACAATGAGACTAAAACGTGTTGCAATGTGACAGTTGAAAACAATGCACCTAGTCTTGAAATGCGGACTAGTATCCTTGTTAGGTTTACTTTACGAGCGAAGTTGCCTTCACGAAAAAAAAGTATATATATTATGGCACAGTAACTAAACGAATAGTGTCAGTACAGGCTTCATCATGTATTATATATGTAGCGTTGCTGCTATCGTCGGCAAGTTTCTTTCGCCAAGGCCACAACTCAAACGCATGAAACGAACGAGCAAGTAACTAGTACTCTCGAGTGGCTCATTTGCGAAGAGAGGTTCATTTCTCCTCATTTAGTGCGCCGAAAACCTTTTTGCTGCTCCTGTTTGGTTCCTGGCTTTCGGACTGGAGCGTTCGTTTGAACTCCACCTAGCCCGCCTTCCTTCCATTTTTGAGGCACAAATGGGCTCTGCAGTTTCTTTGTTGAATGTCGACCGAACCCTATTCCGAATCTTCTTTCATCACTTTCTCTTACATATCAAACGAGCGAAGGGGCGATTGGAGAGGACCCCCGCATTTTCACATCCTGCGCTCTTAATATCTCCTTTTGTGGGAGGTTCTCGCGTAACGACGGCCACTAAGATCTCTTTACAGACATCGCTTGCCCACTGTCATCACTCGGGAATCTGCTTTACCACTAGAGACAAAGGCCGTCTCTAGCGCACATAATTGGGTCATTTTA